TGTCCGAGGAAGGATAGTATTCATCCGCTTCCAATGGTGGTCCTTGGGGAGATCGTTTCCCTCGCTCTTCTGCTTCGTCTAGCAGATGTGGGTATTTCTCGTATACCTGTTCGCTTTTGATAGGCAAGTCCCCTTCAGACTGGCTTCGCCTGAGGGAGTGAACTTGCTCTGCGTCTCTGAAGTGTATCCTGGGCGAGGATCGGGGAAACAACTGATTCTGGTGTTTCTTTTTCCAGTGGAGCTTGCAGTCATCTTCGCTGCAATACTCCCAGTAGACATACGCGTGCCAGGGATGATCAGTCTCTGTTGCGTCTGTCGTTGATAGTTCCCGCTGTCCTCTCACCCATGCACTATCTTCCCTCGGAGGCGTGGAGAACGTGTCTAGTTGCTCCATGGCTCTCCTTTCGATGCATGGAGTGGGTCTCGCATTTTCCCGTTGGAGCATATCTCTGGCTTTCTCGTCGTACTTCTCCAGGGCTCTCCTGCGGTCCTGGTAGTAAAGTTCGACGCTTTTCATATTCTTCAGTTTAGCCATATGCTCGACATCCTTCTCCAGTTCTTCCGCTTCTTGGGCTTCCAACTTAGCTACGTCTGGGGACGTGCCAAGCAGCCTGCGGGTATTCGTTAGTTGGTCGTAGTATCTCCAGAGGTCATCCTTGCAGTCGTCCACCTTGCACTCTAACGGAAGTCCCTGTAACAGGTTCCCGTAGATGCCCTTAAGCGTGGGGATTCTCCTCTGGCCGCTGGGCTTGTCTCGTTCGGCCCTAATCTTCGCGTGGGCGTGTTTTGCCATGCGTCTTACTACGCTCTTGCACCGTGGACTCATTGGTTCCATAGGTGCGAGTTCGTCGAAGGTTTCCTGTTCCGAGACGGTGAACGATTCCGCCTCCGACCCTTCATCTGAGCTCTCGTCTTCTGGGGTGCTTTCGCCGTTTATTCCCCAGTCCTGTTTGCTCACAAACGTTGCGTTCAACTGTCCTGTCCAGGTGGCATTGAGTTGTTTGCCGACTTTGCGTCCGCCGTTCCCTTTCTTTGGCTGTCTGCAGTCTCGGGCCATGTGGCCTGGCTTGTCGCAGTTAAAACAGAGTCGTTCCTTGAATTGTCTGTCTTTCTTAGGGTCACGGGGTCGTCCAGGTTTGAACGTGGCATCGAGTTCCATTGGGTCCGACCAACGGTTGTCTCGCGGGTGTTGATCCCGTCGTCTGCCCTCGTTTCCCCAGTAGGGGTAACTTTTCTTGGGCTTGTCATAGGTCCGACGTTCCTTCTGGAATTCGTATAGTCGATTGTCGATTCGGACCGTATGTTCGATTAGCGCTACCATGTCCGTTGATTGTTGTTCCAAACGGGCAAGTTCCATACGTATATGGCTCTTCAGCCCACGTCGGTAGTGGCTGATGAGTGCGCTGGCGTCCCATCCTGTCTGATTGCCGTATCTCTGGAATTCTGTGGAGTACGTGAGGGCGCTGCCAGTCTGCTTAAGTGCAAACAGATGGTCTTCCGCGGTCTTGATCTCATCGATGTCTCCGAACATGCGTCGGATTTCCTTACAGAATCCTTTCCAGCTGCCAAACATAGTCTGCGTAGTTGCCATGCTTCCATTGGTACTTTCATATTTGAAATAATCCTTGAGGAATGGTTCGATCCATTGCAGGGCTTCCCCCCTAAGGTAGGACGCAGTCCACAGGGCATAGCTCTCCTGGGTGGGAAACTTCTCGTCATTGAAGTGCTGGTACAGTTCGACCTGTAGCAAAAACACCTCAAGTTCCTTTCGGTTGCCGGAGTAAGTGTCGGGCAACTTGACGCGTAGAGTTTCCTTGAGTTCGTTGACGGTGGGTGCGTCAGGCATCTCCTCATTCTCAGGCTTAGACCTCTGAGACGAAGTTGGCGTGGTGGGGGTTTTCCCCTTCAAACTGACGACAGACATGTTGCTTTGTGTATGAGCCAGTGCCTCGTAGAAGTGGTGCTCAAAGTGTAACGCTGACTTCTAAACGATAGAAGACACAGAGGTTCTCTTGCGTAAAGGTTTACTTATCAGAGGAGGCAGGGGATCAGATACAAAGGCTTCAAGTAACATGTTACTAGTATATAACAAATACTGTATTGAGTTGAGCACGAAGCTCCTATCTAAGGAAATACTATCTACTTATATAGTGGCGTCGTGCCTAGTGGACTCCTGGGAACTCACTCGAGTCCTCGGAGTCCTGGACTCTTAGGACTCTTCTCATCATCCTGCGAGTCCGTCACGTGATACTTTCGGAACTACTATTCCCCGCTGCCCCTCCAGGTACCAGGGCCGGTCTCATGCGACCTCCCTCCTTCCTGTCCTGTAGTTGGCCAGCCTTCTTGTTCCGTCGTAACAGCCGCCTTCAGTATACCAACTTGAAAGGTGACATTTCCCTTGAACTACTAAAAACGGAGGGATACTCCCGCTTCAGCATTCACACAAACAATTGCTGTAGCCCATTCCCGATTGCCAGGCTGAACTGCCTTGCCTCTGCCACGTCGATCGGCATGCGTAACAACTAAAGCTGAGCTAATAACGCCCATCATGAAGCCCGTCTCGTCAAAGTTGTAGAAATCGCAGTCTTGGATGCCGTACCTTGCTCTCATGTTCTGCACAAGTTGAAACCACGCTCCAATAAGCTCAGGATCTTCGCACAAGGCTCTTTGAAAGTCATAAACGCGATTAAAACGCGTCTTTAACTCGGGGTGGCGTTGTATAAATCGATATTCCCACCGCGTCCCAATGTGCTTTCTGTCATACTGACATTCGTTGCACTCAGTTTGCTATCAAACTCAAGAGCAAACTTAGAAATCTCCTCCTCAAACCTACAAGTCAACATACATATCTTGGCTTATCACATCAACAACAGAAGCAATACTACTCAACGATTGCTGCAAACTCTTCTACTACATCTGTTTATGCTACATACATCACGGCATATCATTTGGACACTCATTGAACAAGTTATTAAGAAAATCTCCTCCTTAAGGGGGTGGGCCAATACTACCACATGGCATATCTCTACCAACTAGAGGCCTAGGAACATGAACGATAGCTCTAGAAGCTTCTACAACCCTCTATGATTCATTACACGTCATCGCTCCTTAGTTACCCACAAGATTGGTTAAGTTATGACATAATTTATCTATAGGTACTCTGACCTTGGACCTCCTTTTCACTTCCTATAGGCTAGGAACCCAAGAGATGGTTCTATGGGATTCTCTTACATTCGCTACATGATTAGCAAGCTAGTTGTGGGTCGCACTTGATTTCTAATACATTTACCAAGCCTGGTTAGTCATGGAAAGTCATGGAAAATGAGAGAACTACACTCCTTTGGCATAAATAGGATTGCCCTTTCCTTAAGAAAGGGCAAGCAGGCAATACAGTAAATCAACTATCACATACTTCCACGTCTTTTACAAGCTTCCAAGCATTCATCTTGTTACTCCTTGTTTCTGAAAAGTCAGTGAGGTGTTAACCTCTGACTTACCCCTGAGTTCCCAGACTCAACATTTGTTGCAACTTGTCTGAACCACTTCACTACATCACACACCTGATTGCTGCGTTGTGGAATAGTCTAAGCTACAACCCTTTGGCTCTGTTTCCTAAGACAGTGTGTTGTCTTAGTAAAATCATCCCTTCCTTGGGTGGCTAGATTCTCACATCTGGTGCACCCACCATTACACTTTCCCCCACGCGATTCAAGGATATAATTTGCCATATCCTCCACACTAGCAGGCCGAGGCGCAAATCCTCTTGCATCCATATCCAATATATTTCGAATAATCACTTCCTCTTCTAGCTCAGTCAATTTAAGACTATTGGCTTTGGTTTCGCGTCAAGAAGGTCGGCCGGCCATTCTATCAGTAAGCGTAGAATAAGGCACTTTATATAGTATTGATGCAGACCTGCGATTAAGCGATTTACATGTTTGAAGAGCCTCAATAGCTAGAATGATTCGCGCTTCTTGGGTTTGGATTTCCATTGGTAGTTGTGGAGGAAACGCGTGTTGAAGTTCGTAGGTAGCTAAGTAGGGAAAAGTTCACGACTCGGTGACATTCACGACTCGGTGTACAACCACGTTATATTGAAATGCCAAGTATTATGTAATCCACCTATCTAATGTCTCCTAAACCAAGGAATTAAGCTGAATTGCCTCAATTTCGCCCTCTAAATGCTTCTAATGCCCTGAGGTGATTGGCTTGGAGAGCATCGTGACACAAAGCCACCGCGGCTATCAATTCGTCGCTAAAAGTCGTAGAGAATTTGTTCAAGTTGAGGCCATTGGCCAGTTCGATTTCGTTATCTAGTTATTGTCGAGTTGTCAAGATGTTTAAAGCGGTTACTAAGGCTATCTGATATTGTCGATTGACTGAGCCTATGATTGAATTCGTGAAGAAACCAGTTGATGCAGGCTTTCTAGGAGGGTTTCGGGTGCTGTTTGTGTGCCTAATGTCGAAGGGCACGGCGCTGTTTGAGTGTAATCGTGTGTTTTCGAGGCATAATAGAGTTGGATAAGTCGATAATTAAAGGTCAGAAGGTCAATATCGCGAATATCGAGAATTGAGTGCGAAAATCAATTGGTGCTGAAAAAAATATCGACTTAGCGGTGTTATCGACTAATCCGACATCGTCTTGGCGAGAGTGGACTGTAGTTAAATTACTGTGTCTCTACCCTATAATATGTGTATCCTACGACTATGATTCATCACAACTACCTCATTTATAGAGATAAAACTTAGAAACTTAGTACGTAGATATTTCTTAACGCTACGAATCGAATAAAAAAATCCCTATGCCTGTATCTCTTTAGGTATAACAAATATTTAACGTTGAAGTTTGTCTGGCCTTGAAATGGACGTACCCTGCTATGTAACTTATCTTTGTAGAGAAAGTATCCCTAGCTGTCCACTAGGCAACCATGCTCTCGGGTAAACATATATCCATGTCGACGTCAACCCTGGAGGATGCTGGACATCTTTGTTCTATCCCACCAAAACTTTCGAGGTGCAACACGCCAAACAAATGTCTACGAAAGAAGACAGAAGACGCGTTGGCCTCTACCCGGATAACAGAGTTGCCCCTCTCCTGAAGACAGTGGGGGGGAAGTCGACAGGAAGGAATCCAACTCAAAAAAATGCCAGGGCTTCAGCAGGAGCAGCCATCACGGGGAACGATTCGAAAAAGCGAAAGACAGACGATGCATCAGATTCCGACGACTCGAACAATGGAGATATAAAATCGCAATTCGACCGGGGAAGGCACAGATCCGAAAACAGTACGCTAAACACCAGAAAACCTGAGGCCGAACCGGCGTATATCCCAGGGTCATACAAGGGAACCGCCTTCCGGGGAGCCGCAAGGAAGATTGGACAAGCTCGTGGCTATATGGAAGGGCCAGAGACGCAACGCCCAAAGAAGAACATCTCCAAACCGATGCCAGTGCCAGAGCAGAAACCCAACTTCAAAACGTACGCAGCGATCGCCGCAAGCCCTCCTCCGAAAAAGCCCGCATTTAACGATTATGGGGCTGGAAAAAAGCCGGCGCCTACAGTGCGGTGTCCGTCGCCAGGGCAGAAGCCCACCTTTAAAACGTACGCACCGAGCACCGCCATCGAAGGCCCTCCAAAGCCGGCATTCAAAGACTACGGCCTTCGTGGGAAGCTAGGGAAACCAGGGAAGCCGGAGAAGCCAGAGAAGCTACGGAAGCTACGGAAGCCAGCGAAACTGGCGAGGCCCGAGAAGCCGGTCTTCAACACCTACGGAGGAGCTTTGAAAACCCATCCTCGCGACTCCGACTCCGACGAACAAATATATTTATCCTCCCAAACCCGCGACTCACCAGCTCGCCATATCGATTCCGAAGGAACGCCACCCCCCACACACAACCCAAACGAAACAAAATGCCCCATGTGCGGCACCTACGTCCCACTCTCCCTCCTCCTCGCCTTTGCCTCCTCGTTTCCCTCCGTCGACCCCTTTGCCATGCGCATCCAGGTCCAATCCCGCTTCTGCAGCCACCACCGCCGACACACTGCAGCCTCTTCGGCCAACTATCCGCCCGTTGCTTGGCCCGAGCTTCCCTCACGCATTCGTGCTCATCTCCCCTCAATTCGCACTTTCCTCGACGACCCAGACTCAGCTCCATCACACTACAGAGATCTTCTCGCAAAGGACATTGCGGCCGGTCGCAACCGCACGCTCATGCAGAGCATCATGTCGGAAGCGGGTGCGAGGGTGCGCGTACCCGGGTATTATGGCCCTCGTGGTGCTCGGGTGATACAAGAAGAGGTTCTTGACGCCTTATCGGGCGAGCTGAGGGAGGCGGCTGTACGGGACGTAGTCGTCAGTGCGAGGGGAGTCGGGGTGTATGTTACTTCTGTGCTGGTGTTGGAGGTTGGGCTTTTACTTGTAATGGATGATTTGGGGGTGGGGAGAGAGGATGCGAGAGGGGTCATGGAAAAGAGTGCGGCATGGGGGACGCTCGTCAACGAGGAGCTTGATGAGGAGGTGCCGGAGGATGCAGAAGCGAGTGATGAGTTTGAAATGTAACGATATGACTAGATGATATCATATAATTAGAGCTTCTGCCGAGCTGTTGCTTGACAAATATAGTTGCGAAGGGCAGTTCTCGTTGCCACAGTATCCAACGCAAACAATTGTAATCCTGCTGCTCATGATTCGAATATCTGCTATGTGAGGCCTGACGCAGATGCCTGCAAATGCCTACTTGCCATCTGAGTTGCCCACAGCTCTACGTTGCTCAAAGATGCCCAGTGGCTACAGTTGTTCTCCCCGTCTACAATCTCTGTTTCCCACGCCGTTGTCCACGCTCCCTGTTGTTCATAACACTTTTTATAATTTCAGTTACATGCTTCTGCTCACCGTTACAAATCACCCACGGCGCTGCATACAAGATTTAAATTCAATTCCTATTTAAATTCAATTCCTACCCCCCAACGCCCCTAAAACTCATCACGGCTCGATATTATACTTCAACATAATCCCCATCGCGGCCAACTCAACATCCAAATACTTCAACACCCCCGGAACAGCCACAACCGTCGTCTCCTCACCCCCCACCCACCTCTGGCCCTCTCCATCCTCCCACACCTCCCCATCCGCCACAAACCCATCAACCTTGACGGCACACCTCCTACACCTCACAACCCCCGTCCCCTTCTTCCTCGGCGCAAATGCACTCACAGTAGGCTGGACCGACAGGAACGTCCCGCAACCCTTGCACACCCACGAGCGCGTATAGTCGGAGCAGTTCAGCAGACGGTCCTGCAGCAGGAATGCCGTGCCGTGAGCAAGAAGCGAATCACGCTCCATCTCACCAACACGAATACCTCCTCCCTTCTTACGACCCTTTATCGGCTGGCCAGTCAGGGCAGTGATTGGACCCGTGGTACGCACTTGGAACTTGTCGTTCACCATGTGACGCAGACGCTGGTAGTAGACGAGGCCAACGTAGATATCAGCGTGCAGCTCCTCGCCCGTGATGCCAGAGTACATCGGCTCGTTGCCGTGGTAGTTGTAGCCCGCCTTCATCAGCTGGTGGCCAAAGTAGTTTCCAGCAGTATTCTCCTCGTCGAATCGGAACGGCGTGGAATCTTGTGCGAGACCGTGTAGCGCACCGGCCTTGCCAGCGAGCGACTCGACAAACATGCCAATCGTCATACGCGATGGGAAAGCGTGGGGGTTGATGATGATATCAGGCTGCATTCCAGACTCGGAGAATGGCATGTCGCCGGCAGGCCACTTCTGGGAGCAGACACCTTTCTGACCGTGACGAGAGGAGAACTTGTCACCGATGGTGGGGGAACGAGGGACGCGGAATTTGACAGAGATCATCTGGGCCGGCTCGTTGCCGTTCTCACTGCCAATCACGCGAACCTCCTCGACAAACGTCATCTCGCCCTCCTTGTACTTTTCAAAGTGCGTGATGCCGTCACGGTTGACCAGCTTGCCGTTGGCGTCCGTGGTGACGGTGTGCCACGCGCAGACTGGATCTCCTTCCTTGACGAGACGGCCGACAAATGGCAGACCATCCTCATCAATCAGGGCCTTCCACTCGGACTTGACAAGTCCGCCGGGCGCAAAACCAAACAGCTTGCTGACCTTCTTGGCCGATCTCGACTTCTGGCCCTCGTCCAGCTCGTACTTCTTCACCTTGTAGATGGTGCCATGACCGAAGCCGCGCTCGTGAGCGGACTTGTTGATAATCATGGCGTCGTCCATGTCGTAACCGGTGTACGAGATGACAGCAACGACCGCGTTGAAACCGTTGGGGAAGTTATCAAATCCATAATCGTTGTGCAGAGGCGCACGAACAATCGGCGTCTGTCCGGTTTGGAGACGATACGACTTGTTGTCGGTTCTGTAGCGAAGGGCTGTTCCTGGGGTACCCATGGTTTGCTTACCCATCTGACACTGGTACATGTTTCTGGGAGATTGGTTGAAGTCGGAGAAGGGAGTCATGTTGGCGAGGATGGAGAGGATGTTGGTCGGGTCGAATTCGACGTGCGTCGTCTCTCCTGAGTCGATTTCTTGCTCGGTGACTGCAATCGACATGAACGGCTGCTCCAACGGACCAACCCAATCCTCCTTGTCGAGTGGTAGATACTTGACTGGCCTGACCATTCGCGAGGGCCCAGTGTAGAGGTATACACCTGGGTACTGGCCACCGTGCGAGGCTGGCACATAGGCAATCTCCAACTCGACAGGAACGTTGTGCGTTCCTTCGACCTTCCAGAATCGAAGTGTATCCGCGATCCGCAGAGACTGCTTCGGCGTACACCAACCCAGAATCTTTCCATCCAGCATAACTACAACACTCTCATCTGTGGAAGCAGATGAAAATCCAACCACGCCGAGGTCGACGGCAAGTGATGGGAGAGCGCCGGCGTCCACGCCGTGTGTGAGAATCTTGCATTTGTGGGACAGATGGTTGAGGAGACCGCAGGGACTTCCATCGGGTGTGTGGACAGGGCATAGGAATCCCCAACTCTCCGGCAGCAGTTTACGAACGGTTGTAGTCTTCAACTGTGCGAAGAAACTGCCTCTGTGCACCATGCGGAAATGACTGATGAAACGCAAAAAGTTGATCTTCTCAGCGACGACCGTGAATCCAGACGTCTGCTGCAAATCGAGACCCGTAGGACTGATCAGGTTTCCCGTAGACATAAAGTACTCCAGAGCCTGTCCAACGGCTTCGTTCGTCCTCCCGAAAATCTTGGTCGGAAAATCCTTCAAGAACTCGGGCGACGCGAAGTTGTTTGCTGGGTTTCTTCTCGTATACTCGCGCAGACCGAGGCGAAGGGCAGTAGAGAGCCAGTCATCCAGACGTTCCTTGATGATCATACCGTACAAGAACCCTCCGAGAAGGATTTCCTGATTTTGAACCGCATCGGGGTTGTCCAGAGAGCAGTCGCCGGCAACCAGCGAATAGAGCTTCCGAATCATAAACAGCAGCATCTGAAACTTATCGGCGTCTTGTACCTCAGTGACGTCCACGTTACCCAAATGCGGCATCACAATCTTGCGCAAGAACTCCGTGCCAACATCGTAATCAGACATGTTATCCGGAACCTGAAGCACAATCCTGAACTTCTCTCCCAAGTATGCCCTCGTTTTCGACTTTGTGTACAGACCGTAAGCCTTGTAAGTGCGCAGCAGCAGCTCCACGCGGTCGGTCAAGAAGGTGTTGTTGGCACCCTTCGAACCAGCCCCTCCAACGAGATCCTCGAAAATCTCCCTGTCGTTCGTCTCAACCAATGCCTTCATGATCATCATGACCGGCACCAAAAACTCATTCTTCCTCCACGAGAACCTGAATGTGACGTTTCCATCATCAAGGTAATGCAGGACATTCGTCTGCGAAGTCTGGTCAGGCCTGACCGATCGGATGAGTGTAGCGAACTTGGTATATGTCGGTCCACGTCCCTCAAACGAAGGTCGGATGATTGCCATTGGGAAGTTGCGTCTGTTGACAATCAGGAGTCGGATAAGCTTCTCAATTCCGTTGACCACAAAGTATCCACCCAGCTCCTCCGATTCTTCCTTGCGCTCCACCAGTAACGCCGGCGAGTTATTCTCGAGATGGCACTTATTTGACTGGAACAAATTAGCTTAAATCTTCTTGGAAAGCTTCAAACATACCTTCAACATCAGCGGAATCTGTCCAAGCTCTCTGATAAACTCGACCGGATCTCCGCCGTTGATCCTGTACTCGAGCCTGGCGCTCATCTTCCCGCGGTACGTCACATGGCGCTCTCTGCACTCGGCCGGCATAATCTCTCTGTTCCTCGTCGAGAACTTGTTGCTCGCCGGCAGCATGGCCTTTTCAACAAACACCTCTTTTATCCTGACAGTGAGCTTGTTCTTGCCCGCGGGCCCGAGGCGCTGATCACCATCGAGGTACGTCTTTGCGCCAATGTCCTTGAGACTCTGGGCGAGGAGCCCATCCTTTTCAAAAACGGCATTGAAGGAGTTGATATGCGGCTCAATGGCAGCCTGCAACGCTGGGTATGCGCTGTGGTCTTGGGGGGGGTTGCGGAAAAGCTCGTCTCTCCGGAGAGTGTCGAATTCCGTCGACCATTTGGTGTTTGTGCCGCCTCTCTTCGTTTTTACGGGCGCCATTGTGGGTTCTGTATGAATTATTAGGATGATTCAATGTCATTGCGATTGAAGAAGGTAACAATCACGGCAAAAGATCGTAGCTTACATAGAGGCTCTCGATCTCTACCACAGCGTGCTTCCCTGCCGGCGTAATCGTCAAAAAGTTCGAGGCTATCGAAATAAAATCTATCTCCACTACCATCCCACACGTGATTTATCGCTCTTATCGCCCGTGCCACTAACGCTAACCCCGATCAAGGGTAACCACCACACTAACCCAAACACGGCATAGGCGCCGGGTCTCCAAGGAAAGCTGGTGACTTCACTCGCGTTCGCGCCCTTGGACTTGCAGCTTGCAGACCGAACCTAGCCTTGCAAAATTCCCCCGGCCGGTACACTGCCGCCTCAAACGTTTACCGCCAGCATTGAAGACCAGCCAGTATCCATAGGACGGCTGTGGAACTTGCTGTGGAACTTGCTGCGGGCCTGCTTGTTTGACGCCGCTGGCTGTTTCTCTGGACGATATTCCTGGGTGTGTGGGAACACCCGAGTGGATACTCTCATCGTTTGCCTGAACCAATACCATCTTTCTGCTCCCACGACTTCATCTACAGGCAGAAGCATACATCCGTCACAGGCGCAGGTACAGCAGTAGTAATCTTGATTCTATTCGAAGCCACGGTCTCTGTGCATTACGTCTATAGCTCTTATTAGGCGAGGCGTCTGGCCTTGGGGTGTGTTGACACCGAGGAGCGAACTGTAGGAAGATAGGATACAAAGTAAAGATGGCGGGGCTTTTTAAGAGGCTCTATGATTACCTGCTGAGGTTATTCTGGTATGTATAGCCTAACGTTCGTAGATGGATGCAGTGCAGGTGAAGCGACGACCAGAGGACTGACGTTGCTGCGGCATCCAGGGCGACGGAGATGGACATCACCATGATCGGGCTTCAGAATGCAGGAAAGACCTCTCTTCTGCGGGTTCTGGCGGTAAGACACCATCCGATCGAGACCTGTGAATTATGCTAATATCATTCTCTGCAGGGCGGCGAGTTCACAATCGAGTAAGTTCCCATCAATAAAAACGCGCACATGGCGATCTCGAAAGCGATTCGGCGATGACGCACCAGTAAGAACCAGGCTGACCACCGGCGAAACAGCTCCATACCTACCGTCGGCTTCAACATGAAGCGAGTCCAGAAGGGCCATGTCACACTGAAATGCTGGGATCTGGGAGGCCAACCGCGGTTCCGCTCAATGTGGGAGCGGTACTGTCGGGGCGTGAACGCCATAGTGTTCATTGTCGATTCGGTAGACAGCGCGGCTCTGCCCGTGGCGAAAGAGGAGCTACACAATCTCCTGCAGAAGCCGGTGCTTGATGGCATTCCGCTGCTCGTGCTCGGGAACAAGTCGGATTTGGAAGGCAGCCTATCGGTCGATGAGTTGATTGAGGCGCTCGACTTGAGGGCCATATCTCATCGCGAAGTCAGCTGCTACAGGATTAGTGCCAAGGAGGAGACGAACCTCGATGCGGTGCTGCAGTGGCTGGTCGCCCGGTCGAGTAAGTAGGTAGTTCGCCCCTCGTTCGAGCAGACGACGGACGATGTAACGACGTGGCGGAAGATCAAAAGTCCATGGTAGGTTGGCAACGACCTGAAACCCATGGCTGGCGGCGCAGGCGACCTTTTTCCAGCAGGCCCTCGCCTCTTGTTGTAATTCTCATATCCAGCAACATTTTGTGACCAATTTCTTGGTTCTGTTTATTATTCGTGTTTTCAAGCATCGGAGCAGATAGCGGCTCTTTGATTCTTCTTGTTCTTCTGTTTTGGGAACTGCGGATGGGTATATGGCATGGCTTGGTGTTCAACGCGGGGGTGGTTTCAGCAGCGCTTGTGCATTGCGTGCGTATGTTCGCCGTCGGTGATATTATTTTCGAGGAAGGTCGGTTGTCACGATGGCTTGTTGGAAATAGCATTCCCATCGCCGCATAGACTCGCTGATGCGCTGGCATCTGCAACCCAAAACACGCATCCGCTTGGCCCCGCCGACAAGACCATGCGAGTTTGGGGACGGGGGTCAAGCGGGCGAGTCTCGTCTCAAGGGGTTCTCGAGGCAGCACTCGGAATATAATGGATGTCTAAAAATCTGTCAAGTTAAGGTGTAATCCGGGCAGAATCATCCAGATAGCACGATCGATGTCCAATCCCCATATCAAAGTAACCATCCTGTTGGTTTACGGCTTTCACATGCTTGATTGGCTGGCATTTGGGGGGAATCGCTGACTGCGGGTGTCTTTCTACTTTAGGAAAGGCGCTGACCAAGAGATCAAGAGATCAGGAGATGCATGATGACATGACATGACATGACGTACGCCGGATGTACCACGGAAGTATCTTTTAACCTCCGCCATGCCAATGGGGCAAAGTTCTCGAAGAAGCTGGACAGAGAATATATGAAAAACACGCAGAGAAATTCCTATAAATATGTGGTAAATTCAGATAATTCCGCATCCCCGTCGCAAACAATCCAGGCTATCAAAACAACCATCAATCCAAGCCCCATCCATCCCAGATAAATTCCAAACCTAGCCGGAGATACAGTCATGGTTTCCCACTCAGCCCCCCTCAGCCCTGTCCCACGCCGGGGACTCCGTCGGTACATCGGCGCAGGTCCCCAGCTCCCAAACCAGCTCACATTTACATTTGACGACGACGACAACTCTCTCTCCTTCTTCTTCCATCTACGCGTCACAACGACAGCTACCAGCTTCACTTTCGCTTCACATTAAATCAACATCCATCCATATCGCGACGTCCTCTCTAACCAAGGACACATCGACTGATCTCTCTCTCAAAGTCACCCAAAGGCAAAACTCAGCCACGGCGTCGCGTCGCATCACATCTCTCACCCCCCAGCAGACTTGAAGCGCAGCTTCTCTACCCATCACGATGGCACCGGCAATATCACCGGCGCTGCTTGATTTCGTGCTCGAGAAGCGACAGTATTACAACGATGGTTACTACGTGTTCGCGCTCCCCCTCCCCACGGTCGCCACCACCCAGGCACCTGCGCAATCACATACTCACTAACGCTCTACAGGTACGACTCGAACTGGAACCGCTGGGGACGCTGGGTCGCGCTCGTCGCCATTGTCGGCTTCTTCCTCGTCCTCGCATTTGCCTGCTCGTGAGTCCCTTCCCAGCCTTTCCAGCCAACCTACGGACCTAACTGACACTGTTCCAGATGCGTCAACTCCCGCCGCCGCCGCCGTCAGGGCCTCGCACCACGCTACGGCACGGGATGGCTTGCCGGCAAACCAAATGGCGGCCAGCAGCATTACCAAAACAACGACTACCAGGGACAGCAGAGCGGGTACAACTACGGCGGCGGAGCGGCACCGGCGCCTCCGTACAGCCCACCGCAGCAGCAGTATGGCCAGCAGCAGTATGGCCAGCAGCAGTATGGCCAGCAACAGTATGGCCAGCAACAGTATGGCGGGAATGCGGGTTACTATGGCGGGCAGCAGAGCGGAATCGAACTTCAGCAGCCGCAGAACTCGTACAACCCGCAGATGGGCCGTGAGCAGACCTACGAGCCACCGAGTGGGCCGCCTCCAGGAAAGCAGGGCGATGGGATTATTAGATGATCTGGCCAGGTGCGGGGTGAGGAGGGTAGGCTGATGAAGGGAGGATAAAGTGTTAATAAACTCACGCATGATACGGCATGGTCGGTTGGCTTTCTGGGTATCGGGGCGTTTTCCTTTCGAGGGGTATTGGAAATGTATTTGACGGGGAAGGGAAGTGATTGCTGTGGGGGAGAGTAATAAAGAATCACTTCGACAGCAGCCACCAACAAGCGGCCGTTTGTCAGGCCTCGGTCGATTCGAGTATACTTTCAACATTCACAAACATTCACAATTTAACCTTCCCATCATCCTCCGTACATCAATGCAACTAACAAAACGTACGTGTACTCCGTATGATTATATCCAACCCGGCCTAACTCGACCCGACCCAGCCAAGCGCCACGCGTTTGTCCTGTGCCCCTGACCGTGATGGCCCACCGTATTTTAGTACCCTTTCTCTGGTACGGAATAACGGAAATTCGGGGGACCCTTACATGCTCACAGCGCACTTTCAGGGACAGAAAGTGCCCTGAGAGGGTCAATGGTTCCTGTTCTCTTGCATATATATTTATAAAAAATATATCCAGCATCATTGTGGCAAATCGTACACGACAATATACATATAACTACTCGTCATCCGCATGAAATACCAAATCTCTCCTCTCCTCCCGGTCCTCTAGCGATCCGATCAGGGCTCACCCAGCTACAGTCAGCAACAACCAACCCTTGCACAGCCCGCCTCCACCAGCCCTCCCCTTGCTCCGCGTTTCAAGTCTGCCCAGTGCATTGCATTGGGATTTGCCGTGGGTTCCAGTGAGAGCTGGTAAGAGCAACGCTGTGGTGGTAAAAGATCGTCGCCCGCCCAATTTCGACACGTGAAGAGTTGCCGCCGAAGGCAGGAGATAAAAAAGAAACCCGGCGTTTAGTTTCCCTGAGCATCAACCCATTTCACGATCCGCTGGTTCCAACGAGCAACAAGACTCGAGGAGGGATGGGTAGATTGGGCTGATTGCGACAACACCTTGCTTTGCTACGGTTGTTCGACGAGGACTTCACCCCAATCCGAAAAGCGAAAAGCGAAACAAAGAATAAAACGGAAACAGAACAGAACAGAAACAAACCAGAGTGCATCTGCACTCCCTCGAGTCGCGAGGATGCCGACAATCGATGTAGCCATGGCGCGCAGTGTGCCCCAGGAGATGCTCCTGGGGCTGCAACGGAGAGACCTTCAGGCGTCAGCAAACAATGTCAAGACGTCCTTTTCCAGTTGGGATAATTGTATGAAGGCCACATACTGCAAGTAAGCGCTTGCACGTCTTTCTTCCAAGACGAGTTCACCACTAACAAATCCAGATGGCCAATAATAGCCGCCATCATCGTGGGCGGTCTCATCCTACTGTCTGTCGTCTGGTGTATCGTCCGATGCTGTTGCTGCGGTATGTCATGCTGCTGCTCCTGCTTCAACTGCCTCAAGTGCTGTGGCGATTGCTGCGGCTGCTGCAACTCTCCCGACAAAAAACACAAACATCTCGACGAACCCTACTTCCCGCCGGCCTTCGCCCCGCACGGCGGATACAAGGCCCCAGACCCCATGATGTCTGGTGGTGGAGCTGCCGGTACCCCCTTCTCGCCCGCCCCGGCATACGCACGCTTTGAAACTGGACCGAACGGAATGGCTATCGACCCCCCCAAGCCCGTCAACGACGATGCGCTCCCCCCGATGCCCAGCTGGGACTCAGCCGCTAAACGCCGCATCAGCATAGAAGATGAGCCCAGCGCAGTTGAGCTTGGCGAACTCGACCCGGTAACCGGCCAGCGCATGCCCGTGATGACAGGCGCTGCAGGTGCAGGCGCAATCTCTCGATCCGACAGCTCAGCAATTGCCACCGCATCCGGAGGCGCGAGTCCCTACGGCCATCCCAACGGCGGCGGATACATGTCACCCGGACCCAACGGCCGACCAAACGACCAGTTCTCGCGCAATAATTCGAATGGTGGTTACGGAGGCGACCAAGGCCTCTCACCTATCGGACCCCCCGGGCAAGCATATGGTGGACGCGGATACTTTCCACAGAACCAGAACCAATTTATCGGCCAGGCGCATGGGGGACCTGATGAGCAGTACGGAAACCACGCTATTGGGAACGCATACAGCGACGACAGACGATCGCCATACCCTGGAGATGATCGGGGTCCGCAGGGGGGTGGCTTTGACGTAATGCCAGCTCCTGGCTTCGGGCAACACCAACGGAATGATAGCGGCCATAGCGGCCAGCGACCGTTCACTGCTGACCGCACGCACGTACCTGCTGGTCCGCTGAGTGGTGGAGGATACAGCTGCAGCGACGAGTCGTATGCGAATGCGCCGATACTATCGAATACGAGCGGCTACATGCCTCGTGGTGGGAGCCCGCCACAAGGAGGCTACAGGGGCGCGCCTCCAGCGAGGGTCGATCCAGCTGGAGGATTTAGTGGCGGGATGAGGATGCCAATGCCAATGCCGCAGCGTGTTGATTCGCCGCAGGGAGGCTTCAGAGGGCCGCCGCAAGGGTTTGGGGGGCCACCGCCGCAGAGAATGGGTAGCCCTGGACCAGGACGGGGTGGGTTTGGGCAGGGTCCCGAGAGGAGAGGGAGTCCTGGGCCCGGACCAGGAGGGTTTGGACAAGGTCCCGAGAGGAGAGGGAGTCCCGGACCAGGACAAGGAGGGTTTGGACCGCCATTACGGACTGGCACGGGAGGAATGGGGAGCCCCGCACCACCGAGCTATGCTAGCCGGAGTCCAGGTGGTGGGAATGGAGGCGGTGGTGGGGGCGGTGGTGGGTATGGGGGGGATAGGTGGTAGAGAGAGAAGGAGATTGAAGTGAATGGGAGGATGATGTAGATGATGGGAGAGGGATGTAAGTGAGATTGGTCACGACACACGGCACGGCACGACCGCTGGACGCAGCGGGATACCCTTTTTCTTGTATATGTTTGTATATTCTAAGGTGGTTGTGACAGCGGCCGCAATTCGTACTCATAAATCCTGCGCAGCTTATCCTTTTGACTTATTTATACTCTGAATGCTGTGGATGCTGTGTAAAGTATATGCTCTCTTTCCTCCGTCTTCGGATTACTATGAGTCCAACACCTGAACAAGCCTTGGATGTACTCAGCTCCCTTTCACTTTTTACTCGACTGTGGAAGATTATGATAGCTCCGCCGTGCTGACACGCGCGCTAAGGTCCACTCACCCAATCATCCTGGCGTGCAGTGTTGGCCGTCAGCCGTGTCACGGTGAGATCTATAAATCCATCATCGTTCGTCCAGCTTCGTCCAGCCGAGGAGGATATCTCAATCCTCCATACGTGACCTCCTGCACCTTCCCCTCCTTCTCTTCTTCCCATTCCTAATCATCTTCGTCCTCCCCGTTCAACAACCCGCCCCTGGCCCCGAATCCTTCTCGGTATCCCAAAATAGCCAAGGCCTGCGTCAACCCGGCCAGGGGATCCTGATAGGGCCAGCGCCTCCAGTCTCACCTTCCCCCGTCCAACTCAACTCTGTCACCGCCAATCGAGCCGCGCGGTACCATCCTGCACCTATCCTGCACTACGCTGTACATAGGAGCGCCAACGCTGTATTGGGAGGCAGCAGGGCGCCTCAATACACGGCCCCCTGTCACAGCCAGCTGAAGGAGCAAGACTCGTGAGATTATGTCCTCTTCGCCTCAGCCCCAGTTGCCAGCCTTTTCCCTCATGGTCTGGAATCAGGTCAGGGTTCCCATCTCCTCGCACTCTTGAACCGCTCCTGGATCCGCGACGACGACGACGATGAAGAAGCGTGCGCCGGAGAGCGACGTGAGAGCCATGACCGCTGCCAACGCTGAGCGACAGGCCACAGGAACGCCGAACAACTTATCAGAGACCCAACAACCCGCCACTTCGAACCTCGTCGTAAGCGTCTCAATCCTGCATAATGATGACAACAAGATACCCTTCACGAGCAGCCTCGATAATGGGTCGAAACTCCTTGCCTCCATCACCATCACGTCAGGACAAACAGACAAACCAGTCGCACTCTACATCGCGGGCGTCGAGCTCGTCGATATGAACGCGCCAGAGGAAGTACCCCAGCAACTCTTGCAAAACAGTACGCTCTATCCCTCTCTCTCCTCCTTGCCAAATCCATAGCTAACATCTCCCCAGCCGCAGATTGCCTCGTCTATCCCGTGATGGATACCTGCAACATGGACAACCGCAACCTACAATACTTCAACAACAAGCCCATCCCGCTCGGTCTCTTCCTCACCAACACCAAGCTCCTCCCTAGACACAGATACAACTTCAACCTGCGCTACTCACAAGAACAAAGCCCAGCCGTCAATGCTCTCTGGAATACCACCGCAGCAGACGGCGGTAAAGATCTCTCTTTGTGGGTGTCTCCCGATGTCTCCTCCTCCGTCTCCGCCAGGCCCACTGCCAGTCCAACATCATCATCCACCACTACCGCTTCCGAGCTCCTCAAAGCGTTAGCGACGGATGGAACCTCTAATCCGTCATCGACCCTGTCGCCCGGCTCAACCGCGACGCCCACCAGCCCACCCGCCTCAGCCTTTCCATCAGGCCTCTCGTCTGGCCTGACAATGCCCTCAGCACCGAGCAACAAGGGGCTCAGCACCGGCGCGAAGGCGGGGATCGGAGTCGGTGTCGCGGCTGCGGTGTTGATTGTGATCGCCCTGCTGGTGGCGTGGTGGGTGCGCCGGACGCGGCGTGCGAGTACGCGGAATGGACGCGGTGGCGGGGCCGGGGAGAAGGAGAGCGTGCTTGCTGCTGCTGCGCCGGGAGGGGCGGGGGAGTACAGATATGCTGATGAGGCTGGGGGTGGGGTTGTGGTGGGTGGAAGCCCTGTGACCAGGAAGCCTGTTGGAGTGCCGGTGGCGAATGAGGCTGCGCTTGCTGATGCGGTGAGCCCTGCTTCGACGACTGTGGGTGTTGTAGGAGGAGCGCAACGTAGGGGTGCAGGAGGAGAAGGGGCAGCTCAGGAGTCCATGTTGAATGCCGAGGAGAGGGAGAGGTGGGAGGAAGAAGAGCGAAGGCTGGATGAAGATATTGCTGAGGCCGAGAGGAGGCGACTCGGCGCGTAGATTTGGGGGTGTATATTTGTTGGGTTTGAATCGATACCTCAGCCAATCGTTTATGCAGTCGTTTTTTGCGAGATGTGATTTGAGTTCTTTATAATGCGGGGGGGAGGTTGGATGTTGATTTTGCAGTAGATTGAAATACAAAAAAAGATTTCTGCTCGTGTTTGTGTTCGGCCTCTGAACTGCAGAAAGGGGTGTGTCGGCTTATGAGAAGGGATGGGCTGTCATGGGTGTGCGAGAATCTCTTTGTGCGTAGGTTTGCTGTAAACGGCCGTGATGGACTATATTCATGCTTTCAAAGATATACGGTAGCTCAGCCTTACAGCACTCTCTTTCTCAGTTCTCGGCATTTGCCCCCTTTGTCGGCAAATGTGACTGTCGGCTTCTAAGCTGACAATTCCAATTTCAAATCACCATGATGGCTATGCCTTCCTACCATGATGGCTATCCCTTCCTACAGGAGCCGTTATACGTTCGTCAGTCGCTGTTCCCATTTCCACGATTCACGGCTCACGTCCGAACAAACAAGCACGTAAGCACGTAATCACAAAAGTAGACACATCAGTTCATAAAACGCACCTGCAGGTCTTGAAGACTGAGTGGGCAACGGGTTTCATTATCTACTGCTACAGATCCCCTGCCAACTCCCGTACTCCTACAACACCGTCCCGCCACCACCCGCCCACAAACGCCGATATACTCATACACGCCCGCCGGCCCCTAATTCCCCCACAAGCTCATCCTCCCCTTCTTCGCCTTCTTCTTCTCCTCTAGCTCCCGCTCCCGCCCTCGGTCTTCCTCCTCCTTCATCCCGCCGAGGATGTCGTCGAACGTGCTCGGGCCGTTACCAGGTACCACCCCAGCCGAACTCACCCCATACGAACTCACCCCAGACGAACTCACCCCAGACGAACTCACCCCAGACACCGAGCCAACGCCGCCGTAAGGCGACGTTGCGCGCGACACGGGCCGGGAGGACATGTGCCGCGACGTCGGCCGTGAGACCGAGAGCAACTCGGCACCTAGACCGACGCCAGCCGGCGCACCAGCCTCCCCAAAGAACTCCGCGGGTTGCCACTCCTCCCGTCCCGGCTGTTGTCGGCTCGGCGGGCGCCGCACCACAGTCGCGATGCTGTCATTGCGCAGCAGGTCGGGCGGGGGAGTGGCCGAGCTGAGGCGGCTGGGTCTGAGCGGGGGCGGCGGGAACTCGAACGTCGCGAGACTGGCCGCGGGACTAACCGGACTCCCACCACCGTCGCGGGTCGGCACATCAACCGGCGCGAGGTAGGGGGAGTTGGCCAGCACCGGGCCGCCCTCTAACGCGGCGCGGGCCTGCAGCGGAGGCAGCCAGTCGGCGCCGGCCATCCAGCAGTGGCTGCGGGTGTAGATTGCCTCTGCGGTGTTCTCAGCGGCATCAAAGGGATAGTCGCGCATGGTTCTGCCGTCTTGCCAGGGGAGGTGGCCCAGGGGGGGCTTGCACAGGAAGTACTCCACCCCTTCCGTGTAGCGAATACCCGGAGCGTCCATCACGAGGGGAGGCAGGGACTGCAGGACCGCGTAGAGGAAGATCCAGTATCCGAAGCGTTGATCGCGGAGGTCACGGATTGAGGAGCCGGACGCCTGCTCATCTTCGAACTCGGCATACTTGCGCAGAAAGGGCGTCTGCAAGCCCACAGAGACGTTGTGCGCTTTGGCGAGAACGAGGAGCTTTTCGAACGGGCGCAGGCGTCGGGTCTCGGCCGTGACCTGGGCTTTGGGGGAGCGCTTCGGGTGGCCGGCATCGAGGGTGGCGGGGGTGGGAAGCTTGGGGAGGTCGAAGGGGATGGGAGGGGTGACGGGGATGCTGGAGCGGTCATGCTCGGACATGATCTTGCGGAGCGCCAGTAGCTCCAGCTGTCCCTGTGTCATGTCGTCCTCGCCCTTCACGTCTTCGACGTCCAGTGTCCGGGTCGTCAGGGCGTCGCGATCCACTAGGATATCGTAGAGCGATGCGAGGTCGTCGTACAGGATCTTCAGGACCAGGCGGTTAAGACCGGGAATGTTGAAGCCGCTCCTCCTTCCACTCTTCGGAGGCCATGAGCCGTGCAGATCCTTGTAGTAGGACAGGACGAACGACCGAAATGCGACGAAGTGAGACTTCCATGCGGTGAATCTGACAGTCTTGCTCTCGGCAGTGACTTTGGAGGCGGCAGTGCCGTTAAATATGTGGGGGAAGTCGAAATCTTGGAGTCGGGTCTTGATGGACTTTTGACGATGCTCGAGATCGAGGGCTTCTCGCTCGATTTTCGACTTTGTTGTGTCTGAGACCATTGCGAACAGCTGGTGGTCGCTGACCCCCTTGTAACCATAGGCACCAACGCAGTGTATGAATCCTTCGCGATAAAGTTGTGTATAGCGCATCGCTTCGGCAATGATAATACCTTGGAGCATCTTTTGGAATGATCCCCGTACATCTTGCAGATTATAAATTCCATTATAGAAGGAAAATGACGTTGTTATGACTCGTCCAAAATCCCCGCTGGACTCGTCGAGAAAGTCCACGTCCGCAAGGTGGCCCGCGATCCCAAGAAAGACCGACATCTCAGTCGGGAATTTCATAGATGCAATCATCGGTTTGTGAAGTAAAAATGCAATCAGGTTTCGTGCGGCCAGTAGGCGATCACTGTCGCTGCCTCCATCCTGCAGGTTCTGTGGAATCGTAAGTCTCGTGATTGGAAAGTATAGATGACCTTCTCTCGGCGCCTGGTTCGGTTTGGCCATCAGGTCGCCTTGGGCAAACCCGTCTGCGGACAGGTATGCTGACAAATCTGCGGAACGCCTTCGTTGGGGTAGATCGAAGTTGAAATCCAAGCGTTTCATGGCCTCGTCTGGCGCGTTCATGACTGCGTCTTCTGGTATAGTAGGTCCTGGATTCACTATGGTTGGGCTGGTTGGCATGTTGAAGCTGGTAGGGCTAGTTAGGCTTTGGCTGAAGGCAATGTTCATGAGCATGGCGGATGATTCAATGACCCGCGATGGGATCTTGAAGGACGGCTTATTTCCCGTTGGGAGCAGGTATACGTTGACATCCGCCCAATCGTCCCAGAGCTCTGTCACCTTTAATTCAGTCAGCAACTTGCAGAGCATGTGATTGTGAAATAATACTGACCCGTTCTCCGGAAAGCAGTGGCGCCAAGTTGTAGTCCACCTTGTTTGGCCCTCCAAGCACCCATGGCGCCGAACCAGCTGATGATGTAGGCCTCGAAGAATCTCTTGATCGAGGCATGAGGGTCAAGCGGCTTCGTAGTTTCGATCTGTCCGAGCCTTCGCTATCCGATATGTATGAGGGTGGTGCCATCGTTGACATTGAACTTGCTGAGGGTACGCGGTGTCCAGTGTCGAACAATGGGGGGTATTGCATCGGGGAGCCATCTCGTGTTTGTGGCCGGGATGCGGGAGAGCTGTCGCGCGAAGACAGGAATCGTGATTGTGACGACGCAACGAATGGCGGAGTTGGTGGTGGTGGCATAGAATGTGGAGATGGTGACGGATCGCGAATGATTCCCATCGAATTGGCCTTTGCGAGCTTGCGCGGCTTCTGGGCAGGGTCGAACGTAGGCGCGGGGACCTCAAGCTCAGTCGTCGTCGCCGTCGCCGTTTGAGGTCGTGGGCCCTTCTTGCGGGAAAGAAGCCCGGGTTTGTCTGCATCCTCAGCTGCTGAAAATAGATTCTTAAAAGATAGAGAAAAGGTCCTGGAAAGATTGCCCAGTGATGAAAGCCCCTCGAGTGATTGCCCTATGTCCGAGTCCTCGGTTGGGTCGGGAACTTCACTGGGGCCCGGAAGGTTCGCTTTCTCTCGTGGGGCCGGACTCTTCTGTGGGGTTGACTGCTGCTGCGGCGTAATGCTGATGATGTCGTCGTTGCTGTCTGATACTTCAGGCCGACCATCAACACCAGCCAGTTCACTAAGCGTCAAGGAGGACGGACTACGCCGGAGACCTTTCCGAACTTTCGGATCATACACAGGATGCGGCTTCAACAGGAACTGCCCTGCTACGAGCCTACCCCAGTCTGTAAACGTTTCTGCGCAGGCCATCGGGGGAGTAGGGGCCTGGATGTTAATCTCGGGGACGCCAGGTGCAGCAGCAGGAGGAGGAGAGGATGGAGGCTCAGTCGCACCAGCATCAGGAGATGGGAGCTCAGTCGTAGCAGGAGGAGATGGGGGCTCACTCTTTGCCATGGCGTCGCTGGTGGCCTTGCTCGGCGTCGTGTTACGGCTTGATTCAAGGTGAACGTTGTGTCGGATGGAGCATAGCAAACTTTCAGACCGAAGCGTAAACAACTTCAAGAGGTGCCCATAACAAGCGTTAACAATCGGTGCCTCACGAGGCACCGATTTTCACACGGCAGATTAAGCGTTATAACGGCTGGGGGGGATCGACTTTGCTGGCTGCAGCTGATGGTGCGTACTTGACATGCAGGCGCGTCTAGGATTGGTAAAAGATGTTCAAGATGTCCAAGATGTTGGCAATGGTGGCAATGTGACAATTGACCTGTTTTCTGCTGGTTTCCATCTTAACTGAAGAGATCAGCCAGCCAGCCAGCGATCCAGCCGCCCCTATGAGTGTGTCTCGGAGGTCTCGGAGTGCCATTAGCCCCTTATTCGCCCCTTATTCGCCCCTTATTCGCCCCTTATTCGCCCCTTATTCGCCCATTATCCCCTTATTCGCCCCTTATTCGCCCATTATCCCCTTATTCGCCCCTTATTTGCCCCCTACTGGTGCAGAAATGCGCTTGGCGTCTCATGGAAAAACAGCGGCGGTGAGGTGGAGGTTAGCAGTGCCGCCCCCTAGACGCCATTGTTTCCTGCCGCTTTGTCTCGGTGGCGGCGAAACTCTACTTATCACCGGCTTAGCCGAGGTCGAATAGGCGACGGAGCCGTGGTTGACATTGAGTCGTATGCCGGCCCACTAATCCTATATTTATCCTATATTTATCCAATACCAAGCCACTAATGACAGATGTGGCACACTTAAGGTTTGCATAGTGTCCATTCCATCTCAAAGTTGTCAAAGTTTGAGTTTTGTTTTGCTTTGTTATCCATAAACTACAGCACGTGACCTATATACGCGACTTCTCTGTGGTCACGTGATTAGTTGTGGTCACGTGCTTAATATGAGCGAATCGTCCTCCAACCGCCGCCGTTCCCACTCCCCCCTCTTCTCGACTCTCTTCTCTTGACAACGTCTCTTGCCAATCCACCCCCAACCCCCGCCATCAACGAATCCACCTCTCTCAAAATACCATCATCATCAGACCCGATAAATCTCGTCGCCAAGCTATGAGTCGAGGCGGTAAACTTGCCCCCGAAGTCAATCGGTAAGCAGACCCCATCACCCCACCCCTTGGCGATCTGACATTGGCGATCTGACAGCGAGACCTCGAGCACCCCGCTAACCGTCGTCACAGAGCTTTGTTCGTGAAGAATCTTAGGTACGATATATTCCACGACTGTCGCAACCCATCGGCCCAGATGATGATGAGGCCATGGCGATGGCGATGGGTAGTGGCGTGGCGCTGACGTGAATGTAGCTACAACGTTACCCCCGAGGAGTTGTTCGACCTCTTTGGCAAGTTCGGGCCCATCCGGTACGCATCTTCAACTCCATACGATAATGTCCAATTGATACTGACTACGTGCTGCAGCCAAGTTCGCCAGGGCATTGCCAACAACACCAAGGGCACGGCGTTCGTCGTCTTCGAGGATGTCATGGATGCGAAGCAGGCCTGCGACAAATTAAACGGCTTCAACTTCCAGAGCCGCTATCTCGTCGGTATGTGTACAACCTTCATCCATCAGTCCAACCACTTACACCCCATAGTTCTATATCACCAGCCCGAGAAGATGAAGTCGAAAGAGGACCTAGAAGCCCGCAAGGAGAATTTAGAACAGCTGAAACGACAGCACGGTATCGAATAACAAATAGACGGGCCGGTGAAAACGAATGCTATGAAACAAGCAACAAACGTTTCCGCTGGCCCGTCTGGTCCTTCCAAGGCTCAGTCCGATGTCAATGATGGGGGAGATGGAGATGGAGATGGGGGCAAGGGTGCTGGTTCCAGTGGGCGTACAACTTTCTATTCTTCTTTGCGTACTTGGTTGGGACTTAAATTGCGGCGTTGAACGGGGATTCATGATGACTGGCATGACGGGGACGGGCGGTTCGTAGGCATGCTGGGCGTGGCTTTCGCCCAGCAGGATGGAGAGGGGGCAGGTGGCGCTGTCACTGGGCTGTATTCCTATGGCATCATGGCTTATCATGGCTTTTACCTGTAACCCCATAGGCTGCGGTCTTTACTGGACTCACTTTGAACTCAATCACTATTTTCAGTTAACTGAAACGATGGCTTATTGTCGTTCGGCTGTGTGTCGGCTCATGGACCGATAATGACCCGACATCCCCGTACTCAATCGCATAAATCGTAACTTTTGGAAGAATATTTGTCTTCCAGGTCACGTATAGTACATTTCTTACAGGATACACAACGGACTCGACGAATCTACCTACGAAAACTACAAATTATATCCCGTCTTTCCCGTCTCCCACCTCGTCCATTTGGCACCAAGCAAGCAAGATATGATCCTGATGGAAATCGGTAAAACAATTCTCCGAAACTGTGCCACAAGACGACGGCGCTATGACGATTTAGGTGACCTGCTCCAGCCTTGGGATCTAGACTAACTATCTGGTCTATTTCAAAACCACTCAAACATAACACGACTCCTTCTTTCCGACGAACGATATTGTGGTCCATATCCTCCATGTCACGCAGTCCAGCTCCTACACTCGAACCCCCAGAACAGACTCGACGACATACGTTCCCCATCCAAGGCCAGCTGAGAGAGAGGTGGCTTGCCACTACGACTGAAACATCTCCACAGACCTGCTTCCACAACATCCTACAAACCTCCCTACGTCACCCTGAACAGCACCCTCCATCCCATTGAACCCTACCACCCAGCGCCCGGCGCTCGTCGCCACCATGGCCTCACCAACTACCACGCCGACCTCGGTTCTCGCCGCGCTCGCCTCCTCCTCCGCAGCGGCCACCACAGCCTCCGTCACCAAAAAGGGCGAATGCGAGCTCCTCGGCCCCTTTGCCCTGCTCGTGCAGCTCGCGCTCGGCGGGCTGGCGCTGCTGGCGCTGGTGTTCAAGCGGTGGCGCGAGCGGCCGCAGCGGCTGGTCAAGGTGTGGGCGTTTGATGTGAGCAAGCAGGTTGTTGGGAGCGTGTTGTTGCATGCGGCGAATCTGGTGATGAGTATGCTCTCGAGTGGGCGGTTGAGCATGAAGGTGGAGGATGTAATCATCGAGGCGAGGGACGAGAGTGGGATCGCGAGTAGAGATCCGAATCCGTGTAGTTTCTACTTTCTGAATCTACTCATCGATGTAAGTTGACTGGCGAAGTTTCGAAAGAAACCATATACTAATACGCTATGCAGACCACCATTGGAATCCCAATTCTCATCTTCTTCCTCCATGTTCTCACACGCCTCTTCCTCCTCACACCCCTCGGCGAGCCGCCGCAATCCATCGAGTCCGGGAACTACGGCTCACCACCCCGCGCGAAGTGGTGGGCGAAGCAGTCACTAATTTACTTCCTCGGGCTGCTGAGCATGAAATTCATCGTGCTTCTCATCTTCATCTTCCTCCCCTGGATCTCACACATCGGGGACTGGGCTCTGCGCTGGACCGAGGGCAACGAGAAGTTACAGGTCTTCTTCGTCATGCTCTTCTTCCCGGTCGTGATGAATGCTACGCAATATTACATCATTGATACGTTTATCAAGGGCAAGCTCGAGGGGTTAGAGGGAGGAAGGGGCGTCGAGGACCCAGTCGACAGCGATGACGAGGGCGGCAGTGAAGCGGATGGGCTGCTCGCTGCTGAGGTGGAGGTGGTAAAGAAGAAGAGGAAGACCTCAAATGACGTCGTGGATAGTGGGAGTGGTGGGAGCAGTCGCAGCGAGGCCGTCCGGGCGAAGCTGCTGACTGAGAGCGAGGAAGGGGGTGAGGATGCAGACGAGAGGGTATGGCTTACACAGGATCAGCGCGATGAGAGGCGGTGAAGTTTCATTACGGCTGGATACACCGGCGCTGCATCTTCTATACGGGATAAGATGAGGATGTAAATATCTCCACCTTGCATAGCGACAGTGTCATGAGCGATATACGGAGCGAGACACATGGCAGTCAGTATACTAGGACTAGATACCAAATATGAGAAAATATCACAAGAACTGGGGTTTCAGCGAGGTCATGGGATTTAAATTTGTGGCGCCTGATAGTTACGTAAAAAATAATAATGGTATTTAAAAACCAGGCATTAAAATCGGATGAGAATAGGGGTTAGTTGTCATAATTTACTGTGAGCTGTAAAATGGGGGTAATAAGGAGGTTTTGATTGATAATGAGAATCCCATCCCTTTCCCCAAGTCTGTCTTGTCCGTCTCTTAGAAGCCGTTCGTAGCCGTTTGCGCGGGGTAGGACGGGTTCGCGTGCACTCGATAAGGATCTCGATAAGACCCAAAACTTGAATAAATGCCCCTCCGCCCCCGCCTCTATCCCTACTTCTCTCCATCACCGCACTCTTCACATCCTGACTCTCATATATATCAAAAATCTAGCACAGCTTTCATTCAGATATGGCTCCACCAAGTGCGATTGATATCCGTGGCCTGACTGATACTGAGGCGTTGATCTACCCAGACCCACTGACCGTCAATGAGGTGACTGAGCGTCGGGCCAAGGCTGGCAAGCTCATTGCTGGCGTGGCCGCTGGAACAAGCAGCGATCTCTTCAAGGGCAAGGTATGTGCTATATTCCCCCTCACTTGATACGCATTTCATCATGCTGACCGTACAAGTCCCATGGCAACCTCGCCAAGCGATTCGATCGTGAGTCAACCCCGACCCGTGATGAACAAACGAACCACGCTGACTTATAAGACCTCATCAGTGAAGAGAGCAAGTCCCGCGGGCTATCCTCGCTGAAGACTGCTGCCAAGTTTCTATCCATCCCCGGCATCATATCTCTGGGAGGTGGCCTGCCATGCAGTGAATACTTTCCAATCCAGGATATCTCCATGACGGTGCCAGTGGCGCCAGATTTCTCAGAAGAGGGCACCGCAAAGTCGGGCGTCGTCGTGAAGATGGGGAAATATGATGCTACACAGGGCGATGGGACGTACGATCTGTCGATCTGTCTGAACTACGGCCAGGGCACTGGATCCGCCCAGCTGCTGCGCTTCGTCGTCGAGCACACCGAGATCGCACACAGCCCACCTTACAAGGATTGGCAGTGTGCCATGAGCATTGGAAGCACAATGGCTCTGGAACAAGCATACCGCATTTTCACCGAGCGCGGAGATTACATTCTGTCCGAGGAGTACACGTTTGCCAGTGCCGTGGAGACTGCCCTCCCCCTCGGATGCAAGTTCCTCGGGATCAAGATGGACTCGGAAGGACTGATGCCCGGGGATATGGATGACATTCTCTCGAACTGGGACGTCAAGGCCCGAGGAGCACGCAAGCCACACCTGCTGTACACCGTCCCCACCGGCCAGAACCCCAGTGGCGCAACACAGAGCGTTGAGCGACGCAAGGAACTGTACAAGGTGTGCCAGAAGCACGACGTCTTCGTCATCGAGGACGAGCCCTACTACTTCCTGCAGATGCAGCCCTACACCGGCGCCGACACACCGCCCGTAGCACCACCAGCTAGCAACGAAGAGTTCCTGCGTCAGCTCGTGCCCAGCTTGCTGAGCCTGGATACCGACGGCCGCGTCATGCGTCTCGACTCCTTCTCCAAGGTGATTGCGCCCGGCACACGCACGGGATGGGTCACAGCATCGGCGCAGATAGTCGAGCGTTTCGTCCGACACAACGAGGTGTCTGCGCAGAACCCCAGCGGGCTGGCGGCAATCACGCTGTACAAGCTACTGGACGAGACGTGGGGCCACGACGGCTACCTGGAGTGGTTGCGCCACCTGCGTATCGAGTACACGGGCCGCCGTGACGCCCTCCTCGCGGCTTGCGAGAAGTTCCTACCAAAGGATATAATCACATGGACTCCTCCTGCTGCGGGCATGTTCGTGAGTCACCCTCTTTCCTTCTTCTTGTACTCCGCATAACACATTCCTGTGAACTCCCAATCCATTACGAAAATGTCTTAGTAACCCTGCCATGTCTCGCTGGAGCACATTCCCCGCATCCTGTCTTCTCTCCGCCCTCTTACATATTGACACCAACGCTAACCTCTCGCACAGCTCTGGCTCGAGGTTAACCTTGCCAACCACCCCGCTGCGGCGACCAAGTCCATCCTTGAGATTGAGGACGAGATGTTCCTGGTGTGCGTGGAGAAGGGCGTGTTGCTATCGAAGGGCTCGTGGTTCCTCGGGGACAAGACCAAGGAGCCGACGCAGCTGTTCCTCCGAGCGACGTTTGCGGCAGCGACGGCGGAGAAGATGGAGCAGGCGATTGAGGGAGTTGGGGTTGCGGTGAGGGAGGCGTTTGGGGTTAAGGCGTGAAGTGGTCATTGACAGGCTCGAAGTGGCGTTGATTACTGCTCGGCTGTGAAGTGGTGGCATTGGTGGTTGCAATGCATGATGCATTTACCTCTCTTTCGGTGTAAGGCTGCGCTGGTGCGGGAGTTCAGCGTATCTCATGCCGTCTTGTGGGATGTAAACATATCAGTCCGCTACTAAGGTGGAGCTATGGGAGCGAAGGGGCTGATATAAAACAATGTTTTAAAATATAGCTGTATGATTAGACCCTTGCCCTAACATCCCAGTGGCTGGAATTGATTCACATTTACTAAATTAAATTGAAGTTCCAGTAACCTGAATGTTGACCATAACAGTGCTATGGTGGAATAATTTATATTTACCAAATTGAAGTTCGAGCGAGCTGAATGTTGGTTCTACACTGGAATTTATTTAAATAAACAAGTTGAAGTCCGAGTAACTTGAATGTTAATCACAACAATGCTACGCTGGCAATGCCTCCTCCAACCGTGCTATAAAAGCTCACTGATTCTCCTCATCCCCAAATTCACAAAACACACCTATTCCAACATATCCACGCCATCTTCCAACCCACCGCCATGAAACTCCCAATCGCTCTCCTCACCATCCTAGCTGCCCTCGGAGCAGCAACCCCCCTCATCCAGCTTGAAAAACGATGTGTAGCTGAAAGGGATGATTGCTCTGACCCCTATTTTACTTGTGTCAATCTTAGAATACCAACCCTTCGATTGGCCGTACATTATGCATCAGACAACATTAGGAAACTGTTCCACACGCCGTGCAAGTTGAAGTGCCTACGTATAGGAGAGAAGGTCGTCATATCCCAGACCGTCTCGTGGAACTCCTGTATTGGCCTGTGCTACTCGGGGAGGGATGAATTATGGATGCCTCAGGGGCTGAAATAAAACAATGTGTTATAGAAATAGTTGTATGATTGGGACCTGCCTTAATATACGAGTATGCCAAGTTGAGGTTCGAGGAAGCTGAATGCAGAGCATGACGCCAGCAAATGTCTCACATAGTATCTATAAGAACCAACGGCTTTTTCTCATTCCTAACATTTTAAAAAACGTACCTCTACCCCTACGTATTTTCACCGACTTTCAATCCACCAACATGAAACTCTCAATCACTCTCTCGACCGTCCTAGCTGACCTTGGAGCAGCAAACCCCCCCTGAACAGCTTGAAAAACGATGTCAAGGTGAAGGATTTCTTTGCACTTCGCGCTTTACTTGCTGTGACGGGTGAAGATGCCAAGTAAGTTCTTGCCCGCTTAGTGTAATAGAGCGTATCATTTGTCTTTAGCATGCTAACATACTTATCAACCCCTGGGGTTATGATAATCCATTCGTTGGGGAGTGCGTCCAAAATTAAGAAACTGTCCCCTATGTCTTCCGAAACAGTCCATGGAATTAAGGGTAATTCTAGCCGTTAGTTCAGAATGACAAGGACATGGAGATCCCTATCTTTTGCTGACTTGTGCATCAAAATTTAAGGAATAGATTATGAATGTCCGTCCAGGACCCCGAGTATCAAAAATGGCGGGACAGACCCCTATTCTGCGGGAGGCCCCCCACGGGACCGTTATCCGGTTCCGTTTTCAGCGCGTCCCGTCCCGCGCACCAGACAACGACAGCATGGGACAGAGCAAAGACCAGATGCCCCTTTAAACGGATGTATAATTTATAAACCAACGAGAAATGACAAAAACATGGATATCCCTATCTTTTGGCACGCACAACTCACCGCGTTCAAACACCGCGGCGTCCACCAACTACCCCGTTTACCCCCCACTCCACCCCCTTCCACTCCCCCAACAACCACCCTACCGCTGCCTCAACACCTCCTCCAGAAACTGCTCAAAGCTCAACGTCACAAACCCATCCCTATCATCATCATACCGCTTAAACGCATCCGTCATCCTCTTCAACGTAATACACGCCTGCACGAACAAATCAAAGCTCAAACTCCCCTTCCTCCCCTTATCAAACGCCCTGAACAAGAACCCCACGAACCCCTCACTAAGCCTGTACCCGAACGCCACGAGCGCGTCCCCGAACTCGTCGAGGCTGATGTTGCCCGAGTGGTCGGCGTCGAAGCGGTCGAAGAGGGTGCGCCAGGAGGCGAGGAAGGACCAGAGGCCGCAGAACTCGCTGAACTCGATGGTGCCGCTGCGGGAGGTGTCGAACATGCGGATCATGAGGGCGACGGTGTGGGGGTCGAAGGCGGTCCAGTCGCCGTTTACGAGGGCGGCGGAGAGCTCGGATTCGGAGAGGTGGCCGCTGGCTGGTGGTTGTTAGCTTTTTTCCTCTGCTCTTGGAATTTCATTGGATGACGGGACGCCGTGAGCTAGTTTGTGAGAGCAGGGAACGTACAATCTTTATCCACCGCCCTAAATAGCGGCAACAAATTCGGATCCTCCCCCGTCATCGCCGGACTCGCAGGCCCCCGATGTCCACGCGCATCCCTCCCATCCCTCCCATCCCGCCCATCCCTTCCATCCCTCGCACCATCCAGCCTCCGATCCTGCGGCGGACTCTGTCCATACATGAAATTCCCTCCCGGCTGGCTTACCGGCCCCATTGGCCCACTCCCACCCCCGCCGCTGAATTGGTGGCGGACGTCACGCGGGCTGGGGATGGGACGGCTGCTGCTGCTCCCGCTGCCGCTGCCGCCGCTGAAGCTGGAGCCTGAGGGACGGTAGTCGCGGTCGTCGCGGGGGAGGGGAGGTGCGGGCTTGTCGTAGTGGTGGGAGTGTTGTTTTTGGATGTTGAGGGGGGGAGGGGATTGGGCGGGGGCGGTGGGTGTGCGTTTCTGGGGGAGGGGGTGTTAGTTAGGGTCGCGAAAGGGGGGTGGATTGGGGGGAGGTACTCGTTCTGGCTCCGCGAATCTGGATGGGTGATGAGTTAGCAAGTTTTTAGAGAGTGGATAAACAGCTGAGCTGTTGGGTGACGTACGCAGGCAGTGCATCCGGGTTGAAGGAGCGGTTATACGCCATCTCTCGAACGTAAGTCACGTAAGTCTTTGTGGTTCCTTGTGTTGATAGTCTATACGTTTCTTGTTGGTGTTGTGTTGTGTATGAAAGATGGAAGGACACAATGTTATCAAGGCTCCTCGGTTTCGGATGGATGATTGCGTTGTGGACCCCCTCTGCGCAAGGCTGAGGGGACGTGGGGCTGGGACTGGGCGGCTGGGCGGCTGGGCGGCATGGGCGGCAAGTTTCAGGCGGGGCGAGGCTGGGGTGTGAATAACTGGTGGAGGGGAGGGCTTTTGTAGTGTAAAATATGTAAACTATGAGATATTCACCATAACCACAGATGATGAGAAAGTGAAGTTATTCAGACTCACACCCAGAACACCTCAGAGGCCCGTCCCGAGACAGCTCACAACTCGCTGTAATCATCGTTGTCCCACAGCCAGCCGCCCCCTCCAAACCACAACCCCGCCATCTCCCGAATTTCCAAGAAACTGCCCGCCACGCAGGACAACCAACACCACCATGGCGACAGAACAAACCACCCCAGAGGCCTCTGAGGCATTCTGGCTATTTGGCTATGGGTTTGTCTCTCTCCTTCCTCCCACACTGCTCTCGTTGCGCCGTCCCAGGATTGCTGAATAATACACCAAAACTGACCCCGCGGCGCAGGAGTCTGCTATGGAAACCACCACCACATTTTGGTAATCCTCAACCACCCCCCAGCCATACCGATTCCTCTGACGCAAACAGACCAACGCCTAACCGGCTACATAACCAACTACGTCCGCCGCTTCTGGCAAGAAAGCCACGACCACCGCGGCACCCCCACCCACCCCGGCCGCGTCGTCACCCTCCTCACCCACGCGCACTGGTCTACGCTCGCCGACGTGCACGCTGCGCCCGACAAGGTGTGGGGTGCTGCGTATCATATCCCCTCTAGCCACGCTGCGGAGGTGAGGGATTATTTGGATATTAGGGAGATTAATGGGTATAGTATTGATTACATATCTTTTTTTCCTAGTGAGGCGACAGGGGGGGAAGTGGTGGGTGAAGAGCGACAGAAGGTGGAGGAGGGTGAAGAGAGGGAGGAGAGGGGGAGGATCAAAGCGCTCCTCTATATCGGGACGCCGGATAACCCGCAGTTTACGGGCCCGCAGGATGTAGATGAGTTGGCAGCGAGGATAGCGGGGTGTGAGGGGCCGAGTGGGAGGAATGCGGAGTATTTGTTTAATCTTGAGGAGGTGTTGGGGGAGTGGGGGGGGATGAACATGTGGGTGATTTGGCGGGAGGGTGAGGGGGTTTTGGGGAGGGAGAGGAGGTTGGAGGAGGTGGTGGTGGTTGGGAAGGGGAAGGGGGGTGGGGAGCATGATGAGGAGGAGGAGGTTGAGCGGTAGTGTTGGTGTGGGTAGGGTGGATGGGGGATGGATGGGGGTTTAGACTGGTAGATTGGTGGGGTGGTGTTATGGGTTTGAGATATGAGGGATGGAAATTGCAATTGTAGACGTTTCCAGGCATGTTTTTGATGAACAGGTTGGTTGAATCTTTCGATATAGCAGCATATATCTCGTATACAGAGCCATGAGCTCATCTACAGGTAGAATACATCCAGGGGTGTCTAGTTCATCCATTCCTTCGTTTCCCCTCGCCTTCAGCCTTTCAATTCGGCCACCTGATCAGCTGTCAGTCATCGAGAGGAGGGTCTGGGGTCGTGGATGGGACAGAGGCGTATTACCAGTAGCAAGGAAGGTGCGATCGAGGGGGTGATAAACGAGGAAGGTATGGCTGAGAGAAGGTGATGGGGGAAGGCACGACCACGGGGAGGGAAATGATGAGTGGAAGGTGCGATTGAGAGGCAGAAGCCACGCATCCGAGGCAACGATGAAGAAGGTGCGATTGAGGAGAATGAGCCATTGGGAGGAAGAAGCCGTTGAGAGGAAGGAGCGACTGTGAGGAAGGGGCTATTGAAAGGAAAGAGCCATTTTGAGGAAGGGACTACCCATGAACATCACCATCACCAACACCTCGGCCAGTAGCTCATTCACCAGTCACCAAAACACACCCACGTAACACACACAAACCCATGGCGAAAACTCAAAAAGCACATCTGAAAGCAATTCCATTCCGAAATTCCCCTCGCTCAAGACGAACTCGAGATCAAGCCGCCGTGAGACCCCTCCGAACAAAAAACTCCGAGCCAGAAGAGACAAGACAGACAGTTTCATAGCATAGCATAGCAAGCATAAGGCCGCGCGAACCGAAGCGCCAACACGCGCGCAAGTGCGGGTGGGTTACCGACCGACCGACGACGCCAGAGAAAGGCCAACGCTCCATCCATCAAACGCTCTGCGATTCCCGCTGCTGTGCTCCCTAGCCGACGACGATCATCTCAGGATAATGTGAGGTGTGGTGGTCGGGAGGGAGGAGCATGCCGGGGGTGCTGGGTTTACCAGCGGCCACCGCCGCCGCCGCCCTGCTGGTCCTGGCCACCGTAGCCGCCTTGGCCGCCACCTCCGTAGCCTGTGGGGATAAGTTAGTTGGGATACAAGATAGATTGGGATTGTGAGTTGACGTACCACCCTGACCGCCACCACCACCGTTGTAGCCGCCGCTCTGGCCGCCACTGTAGCCACCACCGCCGCCGTTGTAGCCACCACCACCACCCTCACGTCCACCGTAGCCGCCCTGGCCGCCGCCGTAGCCACCACCGCCTCCGCGGGACTGGTAACCACCGCCGCCGCCACGGCCACCGCCGAAGCCACCACCGCCACCTCCGGCACCGCGCTCAGAAGCTTTGTCGACACGGATGGTGCGGCCATCGAACCTGGGTCTTGTTAGCACGTGAAGCGAGGTAGGCGGGTCAGATTGGAACATGCTCGATGTTGTTCATGGCAGCAATGGCAGCGTCAGCATCAGCCTCTTGGCCGTAACGGACGAATCCGAAACCACGGCTGCGGCCAGTATCGCGGTCCTTGACAACGACCTATAGAGTAGACTGGTCAGGTAGGTTCTGCGCGAGAGGTGTGGGATGGGAGGTGACGTACGGCCTCCTCAACGGCGCCGAACTCCTCGAACTTGGCGCGGAGAGCAGTCTCATCCGTGTGCCACGCAAGGCCTCTGTGTCAATTGTCAGTGGTGAGGTCAATGTGAGGAGGGAGGTCGTCTGCGCCGAAGCGCAGACTGGAATGTGGAGAAACCTACCCAATAAAGAGCTTAGACATGATGATTGAGTTGTTGAGTAATCCTGGATCTGGCAAGAAAGAGTCTCAATTTCCACACGCGCATCGCAATAAGAGGTTCATGATGAAGGTTTCATGAGGTCGTCGTCGGATTAGGACGGATGAAGGACGGAACGCAGGACAGGACAGGACGGGACAGGACAGTGACGAAGGATCAAGGAAAAAGATACATCGGGGCAGAACAGCGACGGTGGTCACTCTCCGCGAAGGGAGAGTGACGACGGAGATGTCAAGATGATGATGATGATGATGATGATGGCACACGCAAACGGAGAAGATTCTGAACGAACATGAGAGGAACTAGGTCGGTCGAGTCGAGATCGGATAGATCGCGGGGTATTGTACTTGTTATTCTGGGGTGAACAACTGAAAGGACAGTCGGTGTTGATTATGAGAGAAAGGTTGATATCGTGGGGAAGAATTGGTGGATGGAAAAAGAAGAAGATGATGTAGATGGAAGGAGGAAGGAGGAAGGAAGGAGGAAGAAGAAGTTGTGCTGGGATGGGGGGAGCCGGGGGGGGGGGGGTGGGTACATTTGATTGGAGGTACAGAGATGGGAGGGGGAGGTACATTAGATGAAAGATGAAGGTACAGTAGATGAGAGGTACAGAGATGGGAGGGGGAGGTACATTAGATGAAAGATGAAAGGTACAGTAGATGAAAGGTACAGTAGATAGTAGATGGGAAGGGTGTGGATGTGGATTGGGTGGGTGTGAATGGAAGAGACTGCTCCTCGATTGTGACGGTAGATATAGTGGAGGGTTGGGTAGTGGAGGGTTGGGTAGTGGAGGGTTGGGTAGTGGAGGGTTGGGTAGTGGAGGGTTGGGTAGTGGGGGGGGTAGTGGAGGGTTGGGTAGTGGAGGGTTGGGTAGTGAGATGGGGTTGTATAGTGAGAGGTTAGGGGTGTTGGGTAGTGAGATGGGGTTGTATAGTGAGAGGTTAGGGGTAGGTTGCGATGGAAGGAAAGAGAAGATATGCATGCGTCATTCGTGTGCTGTCTAGTCTAACCATCAAGGTAAGAAAAAGCTACAGTATGCGGAATGCCATTCTACCTCCTCCCCCCATACCTTGATAGGTACTGACCCAAGTACCCTCCCATGTATCCTGTACCTATCGACATTCTGGGAATAGCCTATCGACATTCTGGGATAGGATACGAGCCCGTGAGCCCGTGAGCCCGTCCCGTTCCACCTCTTTGGTCATGTGACTGTCCATCATGTGATTGCCCATCATGTGACTGCCCACATGTGACTGGTTGGTATTCCTATTCTGCTTCACCTTTCTGAAGAAATTCAACCTTCAAATTTATTCATATATTCGAATCACCTATTTGGTAATTCGGATCTCTCCCTTCCTACTCTATCTAAATTCGTCCGTCCTTCTCGTTTTTTTCTCGTCACTTTCTCTCTCCAACTCTCTGCCCCCCCCCACTTCTGCGCCCATGTCTCAAAAAGGAACCAGCCCTCGACTCTGGCGCCTGCCTTAACTTGAAGCTCGCCATACAGCACTTGCCAATGCCTCCCCGCGCTCTTGCTTCTGCACCTCTGGCTCAACACACAACGGTAATATGTCAGCTTTTCTTTGACCCCGCCGTCCCGAGACCGGGTCGCTGCTTTGGAGTGTTTACAAGCTCGTCATTTCTCAAACTCGTCATTTCTCAAACTCGTCATTTCTCAAACTCATCATTTCTCACCAAGTACACCCCATTTCACCTCACACCCCCATTCTGCGTCTCTATCTTCTCCTATCGATTCATGGACAATCCCCGGTATGCACCTGAGCGGCGGAAACCGGCCCAGCCTGCGGACAACGGATGCGACAGCCCTGCACGGCGGGGTGGGGGAGATGCTGCCGAGACACGAGTCAGATCTCACATTAAGGCGCCGGAGAATGGATATGTCTACGATTGGTTGGCACAGCTTGCCACGGAACAACTGGCACAAACGCAATCTCCTGCATGTGAGCCATACAACGACTGGGAACATTCTCAACAGTTTGTCAGAGCACAGTTTGTCAGAGCGCTGACTTTGATGTTCTGTAGATTATCCTCCGATCGTTTTGCCTGAGACAGGCGGGTTTAGACATCCTTCTCCCAAACGATACGATGAAACTGTCGCAGACGAAAGAACCCACAAGGAAAAAAGGCGTGATTCATCTGATTCTTCATTGGTCCAACCAGCGTACGAGAGGAAAGAGCTGCCACCGCGAGAGACGACGATTGGTCATTTTTCCAAGCAAGCCAAGAAACATAGGCAGCCTGCATCATCAACCACAGACGACAGCCAATCTGAGCCTGATCAACCACAGCGCAAAGAAACGTTTGAGAAGAGGAACCGTCATAAGACAAAAGAAGACCGATACGAGTCCAAGAAGGCGAGGAAGCATGTTGTCGAGGATGTCAAACCGGCGAAGAAGAAGACCATCAAAGTGAAAAGGGGCGATGCTGCGAAAGCGTCCAAGAAGGCCGGGGAAGATCTGATAAATGGATGCAGACCGAAAAATGTGTCGCAGGATCGGTTGACTGTATGCAGCCTTCAATTTGACTCTTGTAGAAAGTGGCTAATTTCTGGCAGATACGTCCTGGTACGGGCATATTCAAGAATGGTCGAGCGTCATCTCCTTCCCGCAATCGTGGCTGTAAGTATGACGGAGAAATTTGTTATTTCTCTGCTAACTGGTGTCAGTGCCTGATTTGGCGTTTTCGGAGATGCAATTCTTGAAGCAGTCAAGCCGGAAGCCCCTTGAAAGCGAAAAGGAGCTAATTATATCCAAGTCAGGTCAGAAAACCAAGCGCGAGAGGGAGAGGGCAAGAAATGAGATCTCCAACTATTTTATCCCTGGCCGACAACCTCTCCAGGAGGCCAATATTAACCATGGAAGGGAAGCCTCGATCCTGCCTTCAGATGCGGGCAGAACTGAAGCCACTTCTATTGTCAGAGGACATCACTCTCACCCGCCCGTGTCTCCGGAAGAGGATCATAGGAACGAGATGGTGCTCTATGAAGACTTCAGTACGAGGAGGTCGAGCCCTCAGAAGTTTACTCTACCCAAGCCAAAACTTGACCAGATATTTGTCCCACGGCATACTACGGCTTCAAGCAAATCGACGAGTTACTGTACGTGGTCAGAATCAGTTAGGTCTCCAATCGTGCGTGCCAAAGCTATGGTGGCAGATGCATCTCGAAATAAAAGACGCGTGTCGCCAACTTCTCATCAAAGGACGCGCCGTGATGATGAGGATGCCCAAGTAGTCATGAGCAAGCAGTTGAGGCTAGCTAATACTTCATCCGTTCGAAACGACCAGGATCACACAGAATGCCAGGACGAGGACATCATCCATCAGTTTCAGGCCGACAGGGCAGTACTTTATGACTGCGAGCCTCATAGGGGTTCTAAACGGCCACATAAAGACAACCCGGGGAGGCATGTGGAGTCATTGCACACGAGGATTCCTGTTGATACAAACCATGACGCAGACCATGCTAAACAAATCATGGTAGAGCAACGCACTCAGACCAACAAGGACGCAGTTGATCGGACTGATGGGTCTGTTTCTCCAGCTCAGCCATATCCCAACCTCGACGTGCAGTATATCATGTCCCGAGCTGTGCGTGCTCAGCAAGCATATATAAATCGGCGGCCGACTCCGAAAGTTGCTGCTGAGGAAGCTGGAGGTGCTTCCGATGTTCGAGCTCCAGCTGCAGATGTACAAAATACTAGGGATTCTGGTGCTTTGAAGGAAAATGCCGAGTCTCCTAAGATTGGACTGACAGAGCAGCACGGAGATAGCGACGCAAGGCTTCTATTATCGGGACTCGATGGCAGGCGAGATGAGATCACCAGCCAGCCAGGGCAAGGTCGGTTGTGTGGCCCTATGCCGGAGTCTAATCTGCCAGTCCATGGGCAAACCCAGAGCGAATATATCGACGCTGCTGGGCATCAGCCAAATGAACCTGACGATAGCTGGGGCTACATAACTGGCGAGCACGATTTACGCCAGATCGAGAATATTGCTACACCTGGAGATATTGAACCACCACAGTTGATGATCCCCACCCGCGGATTCTCTACAGGCACCGTCGATGTACCACCAGTTCAATCGCGAACCATATCCCCACTTGAGACCATGGAGCCGATTTACGGCCGGCAACTTCAGAGTCAGGCATTCAATGCGCAGGAAGACCAGCGTGGGTTATATAATCCGCAGGAACAAGGGCAGAGTGCTACTTACCTTTACGATGGAGGCCAGTGGGAGAGAGAACCTCTCAACGCTGAGGCTCAAGAATACAATTCCATTGAGATGGAGGACGGCCAAGTTAACTACGGTGATATGTACGAGGGGCAACAGGATGGGCTAGATCTTATCGACGAGAGCATGTACTACGGGGAGGAGTTGCCCTTTGATTCGGAAGCGCAGATTCACAGTGCAGCCGACGACATGCTTTTCTACACCCCGACAAGCGGGCCTGGCGCAGAATATCAATGGATGCCGAGGCAGCGAACATATTTCAACGCAGCTGCGAATCAAGCACCGGGCATCAGATCATGGGAGAGGGTGCAAACAGCTGCGGTTGCTCAAGAGCTGACGATGCAGTTCTGGCAGCCGAGGAGGGGGTATTGATTGACCTGTTTTAATCCTGTTTACTTTTACCGCGCGTAGTATGAGTGTATAGGCAGTTCTAATCCAGGAAACATGAATTGAATTCCTTCTCTGAACAAAAATGTAAATTTAATTCCAGTCTGTCGCATAACATGATGTCGAAATGCCCATACCCCTCCCCTGTACCTGACCCCTGTCACCTTATGATTCTGCCGCCACCTGCCTCACCGCCCTCACGCGCGTCTCTTGGGCTACTTGGTGACTGACGCAGACGGAAGCTCCACGTATTTGTTCCTTCCGCCGTCATCAACCTGCGCAACGATTTTACATTTCACCACGACGACAACGGATAACGATTGCGATTGCGATTAAAGCCTTTAAAGGAAAGGGAGATTGAAAAGTGGGAGGAAGGGGGATAAATAGGAAGGAAAGGAACGAAGGGACGATAGAAAGGAAGGGAGAGCAGAAGCTATGGAGACGTCTACACAACCTGGGCAGCTTAGCTGGCGCCTGAGCGCGCATCCGATTACGTTGTTGTGGTTTTTGGGGTTTAGGATATGTACGTCCCCCACCTGCGCTGATTGTTGCCCCCCCCCTGGCCAGTGCTGCGGGTGGCTGGATCGGCGATGTTGGAATAGGGCGGTGTGGATGAGGTTGCTAACACCCCCCCCCCAGCCAGCCTCCTAGTCTACCTCTTCGGTCTCCTCTTCACCTCGAACTTCGTCCTAATCTTTATCATCACCATCCTCCTCCTGGCCGCGGACTTCTACTTCCTCAAGAACATCGCCGGGCGACGCCTCGTCGGCCTAAGATGGTGGAACGAAGTCGATGTGTCGACGGGGGACTCGCAGTGGGTTTTTGAGAGCGCGGATCCGGCGACCAAGGTGGTGAATGCGACGGATAGTAGGTTCTTTTGGTTGGCGATGTATGCGCAGCCGTGTTTGTGGGTGGCACTTGCGGTGTTGGCGGTGGTGAGGTTTGAGTTTATTTGGTTGACGCTTGTTGGTGAGTTGTTACTCCGTTCTGGTTCCCTCTTCTTTCGTGGGTGTTTGGGCAGGGGATGGAATGAGTAATGGGGGATGACTGGCATACTGACATACGACAGTCATCGCGCTCGTCCTTACAATCACGAATACCCTCGCCTTCTCACGCTGCGACAAGTTCAGCCACGCCTCGAATCTGGCGGGGAGCGCGCTCTACTCGGGTGGATTGGCGAGGAATCTTGCTGGTGGGATGGTGAGCAGGTTTTTGGGGGGGAGGTCGTGAGCGAGTGGTGGTTTGAAGGTTGGGATTCGGGGGTGAGGGGGGTAGGGATAAGGGGTGGGATAAGGGGTGGGATAACGGAGAGGAAGGAAGGGGGAGGTGGTGCTGTATCATAGATTACTGGCTGGGGTAGAGTTGGCTGGGTGCGCTTTGGTGGCGTTTTAGCTAGTGTGCTCGAGGCACGGTATACTGCTGTATGATTCTTTTGAAAGATGTGTGTTTTGTGTGTATTGATGGTTTGAGGCTGTTGGTGGTGTTTGTGTGTTTGTGAGTGAGTGAGTTGGGGTTTGGCCGTTGGGGTGTTGTTGAGCTGAGATGGGAATTTCTGTGACTCGCGGACTGTAGTTACACCGGGAAAGGGTCTCTTCTCCGACTCTTAACTGTAAATGACAGCATATTTTCGTATTTTGCATATCTCATTACACCTTCCATCACCAAGGAAATACCCCATCGTTCCCACGCCGACCCCCTATCCCTAATTAAACCCCAAAGCGCTCCGCCTACGCCCACTCCCACTCCCACCCCTATCACCCCCACTATCCTTCCCCTTCCCCCTCCCCTTCTCAGTCGTCCAATCCCGCATACTAAAGACCCTCTTGAGCCTCGAAAACTGCGTATCGTCCATTGGCTCGTCATCCTCCGCATCCATCGTCCCAGCCACAGAGGCGATAACGCGCTCCTCGTCGTCGTAGTCCGGATCCGGGTCCGGGTCCGAGGGCGTGACAGGTGATAGTCGGGATGGCACATCAGAAGAGCTGAGTCCAGGAGCGCCCCAGTGCACTGTGCTGTGCTCACGATGGTCGGTCTAGCTCTCCAGTCTCTTAGCGGCGGCGCGTCGTGCGGCTGCCAGTCTGTCTGCTAGCCTTGGTTCGGGACGGGGAAGCGTCGGACGGGTGGTGGGATTCGTGGTTTGGGGAGGGGTATCGATGTTGCCGTCGGAGATGGGCTTCTTCTCGTCGGAATGCGGCGTGGTCTGCTGGGTCGCGGGGGGCGTTTTGTCGCGAGAGCTGCGGGAGCTGAGGCGCTCAGACATGCGTCTGACTAACCCCTTTGTTTCGCTGGAGTCTCCCGACCGAGGTTCGCTGGTATCCGATATCCGGCCGTTGTGGTTTACGCGGTCGGTGGGCTTCTCTACTTCGTCGCGGTGCTTGGTCTCTTGAGGTGAGGAGTCCGGTGCATCGAGAAAACGAAGGGTCCGCGGGTCTATCCACCGACCTGCAGAACCGTCGTCCTCGCCGCCTCGGTCCGATGCCGTGGAAGACAGGCCAGACCCCGGGGTAGGCAGATCTAGAAATTCAAGGTCAAGGTCCAAGTCTGAGGGCATGACAAGTGGTAGTCCGGATGGTGCAGGAGGTGAGCTGGGTACGGGAGCGACGCGGTGCATTGTAGTGTCATCATGATGGCAGGTCTGGCTCTCCAGTTGCTTATTAGCGCGTATGGCTTCCAGCTTTGCTATGGCACGGGTAATTGCCCGACGGGTGGTGGGATTCGTGGTTTGAGGAAGCGTGTTAATGCCGCCGTCGTCGATGGGCTTCCCTCCTTCGTCGCGGTTCCTAGTCTCTTGAAGTGAGGAGTCCGGTGCATCGAGAAAACGAAGGGTCCGCGGGTCTAGACCTGCAGAACCGTCGGCGTCGTAGTCCAGGCTTGAGCGTGTGATCGTTGAAAGCTGGGGAGATTCTGGACGCCGTGGCCCCAGCGCGGATAGTCCTATCTCGATGTCTGAGGGGCCGTCATCTGATACGTAATCTAAGGTCATGGACTTCACTGATGACGGGCGGCGGGATTCTGCTTGGTGCTCAAGCGCGAATCTAACCGACGGCTCGCCACGGTTTGTCGTCTGGTGAGTGGTGGGATCCGTGGTTGGATGATGCACCCCGAATCCGTTGTCGTCGACGGTCTTCCTCTCGCCGTCGTGAGAGGTGTGACCCATCCTTTCGGGAAAGGTAAATGGCTCTAGGACGACGTCGTCGTGAAAGGTATGACCCATGTCTTCGGGAAGGGTAGACGGGTCCAGGACGACATTGTTCCAGTCCGAGGGTGTGATCAACGAGGCCCAGGGACCTGACGCATCGTCATAGGTGGGCTTTTCCTCATCGATTGAGTTATCTCGCGGCTTAAAGGCCATCCCCTCTTGCCATAATAGCCGGCCCCCCACCTTCCTAACAGCCCCCTCCCTAATCGCCCACTCCAACAGTCCGCCTCCCTCCTCGGTCCAGCCTCCCTCCTCGGTCCAGCCTCCCTCCTCCTCTCCCTTAGCTACCGCATCCCAATGCTTCGCCACATGTTCCATCCTCTCATCCCACGCCACGTTACCCATCCAATCCACTCCTCGATACACCCCGGCGCCGGACAGCGTATCTCCTTAATAAGGCTCCTCCCCGGCTGTTCCCCCCTCTTTACCAGCGCCGCTACCTGGTCATCTGGGGCCTCGTGCACCCACTTCAGATGTCCCTCGAGGAGGTCGTCTGTGTCAAATAGGGGCCTAGGGCACGGTTTGAGAGGGCATTTCCAGTAGACGAAGCTCATGTGATTGTTAGCGACATGGCGCTTCCAATAGTCTTTTAAAGTGAACACTGAGGAGCAACCGGCAAAGGCGAAGGTGCATGGGAATGTGATTGTAGCGATAGTTGCGGAGGAGGAAGTGTAGCGCGGGGCATAGATGGAAGGAGGGGCGCGGTGAAGTACAGGGGGTTGTCGATGAGTGACGGGGGGGGGGAGGGGGGTAAGGCCGTTTTTTTGTCGATTTTCGCGGATTGGTGGGAAGGGTTGGCGTTGGTTGCTCTTTGGTTACAAGTCCAACCTGCATATTAGTTGCTATAAATCGAACATCCCTTATAACCCCCTGTATGAACTCTTCTGCCAGTAGTCTACTTTTAAATGGTGGTCCTACTATCTTTCTGGGTCGGGTAAGCTTCCCGTCTTCATCTCTGGTAGGTTCCTCCTCTTTGAAGATTTTGTCGACCTTCCGGGCGATTTCTAAGCATGATATAAGTAGTTGCCTCAAGTCTTTTATGGTAGCGTCGTCTAGTTCATATTCCTTGGGTTTAGTTGCCTTAAGGAAGCCTAGAACTGATTCCAAACGTTTACCTTCCTCGAGGAATGCTTCAGGCGGGTCAATGAGAGGGTGGAGAGTGTCCCATTTTTGTTGTATTCTTTTGGTTACACTTTTCATACGTGCGATGACAGCGATCGTCTTCTCCAAATCTGTTTCATGTCCAGGCGGTATAGGCGGCTGCTCCAGCATCGGCGTGCCTCTGTCCTCGCGCCCCTCACGCACGTCGCCGCCCTCTTCCATTCTATCTGCTCGTGAAACTAAGAGGGCAGTCGCGCTTCCAGCTTCAACCTCGTCTTCGTACAAGAAGCTCCTGACGGACGACCAGGACTTATTGGACTTATCGTCCTGGTCGTCCCTCAGGAGCTTCTTCTCTGCCGTTGCTAGCCGACTCATCAGGTCTGGCCGATCCTTACCATACCCATGATCCTTCATGGTACTACTCAGCAGCCTCAGAAACAGCGCCACATGTCGATATATCAGATTCTTCCACGAGTCATCCCCTGGCGGCGTCCCCCTCTGTAGTGACTTGAGCGCATTCGCGTAAAATACCAACACCAAGTCCTCCACGTACCTCTCCTGCACCATGCGGCTCCTAAACGTCACCTCCGTGAACGCCGTATACGCCTCCGTAAAGCTCCTCCGCACCGCCGGATCATCATACCCCGGCAACCGCTCCTTCATCATAAGCACGCCCGTCATCCGCTTCTCTAGCGGCCCCATCAAGAGCTGGGCACTTTTCGCCGACCCGACCCTAGGCGAGAAGTCATCCCTTTCCTCAAAAGACTCTCCTGCCTGGGTTAGCCTCTCAGGGCTAACAATCTTGCGATCTATCTTCGTCCAGCGTGAGTCGCGGGGAATTTCCTCCTTTTGAAGGTCATGGCTCTCCTGTTGAGTCGGTCGCAGACTCGCTAACTTGCGTTTGTGGGAGCGCTCCGAGTTGTTTCCCTCATCATCTCCATCGGACGCATCCTCCTCGGGTGCTGGCGATGGTGGCGGTATGCGTTTGATTTTCCGCTCGTCGCGCGCCTCGTCTTCAACTCCTCGTGCAGCTTAGTAGTGTCAGTGAATTTCTATAAAGGTTGCTAAACAAGGGACAAGGAACTCACCGCGAATCTTCACTGTTGCATCAGCATATGTCAGTATCTCCTCTTTACTTAATACTCTCAGCACAACCACGAAGTCATCCCTAGCCTCGTATCTCTCCCCACCATCGTCTAGCGCCTGTGGGTTCACAAGGAGGCGGTTTATCTTTGTCCAGCGTGCATCTGGCGGGGGGGGCTCCTTCGGCACGCGATGGACGAAGATATATCCCATCATTAAGCGCGTCTCCAAGCGGCGCGACGCCCTCACGGGTGGGGCTTGGGTCCTCAGGGAACTTGTTGCGGCCAGGCTTGAGAATACCCTTGATGGGGCCATTAATCGGTGTGTAGCGTGTAGGATCGGCGAGGTCACATTGGCTAGCAATTAATTTAGACAGCTCCGATGTTTCATGTCCCACTTTGGACCATCTTCTAGGCCTAGGACCTGCATATTGTCGGTATTCTGAGAGTTCTTAGGCGATTCTGGTCTCTGTTCATGCTCGTCCCCTCTAGATAATCCGCCGCTGGCTTCCGCGTTGTCGGCAGTGAGCGTGCGAGGTTCTGTAGATAGAGGGGAGATCAGTTCGTCTTGGTCGTGCCTGTGTTTGCGTAAGCGGCCTCTCGCATGGAGCTCAAGTGTATAATTTATTTCCTCTTCAACGCTCTGGGCGGAAGTTACTAGCCGCAATTTATCTTCTCGGTACTGTTTTTTGCTACCCCAGCCTAATGTTTTTTGACTAATCAAGCCTAGTCGAATACTTTTCTTATATTTGTCTAAGAAAGTCAAAGAATCTTCGAATAGCCGCTGGCATTTCGTATCGATTTCCTCTATAAATAGAACTATAGAGGAATCCGGGATGCCCTCTCGTAACATAGTGATGAGGCTCGTAATAGCTACACATATGCCTGGGAATATCCGCTTTAGTATAACTAGTGCGTTTGACGTGACCTTGCCTTCGGTAGCTATATCCTGCAATCGTTGCTGGATCGGCTGGGCTCTAGTTAACAGCGAAGTTAGAGTAGCGATTAGAAATGGAGGACTATTCCTCGGCATATTTTTGCTGGCCGGTTCCTCCGTTGGCTCATCACCCTCTCCGTTGTTAGAAGCCTTGGATTTTGCCTCTGTTCTGGCAGCTTGGCCCTTAAGTCTGTCCTGTTGTTGCTGTTGTATCGCCTGGGCCTGCTGGTGGAAGTTCTGTTCCTGCTGTCCATGTATAGCTTGCATGCGTGCTCGCTCCTGGCGCTCGCGGTACAAGTGGAAAACGTCGATGCCTGGGAGCGGCGCGCGCTTAAGATAGATAGTTATAAACATAATCTCCTTCTGGCCCGTCTTTGGGTTCATTGACTCCTCACAATCTAGCTGGGCCAGGACCCATTCGAAGAACTGACCCTCGCGCTCATTCCTAATCATGTTGTTTAGAATATTAGTGATATGCGCGCTCTGGCTTGGGATGAGATGGGCCTTCCTCTCAGCCATGGATATGGGCCCGGCGTCGAGGTTCCGGATCATATTAATGATATGCTCAGTTGGGTAGGATTCCTGGTTAATCTGGGCTTTGACCCAGCGCTCTTCCTTTTTAGACTCAATCTTATCCTGATTTGCGACAATGGCGAATGCTGCATATGTGGTGAGCTGCTTCCTATAGAACGACTCGGACTCCGTCTTCCCGAGCGGCATGCCGTCGACCCGGGTAGAGGCGTTGACAATGACGTTATCTAAGACTGTTCTATTAACGGTACCAACGCGTAGTTTTTTATTTAGCCTCGAATAGCGCATCTGCAGCGCGGGTATTCTATAGTTCTTTCCCGTATGCTCGTTGAACTCAGCCATGGTGGTCTTCCAGTCAGGTTTGGGTTCCCGCTCGTCACGCAGATGAATAAGGAACTCTTCTTCCTCTTCAGTCATCACGCTCTGTGCTCCGCTTAGGTCCATCGTCGAGAGCCCAAGGCTTGTTCTGTTAACGGCACTATCTAGGCTGCTATCTCGTGTCGGCGAAAGGTCATCCGCGGCCGGGTTAGATGTTTGGAATTTGTTGAGATCCATCGTCGAAAGAAGAGAATTTGTTCTGTTAACTATACTGTCTGGGCTGCTATCTCGTATCGGAGAAGCGGCATCTTCAGCTGAATCGGATGTTCGGGATCTGTCAAGGTTCATCGTCGAGAGCCTAGGGCCTGTCCCGTTGACCACACTGTCTGGACTGCTATCTCGTGAGGGAGAGAGTTCTCCATCTGCTTGGTTTCGTTCGCGTCCATCCTCTAGGCTTTGGTTGGAAAAAACAGTGTCTATACCGAGCCTAGGATGGGAAGAATCCAATGCGAAGTCAACTGCATATTCCTGAAGAATACTGTCTAATCTTTCCATTTGGAATATAAGCTCCGATGTACACTCTCGGAAGTCGTCTGAGTCGACTAAAGCCACAACTTCTTTTAATTCTATCAAAAGCCTTGGAATAGTTTTGAAGACTGCTTTAAACTGGAGATCGATATTGAGCTTATCTAATATCTCAGTCGGTAAGTTCACAATGCTTATTATCTGATAGTGTAATTTGTTGACAGCGGGAAAATATTCGCCACCGAAATTTGTCGAGGAAATTCCCCGTGTCATCCTCGCAAGTGTTTCAATTTCAGCTTTCTTGTCCTCACCAGCGAATGCGTAAGATATGTCCGAAACTTCTGACTGGTCAGACCTAGCAAATGCGTGGTCAGACATATTGGAGTTCTCGGGAGATTCCTCATCTGCATCGCCTTCGACGTCTCTAGGCAATGCAAATGCCGCAAACCGCTCTAGATGATTCGCCAAGTGGTTTTCCAGGCCATATGACGAGCCAGCATCCACGAAACAGATTGGGCATACTGTCCTCGAGTCAGGTCGAGCGGTCTCGCAGATGGCGAGCAAATCTTCTAGGCCCATTCGCTGTAGAGACTCGTGGTTTTCGGCCAATAGATGCCGCTTTAAATCATCTTGCCTTAAGAAGTGCGTCGAGGCATGCTCCGGACATTGCCAGGCTTTTTGGTGAGTGTGTTCATGGTTCAGCCACTCTTGTTTGGTTGCAAAGAGCTCATCCGGCTGTTGGCAATGTTTGTGAGTACACATATAGGGCCTTAGATCTCGTAGCAAGTGTGCCCTAAATTCTGTCAGTGCATCTCTAGAAACTATATTGGCCATGCATACCTCCAAGCACGTGGCATCTGATAATGCGGAGGACATATCATTAAGCAATAGGGGCATTCGAAATCTTTGCCTTTCTTGATGTCCTTTGGCAACTTAGGAAATTCGATCCTGCTGCCATCCAGACCACGGGCAGTTGTAGCATATGAGGTAACCGACTGGTTACCATCAGGCACATTGGTCGGAGCAATGAAGAGAGTTGCAGTCGTTTCGGTGAGTGTGGTTTTAGGCCTATAAGATTCCGTTTGAGCTTTGCCAATAACTGGCAACGACGCACGCGGGCCAGCAACAGATTCCCTCATTTCGTCTCCCTTCAAATGTACAGTAGGTGCGGGCTTAGGGATTTTCAAAATCTCCTTCTCGGCATAGAAACCAAGCTTTTTCCTATGATGCTTCCAGTAAAGAAATTGTTGCCTTCTACAGGTTATACCTTGGGCAAGCCTCTTAATCATAGCCAGATCACCATCGTCGAGCGTTGGACAGTTCGCATACTGATCCTGCGCATTTCGACGTAGTTGTGAAAAGAGATCTTTCGTAAAGGCCAAGTCCACCGGAGCAAATTGTTGCACAACGTCAACCCCACTCTCTTTGTCGATCAACTTATAAGACAGTGCTTTCAATAACCTAGAGTGAGATGCCGGCGCTCGTATTGAACGAGACAGGCGATAAAAGTTGTCATTAATATTAGATAACGCAGACACTCGTCGGCGCAGCTCGCTAGGAGCTAATTTCTCGTCGTCACTGTCTGAGGAGCTGTCGGAGCTCGACTCGCTATCGCTAGACAATGAGGACGTGTCCGAGTCGTCCACATGGCCCGCCGCACGTAAGGATATTTGCGCTTCATATGGAAGTCTTGCGCAAGATAAGACGAGGCACACTATTTTCAAATTAGGAAAAGTAGCATAAGTTAGGAAGAGAGCACCCACTTTGATGAAGCTCTTGCTGTAATTCATTTAGGAGCTTAAGAGCCCCTTCCAGGACCACAGGCGCATCACGAAGCCTGTAATCAAGCGAGCTGTGCCCTCTCGAAAGGGCACCAATATTAGCGGCCCATAATCGAAATCTACCAAACTCGTCTTCGACATCAGCATCAGGAACTTGAGCTGCAAGCTCTGGTTTCGCTGACTGGAGGTGACTCCGAAGAGCTCCAAATGCCTCCAAGCATGACGAGGTTGCGACATGCGCTCCCGAAGCCGACATGATTTCTCTTCGTCGTTCAAGGCCGACCTCCACTACGAGAGAGCTCCATAAACAGAGAACAGCTATGGCAACAGTAGTCGGTTTTCAGCCGCGAGCGACGGTGAAATATTTTGGCAGTTGGAGGATCAACAACCCTGCTGGTGCATGGACGCTTAGTTCAGCCGCAGCCTCATTTTGGATTGTGACCACGCCTGAAAAACCCCACACTTCAACACTCAGTAGTTAACGACAGCATGTGTTTTGCTGACTTTTGTGTGCCGTCGCTGTTCTTGTAAGCCATTAGAGGTTCGCGGCGGCGCCCAGCAGCCGTAGCAGCATGATGACTGGTATCGAGGTCGCCGGCATAGTTCTTGCTGTTCTACCCCTCTTCATCTCCGCTCTCGAGAACTACGAGAATGGACTGGACCCAATACGGGCATTTTTGGAGTTCGACTCCGAACTGCCGAATCAGATCCGGAAGCTCCGGGATCAGCATATCAATTACAACCTCACGATGAAGGGCCTGCTCTTGTCCATCGCTGACAGTGAGGATGTCGAGGAGATGATATCTGACCCAGGCGGTGTCCGCTGGAAAGACAGCGTTATGCAGAAGAGGCTCGAGGAAAGACTAGATGAATCGTACCAGGCATACCTTGATACGATCAAACATATAGAGGAAATCATGAAAACTATTGCGAAAGACCTCAAAATCGACCAAAGCGACAGGGTGAGTGGAGCCTTTCTCCTGTACGATGTGGCTAACACAGATTCAAGACGACGCGTGCGGACCTTCAATCGCTGCTGATAAAGGCACCGCGAAAAGACAATCATTTTGAATTTGGGCGGCGTGTAAAGTTTGGCATGAAGCTCAAGAAATTTACGAGGTTGCTTGACGAATTGGATAGCGAGAATCGGAAGCTAGAGCGATTCGCCGACAAGACGGAACGGCTCGAGACGTATCGGTTCGCTAAGCCAACGTCTATATACGGAGATGTAAAACGAGAAAGATTTGTCTTGGGCTCTGTCTTGACCATGGCGGGACACTCCGCAGGGCACTCTCAATCCCACTACCGGGCAAACAAAGTGAAGAAAAGCCAGCCGAGGATGTTCCTGACAATGAAGCAACCAGCCTGAACAAGCTTCTGATGCCTGACCCAGACCACTATGGACATACTTTGTCTCGAAAAGACCGCATGTCTCTAGCACTGATACTGGCTTCGTCATTTGTACAGCTAGAGGCCACACAGTGGATCCAAGAGTCATGGGGGAAAGAAGATATCGTCTTTGACCGAGCCCCCGATGCACCTGAAGACAGTTCCGTCGACCTCAGCAAGCCCTACATCTTGCACTCCATCGAAAAACGCACAGCGGACAACAAAACCCGACCTATTCGGAACTCGCGGAATTACAGTCTCTTGAGCCTTGGAATCCTCTTGCTTGAATTATCCACCGGACAGTCTTTTGAGCAGCACCTATCACGTATAAAGGGCAAAAGCACCGCCAGCCTAGACCCCCCTGAAGAATCCGTTGAGAGGCTCATGAAACTCTCAGAGGTCAGGAAATGGCTCGTAGCCGTTCAGGACGATTTATCCAGCGGATTCCACGGGGCAATCTGGCACTGTATTAAAAGCTACTTCGACGAAGAATCTGGCAAGAGTGAGGATGTCTACCGTCAAGCTGTGCTAGATCAAGTTGTCTTGCCGTTGCAGGAGGATCTGCAGAGCTTCTTGGGCACCAGAACTTAGTAACAGCCAACCAAACTCTTGAACATAAATTGAGGTAACTTATAGCTGGGTATAATATTTGACAAAGTGCCTGGGACGATTGCTCGGCAGAAGATATGGATGAAACGAAAATATCCAAACATGAACACGCCAAATGCGCCAACAGATAAACCAACAAACAATATTTATCACCAAATCACCAACATCCTCACCTCCCAGAGTGACTCTCAAACTCTTCCTCGCTGTCATTGGCCAGATGGAGGGCCTCTTCAGCGTCGTCATCCTCCGTGCCTCCTATGCCATCAGCCGCTTTAATCAACACGCCTATCTTTTGCCCGTCTTTCCTTCCTCTATCCACGTCAATCCACACGAATATAAACCCTGGAGCGACGATTAAACAGAGCAGAAACCAAAACGACGGTCTAATACCGCCCGTTCGATCGACGATCATTCCAACAATTGCGGGTCCAAACACGCTGCTTCCCTTGTCCGTGATCGCATACAGAGCGTAAAACGCAGCTTCGTATCCAGGAGGGATCAGTTCGCCATAGAGACTTCGGCAGTATGACGACAGTCCGCCGAGGACAAAGCCATAGAGGAGCCCGAGAGGGTACATTTCCCATGGCCTTGTGAGTGTGGAGAAGATTGGGATATAGTCGAGAAGACCGTACAGCGGGATGAGAGAAAATAGGAATATGCAGGCGAGAATCGTATGCAATGGAGTCAGTTTAAGGTAGCGGGAGATGTGCGGCCATGTGAATGCTCCTATAAGACCCGAAATGGTGACGAGCACGGAGATCCCTGCCAACGCGAGAGGGGGCATGCCGAGCGAGGTTTTGGCGAAGAGAATTGAGACTCCAGACACGGTGGCGATGGCGTCTGATAGGAGGAACCATGATGCGAGGAAGAGAAGGATATCTGGTAGAGCGGGAGTAAGGCGGATAGTCCTATATAGTAACGCCCATGAGTGTTTGATATATGTTACTCCGGAGGTTGCCATATTCGTAGGTAGAGGTGGTCCTGGGCGAGGCCGGAGCCAGAGGGCGGCTGGTATTGTGAATACGGACCACCAAAGACCAATCAGGAAGAGGACGAGTCGGAGAGAGAATGTGGATGACCCCAGTCCGAAAAGGATCAAGACTGATAATATTTGGACAAAAAGGGCAGCAGAATAGCTGATCCCAATACCTAGACTGGATATCTGAGTTGAGAGCTTGAGAGCAGTTGATGTAGCTGGCACGGCCAGAGGGGTTGGGTTTAGGAGGGCGCTTGTCGAATTTGTAAGACCGAGCGGAGGTTCGTCTTCAGCAATTGATTCTTCATCCTCTGTATATTGCTCGTCGGAGTCTAAATCCTCATCTTGTACTTCAGGGTGGTGTCTGACCAGTAATGGTAGAAAGGAGTTCAGCAGGACAAAGGATGCGCCCAAACATGTGTTTGCGATGATGCCGAGTAGAGCACCTATCAGGTATACCGAAGGGACAACCGGTAGGAAGAGCATCGTAGCAATAGACCCCGTCCATGCAAATATCAAGAGCAGCCTCTTCCGATAATTGCCGTGGTCCGCTGCGCATGATATGGAGATAACGACGAGGAACTGAAACAGGACCGACAGAGAAAACGAATACATCGCGAAGCTAGCAGTGTTGATTTCCATTCCAAGAAAGTATACGACGCATTGGTCTGGTTCGGGAACATGGTTCCCACGGGAAAGTAACGAGGCCGCATTCCCAGTCGAGTTGGGGTGGGTGGAAGTGGCGACGCAAGGAGTCGTTCTATCGGACAGCAGGACGCCATTTTCTCTTGCCAGTTGCTCGAGTGTGATGGGAATGAAAGACCCTAAAGATCGACGTTAGCAATCGGGTTCTTGTGAGCGAAGCGGTGAGGAAAGGAATTCGACGAAGAGAGAAGAGGCGGGGAGACACTGTATGCCCCGCATGTATGCCCAGCGCATTGCACGATGCAGTATAACCCCCTTGATTAAATACATTTACTCACCCATGCCGCAAATAACAAAGACCTCAGCTGCAAACCCGTAGGCGTACCATCCTGCCAACTCGCGTTTGCTGGTCAGCCTCGTATCTTCCCCAGCATACTGTGACCCCGCGCGTCGATGACCTCCGAGATCTGAACCCATGGTTCTTTCAACGTCGGAGCTCGATCGCTCGTCATCTGCTTCAAAAGAAGAAGAGTGCGAACGCAATGAATACTTTATGCTTGTTGTCGACTGTAGTCGTTCGGGAAGTGGTCGGCGCGTACGACGTTCGTTGGGCATATCGAGAGGTAGGCGGCCACAGGCAGCTAGCCATAAGCTTCAGCTGTCAGCCACAGGTAGATAACGGAGGGAAAGCAATTCGTATATGGTAGAACTCTTCTATTCCAAAGCTCTCATATCAATAGTTTTCGCTCATAAGATATGGTTACATATATTGACATGAACATGAAGCTTCAAACCCATGGTCATTGTTGCCAGTCGTTGTGGAGTTAGACTCGGAAACTCAGTTAGTGATCCACATACAAAAGTACCCTGAGAGATAATGGTCGGCAATGATCAGCGGCGCTACCACATGGTCCTACCACCAACCACGTGACGTCAATCGCGTTCGGAGGAGGCTCGCGGTCCGTCCGTCTTCTCCTGACGTCCGTGCCTCAAAGAACTGAGCCTGAGTAATATCATGTAACAACACAAACCACGACGCTCAATAGCACACATATCCACCTCTGCGAACCCTGTCACTTACTCTACATCATCTCCTTTGAAAAGCGACTCCAATCTCAAGGCGGCACTCACCGCAAGGACTGAGCCAATCCAGGGTCGAAATCGCTGGTCCAAGGGCGCTGGGAACAGAGTTCCAGCGTCGCATCATCACCAACACATCGCACGCTTAGTTTCGACTTACCTGATTCTCTGAATCATAGTCGCACGGTGGTTAGAGACCACTTTACAGGTCACGTCGGACGCAGATGCGAACTGAAGAACGGTGACAACACGCTCTCACGACAGCTTCAGCGGACGCTCTCGTCACGACCGATGCAGACGCCTTTGAAGCAGCCAAGATAGAGTCGCAAGTACAGCCCAGATCGGGAGAGGAGAGAGGTGGGGAGCTGCGCGACGGCGCTGGAGGGGCAGAGGGGCAAGTGGAAGGGATCATGCCCGGTGTCATAATGGAGAACGGTTATGGAACTGGGGCGCACACAAACCACGATAGAGATGGGGCCCCGAACGGTACGAATGGCGCATTGCAAGCATCGAGTCGACCCGCGGAAAAGACTGGCATGCCTGGCCACCAGCAACCACCGAATCAATCAGTACAACTGAACGGAGCGAACGGTGCGCCAATGACACAATCGGCAGGTCACTCAGCAGGATCAGTGTTAAAGGATGCCAATATCCAGACCAAAAGCACTCCTCCGAAGATAAATCACATTACTGAAGGGTTCGAGTCGCTGCCAAACCTTCTCACGAGATTGGCGCAAGTGACACACAACCAGCTGTCCGGAAAGTTGCTCGAGCTGGCTGGAATGAACATCCAGCAGTCGCCCGATAATTCGAATGCTGTGAGCTTTGTGAGTGGCCCGGACGACAACTCTGCCGAAAACATAAAGAAGAAGGTCAATCTGCTCAAGTTTGCGGAAGGGGTACATTCGAATTGGACAAAGGCGCTGGTCATCACGCAGTGGAGTAGGATCAGCGAAGAAGTCAGTCGGGTTATTGACCTCAAAGCTCATTTAGACGAGCAGAAGCTCTACTATGATATCGCGGTACATGAGTTGAGCGAGGTCAAGAGAAGCTTGGTACATGCGAGGTTACCCAACCCTGATCTGAGGACGGCTGTGGAGGTGCTGTCCACCGGAAAGGCGTCATGGATGCCAGACGTAAGTTGTGGCCTTCAGAGTCTTTATTATTGCTAACATAGTACAGCTTGGCTACATTGAACCTCCGCCGTTAACAGCAAAGGAGATCCTTCAATCATTACAGAACCTAAACACATTACTATCGATACGACTGAATTTACACGACTACGACAAGATACCCTACCACTTCAGAAATTACACAATCAAATCAGGCCGCGTAACTTTCAGAGTAGAGGGGGAGTTTGAAGTCGACCTTACAATCGCCGATGAAGATCCCGAAAAGCAATTCTGGTTCATTGACTTCCGGTTTTTGTTTTCTCCTTCTCCGTCGGTCCTGACCGATCAGATGCGTTACTCCTTAGAGGCGAAGGTCAACACGGTGCTAGAAAAGGATGGACTGGCAGGATGCTACAAAGTTCTACACGATTTGACTCTAACTCATAAGATATCTGAACTCAGGCGGCAAGCATATGAGATTGGCCGATCGAGATGGATTGACGCTTTGATGGTTGAGCCGTTGCGGAGGTCCCTTTCAATCCAGTACTGGGTCGACAGATGCGGCAAAGACGGACCAAAGAGTTGGATCATCATTGGCATTATCAGTGGAAAGAAGAAGGGGGCCTATCCCGACGAAAAAGAGACAAGCCAGATTGGCATTCGCTGGTTTCGAGACTCGAAAGAGGTAAAGGATGTCGAAATACCTCTTGAGCTCACCACCTTATCGGTGGAGGGGTTATTACGGTCTATCATTACCATGCACGTTTCGCACATACTGGAAAGCATGTACAAAAGCCTCCGAACAAAACCCCTATACGAGAACAGGGATCTCGTTTTGTCATTCAAGAAGCCAACGACGGCCGAACAAGAGCCAGAGCTCCACGTGCAGCTTACTTCTCAGTATAAAATCAACGTCATCGTTGAGTATATTACTGGGAAGTTTGCCATCAGTCCGTCATCGAGACTCACAAGCCAAGCCGAATATAGGCTCAACAACCAGACCGTTGATCCAGCTTCGAATGGACACGAGTATATTGAGAACCTCCACTGCGTGTTGGTATCTGAAGACACCGTCAACCGGGCTTATACCGTAGGCTGGTTGCCTGTCAGGAACCCTCGCCTGCCACAAGACGAGCTAAAACCCTTCTTACCGCGAGACACGCTGCAGCTGTCATGGTTCAAGAAGCCTGGGTGGGATCCAAACTGGTACTTGGCCCTAAGCTCAGGCATGAGTGGGGAGCGTTGGTGGTTAATAGAGGTTACCAATGTTCCCGAAGGGCCCAGGCCAGCTGCAGATTCAATTGTACTCGATGGGCCAACAGTCAGGAGTCACATCCAGCTGCCACTTAAATCCGTGTCGCCTGCTCCGACCTACGCATTCTTATCAAGCCTGCATTTGCTCTCAACCTCCATGATATCTTACTACACTAATATGCGAGCTTTGCATAGCCGCCGATCGAAATTTATGCTTCGGAATGCCTCCAAAAGCACGTTATCTTATCGGCAAGGCCAGCCAGCTCTATATGTCATGCTGTCGACTTTATTACCTTCAAAAAACAGATCGCCCCGGACAGGCAAGCCGTGGGCGAAAGATGTACTCAAAGTCTCGTTTCAGGGAATAGAAACGTTGGAGCAAAAAGAAGCAGCTACAAGTCCTGCGGGTGGCTCTAGCCAATCACCGTCGAATCCACCAACCGCCCCAAGCGGACCAGTTGGCCCTCGACAATCAGATACCGAAGAAGGTGCAATTATGATTGCAGAAGGCCATATGGAAACGGCCATCCCAGCAGGGCTTCTCGTCAAGCAGCATGTCGACAAGGATATTGCATTCCATCCATCAACAAGTGCCTTCGCCTTCCGCCTTCAGGCCAGGGTTGGAGAGCCCAGCATTGCCCCTCTTATAGAGCGCCTTCAACGTGTCGAGCGGCTTGTGGACTTCGTACAAGTCATCAACGCGCACCCATACTCGTTACACTGTGAAAGTGTCTCCTTAAGCCGACTCATATTCAGCTACGGCTGTGTACAAAGCCCAAGTCCCAACCAGCCTCACACAGAATCCCCACGATACCAAGCCATCATCGATTTCTCCAGTCAAACCTCCAAACTTGAACTCCAACTTGAAGCCGGGAATCCACACATCCGCATCCTGGACCACCTCACCAAGATCCTCAACTCCCCACTCGGTCTCCATGGACTCGCCACCATCCTTCCCCTCACCCTCCCAGTCCTTCGTGCGCTTGATGCTGCCGAAGACTCATGGGAGGATCTCCCAAGTAGCGAGTTGCAGATACTATGCCGCGCTGCTGATTGGTACGCCGTTCGGTACATTCTAACGCCTCCCAGCGATGGTGACAACAAATCACCGGCCCCTCCAAAACGCATCATTTTCGAAATCCGACTACACCGCCGCGGAAACGTGCCATGGTGGTGTATGCGCCGCGACCAGAAGCATAACGCTACAACCGTGGACCCACTGGATTTAGCATTGAAGGAGAAGGTGTGGACTCGAAGTGAGAAGGGGGTCTGGATGGGCATGCAGTGCGCTGCGATTGCTCAGACTGGCGGCGCAGAGGCTATGGTTTTACGAGTCGATTCAGCTATGCGTGATTTGGCAAAAGATGGCACTGTATTCGCCAGTGCTGCGCCCGGCGTGACGGGCGTGAAGGGCGAGGGAGCTGTTCCGGAGACGACTGATGGGCCAGGAGGTCAAACTGGACAGGCGCAAGTTCAAGCTGTGAATGCGCCGAACAAGGCCCAAGCTCAGCGGCCGCAGACTAAATCCCCAGTCCTACAGAAGCAGGTGCAGAAGAAGGCCCAGGGGCCGCCGACCCAGCAACAGAGGACGCAGGCGGCCTTGAATGAAGCGCCGCATCGAGCACAGTACCAAGCCCAGCAGCTCGCGAGGCAGAAGGAGATGCACCGGCAAGCTCAATTTCAAGCGCGGCAGGGCCAGGGCCAGGGCCAGCAGAGACCGAACGCTAACGCTAACGCTAACGGTGGGGGCGGGAATTCGGGGAAGCAGGATGCGATTGTAATAGACTAGGATTAATGAGGTGTTATTTTGGGGGTGTAATTGCCCGGGGGGGGGGCAAGTTGCTTGTGTTTTTTTGGTAAATACCCGATGGCCGGTATTGGCGGGATGCGATGCATGGAAAATATGTGTGGGGGTTTTAGTTCCAGAGTATTTTTTGCTCTGAAGGGGATAAATGAAAGTGAATATTGAATGAGACTTTTATGGGGGGTTGTGAGGTGATGCCTTGTCGTGTTGTGGGGACGTGGTTTTCTCATACCTCTGATATGAGAAACGAGATGTGTGTATTATCCGCGCTCTACCGCGGGCTTATGTTCTGCTCTCTCCCCAAACACTTTTGGCACTGGTCTGGATTAGAGGCGAGAGAATAACTCCGCGGAGCAATTCATCTTTATCAATATTCAAGGGGCTGTGGTGGTTAGCTCCGCAATGTGGTACGATGTTGACGCCGATAGACCACTTATGAACATTTTTATTTACAGCCTCAAAGAAAGCATCATTACCAAGATCAAACCCCAATTCCGTATTACTTGCACACTCCATGTTGACTTTAATTATCGTCATAGTCTCGCCATTGCGCTCATGAAGGCTACTACGCAGCCCGACATTGACCTTGATGACGAGTCGGAAGGGGAAGACGTGCCCAAGGCATACATAGGGGGGAGCAGCGGGATCGTCGCAGACGTCAACCCATCCGACCCCGAGAGCATCGATATACCGGGGGTAAACGTCCCAAGTACGGAGGACATCCCAGTCGAGCCTGATGGTATCGATATACCAGAGGCAAACGTCCCAAATACGGATAATATCCCAGTGGAGCCTGGTGGTAGCGATATATCAGAGGAAAATGTCCCCAACACGGATAATATCCCAGTGGAGCCCGAAACATCCATCCTACAGCCTCTCTCGAGTACAGCTATCGATGTCCTCGCGGGGTCCCGAGTGCCAACCATCGACATCATATTAAACAGCGCGGGCATAATGAGCATCCAGGAATATACCCACAGCCGCGGGAGGATCGAGATGTACTTCTCGACAAATCATACAGGATACTTTCTATTCGCCTGCCTAATAGCGCCGCAGCTTATCGAGCCAGTATGCGACACCACAAACTGGATGATGCTTGTACAGAAAGATAGGCGGCCGTTTCGCGAAAGGTCGACTATAGTGTGGGCAGATATGCGTTATGGGATTTTAAGTACGGATCATGGCTGGTCGCCTATACGGAGATTTGGGGTATTCGAGTTGATGTCGCGTCGTGAACTGGATGAGGAAGATATCCCTCTAGATTATCCCGCGGAAGTTCAGCGGGAGTGGACAGCGAATTTTATGTTTGTGCTTGCCAGAGCTGTCATTTACATGCTTGATTTACTCGTGTTCGTTTCTATTTCTGTTCTTGTCGTTGCGGGTGGCACCCGTTTTATATCACTTGTTCAGGGGTTTTATAGGGATATTAACAGGGAGACCGTGTTTGGGATGCGTGAATCAGTGCGAGGTGTGTATTGTTTTCTAAAATCGATATCCGAACATTGGCCACATGCGATTTGGTTCGTGAATATAGAGCACGCTGCGGTCGGTTATCATCTGGAGAAGTGTCATTGATTGTCTGTTGGAGTTTACAGGGGTCAAATTACAGCGTCAAGCGATGAAGCTAGGGAGTTATAGAAGGTATCAACGGGCTTGGTCGGTGAGAAGTGCAGTTGGATTGGTGGAGTGTTGGCCTTTGAGTCTTGGGGTCAGAAGCGACATTTTTATACCAGATATTTTCAAATACAAAGTTGTTTAGGCTCATAAATCATAGAACGGCGAGGATAGTTTCCTTGTGGATATATTCGTATGAAATAATTTCTATGCCAATAGAATATATTTATTATGAAACCAGGCATAATAATTACTTCCTAGCATAGAAATCCTGTCGTCGTCGTCGTGAGAATGCTGGAGAAGCCACTAGCCGCACAAACTCCTGACGCCACACGCCACACGCCACACGCCAGCCGCACAAACGCCACTGCCACAATCACTTAATTACCCCACCCACCCGCAACGACACGCGGCTACGCCAGCCTTGCGCCAACTTAAGCTTCCAGAACCATCAAGAACCCCCCCGAACGACACCGAGGCAGACAGAGAGTTGTCGTCAGCCCGCTACCTGTCACTTTACTATGGTGTAAGTGTGTTTCTTTGCTATGTGTAGGTAGGAATGGACAGTCTAGGTAGGAATGGCGTGCGTATGGTGGAACTAGGGGTGAAGTCGATGGACCAGCCTCTACAGCACCCTCCTCATTTGACCTTTTCTGTCGTTTCAACCCTTTATCCTCTTTTTCAGCGATCAGTTTTTGAGCATCTTCTATAGTAAGTGACCCTCCATCTTGGACATGTGTACGCTTGGCTTTCCGACATTTTGAAAGTGCTTGTGAGGTCCCAGAGTTTAGCTATGATATTCTCGAGGCTTTTATAATTTCACCGATCCTTGGCGATTGCCAAAACTGTGGGCGTAATCAAGTTGCAGACAAGATGTTGACGTTGCGGCTGTGGTGGGGCTTCTAACATATATTAACAAACCATAAGTTATCTAAGTTATATTATTCCCGTATATTTCGGTCAGGTTACCATCACTGAATGTAAGTTTGATCGGGCAAGTGTGATTGCAGTTGTGGGGTGGGTTAAATGATGTCGGTGCAGATATTGGGTTGTGGACGAGAGTGGAATAAGCGGGAATCAGGGAGGAGTGTCATACTGACATTCGTTGCACTCAGTTTGCTATCAAACTCAAGAGCAAACTTAGAAATCTCCTCCTCAAACCTACAAGTCACTATACATATTTTGGCTTATCACACCAACAACAGAAGCAATACTACTCAACGATTGCTGCAAACTCTTCTACTACATCTGTTTATGCTACATACATCACGGCATATCATTTGGACACTCATTGAACAAGTTATTAAGAAAATCTCCTCCTTAAGGGGGTGGGCCAATACTACCACATGGCATATCTCTACCAACTAGAGGCCTAGGAACATGAACGATAGCTCTAGAAGCTTCTACAACCCTCTATGATTCATTACACATCATCGCTCCTTAGTTACCCACAAGATTGGTTAAGTTATGACATAATTTATCTATAGGTACTCTGACCTTGGACCTCCTTTTTACTTCCTATAGGCTAGGAACCCAAGAGATGGTTCTATGGGATTCTCTTACGTTCACTACATGATTAGCAAGCTAGTTGTGGGTCGCACTTGATTTCTAATACATTTACCAAGCCTGGTTAGTCATGGAAAGTCATGGAAAATGAGAGGACTACACTCCTTTGGCATAATAGGATTGCCCTTTCCTTAAGAAAGGGCAAGCAGGCAATACAGTAAATCGACTATCACATACTTCCACATCTTTTACAAGCTTCCAAGCATTCATCTTGTTACTCCTTGTTTCTGAAAAGTCAGTGAGTGTAACGCTGACTCCTAAACGATAGAAGACACAGAGGTTCTCTTGCGTAAAGGTTTACTTATCAGAGGAGGCAGGGGATCAGACACAAAGGCTTCAAGTAACACGTTACTAGTATATAACAAATACTGTATTGAGTTGAGCACGAAGCTCCTATCTAAGAACTAACTATCTACTTATATAGTGGCGTCGTGCCTAGTGGACTCCTGGGAACTCACTCGAGTCCTCGGAGTCCTGGACTCTTAGGATTCTTCTTATCGTCCTGCGAGTCCGTCACGTGCCTAGTGGACTCCTGGGAACTCACTCGAGTCCTCGGAGTCCTGGACTCTTAGGACTCTTCTCATCATCCTGCGAGTCCGTCACGTGATACTTTCGGAACTACTATTCCCCGCTGCCCCTCCAGGTACCAGGGCCGGTCTCATGCGACCTCCCTCCTTCCTGTCCTGTAGTTGGCCAGCCTTCTTGTTCCGTCGTAACAGTGAGGTGTTAACCTCTGACTTACCCCTGAGTTCCCAGACTCAACATTTGTTGCAACTTGTCTGAACCACTTCACTACATCACACACCTGATTGCTGCGTTGTGGAATAGTCTAAGCTACGACCCTTTGGCTCTGTTTTCTAAGACAGTGTGTTGTCTTAGTAAATTCATCCCTTCCTTGGGTGGCTAGATTCTCACATCTGGTGCACCCACCATTACAGCTTGGAGAGCAAGGAAATCTTTATTTCAAGTTATGTTTTGGGGAGCAATGAGTTCAGAAACCTCTATCTTATGGATTCCTGAAAGTATAGAAGAGAAGCAGATACATGTGCAGAAACTACGAGAGATAAATGCATATTGGAAATCAAAAGCAGAGAATGAACTTGTTAGAGCAACAACAGTTGGAACTCTTGAGTACGGATATATGGAAACTCTAAATGCAGATATTCGGAATGGCAAAAGCAAATGGAAAAAGGCACAAGTTGCTTCACAAGAGTTTGGAGATATAGAGACATGGAGTAGAGGATGGCAATCAGAAGGGCAAGAAGTTTCAAAGGGCAGGATTGATTGGTTTCTATATCGAGAGATGGTTCTTATTCCTCTTCTCTTCCCCTACTTTCGAAAAGTAAAGGCTTTACATCCTACAAAACGAGTATGGTTTGTGGATGATAATGTAAGTCTTCATTTGAAGGCTCACCGATCATTGGAAGATTATATGAAGAAGGAGGGAATCTATAGAGTGAAATTTTGGCCTCCAAACTCTCCCGATTTGCACCCTATTGAAAATGCCTTTGATTATCTCAAGGATCAGGTTGACGGCTATACACCATTAAACGGAGAGAAGTTTGAGAGAGCTCATGCACGGGTATTTCTTGAGGAAGAATGGGGGAAAAAAATGGATGGGAAATCTACACAATTATGTGCTTCGTTTAAGGACAAGTTGGAGCGGTGTATTGCAGTCAATGGGGGGAACAACTTTCGTGGGTAGATCAGTACGAGTAGAGTATGTACATGCATTTTCTCCAAGTACTTACACGCCCCACTTATTACGCACAGACCCTGTGGAAACTTTTGGGCCGCACGAGTATATTATAGATACGTCGGTTTTTTTTGTCTTCCATACGAAATGCGGTCGGTTGCCATCGTCTCCCCAAACCCTTCGTCTTCCCCGGACACGACAATTATGGATAGGATAGGATAGGATAAGATTCTTTGCTGTTTCAAACTATATTATGGAAAATTTGAATTTAATCGATATATTTGGGGCTACAGTAACTTACATTAGATGCCTATTTCTTATTTTTTGTGCAAGTTCTGTCATCATAGAGTAGCACCGGGTTCCGGAAAATATTTTAGCCGAAATACGGGTAAGCTAATAAGCGAGATGGATGAGGCACTGGTCACTACTCTCGCTCTTCCTTTCGACAACCCGATGGCCAATACCAGCCCCACCGATTACAAGAAACTCTTTTTGCAGGCCGAAGAGCGTCAGAGACAGGCCGAAGAGCGAGAGAAGCAGGAAACAGAGAGACGGAAGCAAGCTGAAGAGCGAGAGAAGCAAGCTGAAGAGCGAGAGAAGCAAGCTGAAGAGCGAGAGAAGCAAGCTGAAGAGCGAGAGAAGCAAGCTGAAGAGCGAGAAAAAAATGCCGAGGATAAAGAGAGACAGGAAAGGGAGCGCAATCAACGAACGACTTTTGCAGAACTCATGCGCTTCTGCCACAGTTTACTCTCCCGATCGTTGAGAGTCGAATCACCATCTCGCTCGACTACAGGTAACATACCCCTTCCCACCGGTAAATATTGCCCCACACGACTAGCACTGTGGACCGATTGTTCAGCTCGACAGCAAAAAATCTACAGCTCTGTGTGCAACTACCTCCAGCCAACCGAGGAAGCCGGAGCACGTTTGTTTACCCCCTTGATTGCGCTTGAGGAGGATGCAAGACGATTCGGTCTCCGTCCAATTAGCAGTGAACAAGGTCTCGAGAACTACGAGCGAACTGCTGTGGAAGATCACGTCCGTGATATAATTGCAGAGCTATGCAAAATCGACGCTGCCCGAGACGAATTCGGACTTGGAGATGGAATCTGGTTCGACAATCACACCAACTCTTTCAATCCAGGCGGTGGTAGCGAGGCAAATGCAGACCAACCATCAGGCATACATCGCCCCCGACCCGATCAGTTCTGCATCCACCGAGTCGATGGCAACACTAATACCCTCCTCACTACGGTCGAATACAAGCCGCCCCACAAGCTTTCTATGGAAGCACTTCGCGTGGGGCTTAGGGAAATGGACTTATGGAAATGCATGGTCAGATCAAACAAAATCACGACGAATCGCGCGGAAAAACTGAAATACAATGCAGAGCGGCTCGTGTGCTCCGCCATTGTTCAGGAATACCATGTGATGATCCAGGAGGGACTCGAGTACTCTTATATCACCAACGGGATCGCTCGTGTCCTTCTCCGCGTTCCATACGATGATCCTAGCACATTGTACTACTTTCTCTGTGATCCTAACAGCGATAAAAGTCTCCAAGAGCCGAATACCTCCATCGCCAGGGTTCTGTGTCTGTGTCTGATGGCATTCCATTCCCCTGTTCGTGACCAGGAATGGAGAAACACTACACAGTCACGTCTTTCTTTGTGGACAACTAGCTTCGACCACGCTCGTTCTCAGATCCCTAAGGAAGTCTTACCGCAAATCGCTCCGCACTCCGATAGTACCAACTCAGAGTATGTAAGTCCAGAACCGAGTTCAGACTACCAACCATCATCGCCTCCACTAGAATCTCCAACAGCAGGTCGCCGAGTGCCCACGAGGTCTCAAGCCAGCTGTGCCCCATCAGATGTCCGACACCGGCAGTCGCCAGAATCATCAGGCTCCGACTCGAATCCAGCGACCGCACGCAAACGAGGCTTCAGCCAGGTCACATCTTCCCCTTCCGCGCAACGAGCGGCTCATCAACGCGAGGCTAGGAAAGATCAAGGCAGCCATTCGAAACGCCATGATGCACAGTTTTGCACCCAGAGATGTTTATTAGGGCTGCAAACGGGAGGTATCATAGACGAGTGTTGTCCAAACGTGAAGCTTCATCGTCGGGGTCAAGACTTCATCAAACACCCCATCACCTCGGAGGATTTGATGGGTTTACTAAAAGCACAACTAGACGAAAACATTGACCGATGCATGCCCCTTGGAAATTGCGGGGCATACGGTGCGCCGTTTAAACTCATTTGTGCTAAATATGGCTATGTTGTCGTTGGGAAAGGGACCACATCGGGCCTCTGGAAAGAAGTCTCCCGCGAAGCGCAGGTATATAAAATCCTGCAGAAGGCTCAAGCATCCGCTGTTCCTGTCTTCCTCGGTACAATCGACCTGGCAAAAATTTATTTTCTTCATGGGGCTGGAGAGATCCGTCACATGCTCGTCATGGGCTGGGGGGGTGATAGCACCGCAACGATGGAACTGACCCCAGGGCTTCTTAGAGATATTCACAAATCGAACAAGGACATCGAAGCCTTGGGAATCGTCCACGAAGACCTTCGGCCTGAAAATGTCCTTTGGAATGAAGAGCTTGGGCGGGCATTAATTATCGACTTTCACCGATCTACATTAAGATTTCGGCCAGTTCCAAAGCGACCACGAGCGAAGCGACTATTGTTGCGAACAGAGTCAGGAGATGCAAAGCGTTTACGTTCGATGAGAGGCAGTCTTTAGCTTTTTGTATTTCAATAGCGATCGCATACTAGATAATGAAGCGTTTCGTTTATTGGTATTAATGACTGATCCAGTTTCTTTTGCTGCATCTCAACTTATATGAATACTCCGAATACTGCCAAGCCCTTGGCAATGAGGGGTAACTGGGCGTAGAATAGAATAGATAATTGAAGCTTTCTTCCACTCCGTATGAGAGTTATTGTTTTTAGGGGTTTGTATGGCGAGGTCGTCGAGTGCGGACGGTAGAATGGGTTTTCTATAACTGACATCATCTAATATAACACTATCGGAGCAGGAGCGGGAGCCAGAGGCTACTCCCCGTCGCACCTCTTCATCCCCCAAAACCAAGGTGCTTCTTTATATGGCCATCTTCAGCGCCCGTCCTCCCAGGCGACCACGGCGACTGAGATTACAAAATAAATTACGGACAAAATTAATTAATACTCTACACTTTTTAAATCTACACCTTTTATATCCTTTACACGTTGTACTCCAACCCTCGTGACATTCAACCACACGCCCGAACAACAACACACCACCAGCGGCCATATTCCGCCCCCCGACACAAATGCATTCCCCTCCAAGCATCTCGAGGTGTTACATCTCTCTCCTTACCACTCGCAACTCCAGCTCCTTGCCTCTTTCAGGCACATTGCATCCGAGCTGTGACCGTCGATCTTTCTCGCCATCTATCAACTTCAACTTCTTACGCCATAGAAATGGCCATGAGTCAATGTGCTCTATCATGAGAGCAGTGCCCCGCGTTCTAATCCTGGACGCCATCGACGCCCTCTACTCCGCTGTCTCAGAGGAACACAAATCAGCCATCGTGTTAACTACGGAGCCCAAGATTGCAGTGCAGTGTTGCGGCACAGTTACGATGCTTGCCACAGTGCTAAACTGTATGACAACAAGTGCCCCGCGCCTGATCCTGGACGCCATCGACGTGCCAGCTGGCCGATGGATGTTGGATCAAGGCGCGCCTGCCTGATTTGGAGGTTCCATTGGGTCACGATAACATCCTCGAGCTGCCCGAAGTGGTGTCGAGTACGGAGCCCAATGCAGGAAAAGGGATGGCCTGGGTCACGATAACAACCCCAAGGTGGCCGTGGTGGTGTCGAGTACGGAGCCCAAATGCAAGAAAAAGGGATGCCCTGGTCTGGGGTACGGAGCCCAGCTCAGGAAAGAGGTTGCCCTGGTCTGGAGTACGGGGCCCAACTCAGGAAAAAGGGATGCCGAGATCGGGAAGGGCATGGGGGAACTGGGGGGATTTGATGTGATGATGGGAGACTAACGTGCGCAGGAATACACGATACGGTTTTTACGACAGATACGGAAAGAACGGCGATGTGTCGATAACATCAAGTCCGCCAACCCACTGCCAGTCTAGAGCAATGCCAATCTTCCGCTGGTCCATCGCGGGCGCCCAGCTTATTATCTTGGGGGATTAATCGCGGAATGGAAGGCTCGACGGCTTCCAATTCTTGTTATAGGACCATGCAATCTATGCTGTACCTTTGGTCCGACGACACACGACGTACTATATAGTCTACAGCAGTATCTCTGTATGGGAGATACGAGATACGAGACTCAAACGGTGGGATAATTAATTGACTTCAATTAACTACAGTAACAGCAATTGATATGTCGCTGGTATACAAAACTGAGTACCGCGGTGTTTGTTCCCTTGTTCCTGCCCCGCATTGTGCCATTGTGCCATACTGGAAATGTGGAATTCCCGCGTTAACTAACTACGGAGCCCAGAATTGGAGTTGATATTTTAAACTCGTTATTTGTACTCCAATTCTGGGCTCCGTATTAAAATGTACGAGCTTGCCCCTTCGTGCCGTCAAAGGGCTCCACATTCGTCCCTTTCGCCAACGAGGCCGCGAGAACTACCACCATCACGCAATTGACGATCGGAATTGCTCCATGCCTACTAAGCTCGTTAGTACACGGATTGTCACCAAACACATGGGATTTTTGTAGGTGAACAGTCAGAATGTGAGGAGGGGTCAGCGAGGGGTTGAGAGGTCAGTGGTAATTATAGGTGGTATTCATTATCTCATTCATACCGTTATTTCTCACCAGGGACATATATATAGCCTGTCGTGTGCCCCCCCCTACATTTCTTGATCTCTTGATTACTCTTTAACTACACGCTCTACTTCACTTTATATACCCAAAGCGTCCTTTTTTGGTCCTTTCAACATGGCACCAGCCCTCTTCGAGTCGCTTCCCACGGCGCCGTACCAGAGCAAGAAGGCCGTTGATACTACCATCTTCCACGATGGCATCAAGACCTCCGGGCAGCACCCTCCCCTCTATGACCAACTGAGGCCATACTCCGAGTTTCCCAAAGTTTGCTCTGGTCCGTCACTGTGGAAGCCGGAGGACTACAAAGACAACCCAGAGAAATGGGTGCATAGGTTCACTGCCGAGGAGATCGAAGAGCTCGGCTCCGTGGCAGACAAGTTCATCGCAGATGGCATTCCCCTAACTGGCATTTCAAAGGTATGTCGTTATCAGTCTTCAAAAGCGGCGTTTCTGACAAATCGTAGAGCAACTTCGTTCTCCCAAAGCTCGGGATGCTCCTATCAGGTGTTAAGCACGACCTTATTGAGGGCAAGGGATTCATACTCTTCAAAGGTATCCCAGTCCAAGTATGGGATAACCACAAATGCGCCGCTGCATACATGGGACTCGGCACATACCTGGGCTACTTCATCAGCCAAAACTCCCGCGGTCACGTCCTTGGTCACGTCAAAGATGTTGGCGACGACGCAACACAAACCGACAAAGTCCGCATCTACAGAACAAACGCTCGGTAAGTTTCTCTCGCATTCCCCATCCTAACTTTAAACTAACTCCCGCACCAGCCAATTCTTCCACGTCGACGACTGCGACATCGTGGGCCTCCTCTGCATAGCCCGCGCCCTCGAAGGCGGCGAGTCCGACCTGGCCTCCACCCAACACGTCTGGAACACCCTGCAACGTGAGCGTCCCGAAGTCGCCGAGACCCTCACAAAGCCCATCTGGTACTACGACCGCAAAGGCGAGACGACCTCCGGCGAAGACGAGTACGTGCGCCAACCCCTCTTCTACCTCGAGACCGGCTCCGACAACCCGCGCGTCTTCGCAAAGGCCGACCCCTACTTCCTCAAGTCCCTCAAGCGCTTCTCGGATATCGGGGAGATCCCGCCGTTGTCGGCGGAGCAGCTGGAGGCGCTAAAGGTGCTGGAGGATACGTGCATGAGGCTTAGTCTGCATATGGTGCTTGAGCTTGGGGATATCCAGTTCTTGCATTCGGGACCCCACGTGTTCCACTCGCGCACAGCGTATAAGGATAACCTTCCCCCGCTTCCAAGGCGCCACTTGATGCGTCTCTGGCTCGCGGTCCCGGAGAGTGAGGGGGGGTGGAAACTTCCCTTCCATGACTCGAATGAGAAGAAGCGCGGCGGGATTCAGGTTAATGATACACCACCCGTCTGTCCTCTCGATGCGGAGTAAGAGGCTCCTCCTTTCAAATGAAAACCAGAAGCATTCGCCTGGCGCGGTGCTGAAATTGGACGCGGAGTACTATTGTACACGACTCTTTTTCGATTCTTACACACCCCCTCGCCGCCGCGGTCCCGCCTCACATCACGGCACACATCAGATCCACACCCCTCCCGTACGGATTCCGGCCGATATGAACACCATGCCGCACCCTCGTCACCACGCGCGTGGTATTCAGACAATACCCCCCCTCTCTGGCACCGTCCCAAGGACACAACCGCGCACAGCAGGTCCGGGTCACCCTCGGGCCGTGGGCGGAGCACTCGAAGACGAGGTGTGAGCAGTTTGAGAAGCCCAGATCGGGGGCGCAGGGGGAGGTGATTTCCATCCAGGTATGGTGGCAGGTTGGGGAATGGAGGGTTCGGACGAGGCACATTGTTGAGGTGTATATATAATGGCTTGTGATGAATGATGATATTAATGATACTTTTGGTATTGAAGTTTGTTCTTGTGTTGAGAGACGTGGAGTGAGTGAGAATGGGCAGTCATTTTGTATAGCGCGGTTGCTTTGAATCATGCGCGCTGTGTGAATTTCTTGGTTTATATTTGAATCATTAGAATACAGTGAATCTCCTTTCTAAACGCGACAATACAATACAGCTTCAATCCCATTCCCAATGCCACTACCATATAATACACCCACCCCGCCCACGTCCAAGGTATCAATACACCCCCCATCTTCAATCCACATCACTTCCCCTCCTTCCCTCCCTCTCCCCCCAACTCCCCTCCCTCATCCTCCCCTTCTAAATCCCTAGTAGCCTTCATCAACTCGTACAACTGCCCTATTTGCTGATCTGCATAGACAACACCCATTAGCACCCACATAACGGAAAAGTGAAGGATGGAAGAAGACGTACCGCTCATCTTATCGATCTTGGCTTTGTCCAGCACCTCGCCCTGCCAGGAGGAGCCTTCGAGTTTTTGGGCGTAGAGTTGCCATTCTGTTAGGAAACCGATCTGGGGAGGGTGTTAGCTGCTGTTTCCCCTATGGTTGACCCCGACCCTCCGCTTCCATCCCCTCCTCATCCCAATTGTTCACTCATCCTCCCGCTGCTCCCTTCCCCATCTCCCCCCAACCTCACCAGCCCAAAAGAAAACACCCAAGAACTCACAATATGCATCGGATTCTCCACCTCCCTATGCGTTCTAAACTCCCCCTTAACATACTCATCCCCCAACACCCTCATCTCCCTCGGCAAACACTTCCTATGCGCCCTCAACAACCGTCTATACAGCGGTATCGGCGGGAGCAGCGCCGAGGGCGGTGCGCGACCGGCTGGTGTTAGGGTGGCGGCGCGCGCGAGGAGGGGGCGGAGGGTGCGCATTGTGTTTTGTTTATTTTGGGGGCGTGGTGGGAGGTGAGAGGGAGGAAAGTAAAGGGTGGTGATGGGGTAGATCCGAGGTTCGTGGGTTTGGGGTTGAAGCTGTCAGCCTTGTGGCGAGGCTGTGCGGGGGAGAGGGAAAAGTTGCGGGGATGACGGTGGGGGTTGCGATAAACACGGTATTAGAGGGATTAAATGAGGTGTTGATGGGATTATATTATGACTGGATTGGTTGATTGATACTGAGTTTCACACTCGAAAGAACTATCGCTAAATCAACGACACCACCAACCTCACCACACCACGGCGCCGCCGCTCACGGCACAGCAATCATGCTCGACACCCCCGACACTGCCCACGTCCCGTTTACACACATCTACGAACCAGCAGAGGACTCATATCTTCTCCTCGACACATTTTCCTCCCCGCCCCTCACTTCACTTTTCCGATCTCTCTTCCCCATCTCTCCCCCCTCGCCGTCCCCACTCATCCTCGAAATCGGCACCGGCTCAGGCGTCGTCCTCGCCTTCCTCACCGCACACGCCTCAACCATCTTCGGGCGCCCGGATGTCCTAGCATGGGGCGTGGATATAAATGAACATGCCTGTCGGGCGACGAGGGAGACTGTTGCTGTTGCTGTCCGCGAGGCAGGAACTGGGGGAGGAGGGACGTACATCGGCAATTGCGTAGGGGACCTGACCAGCGCAGTGGAGGAGGGGAGTGTGGACGTCCTAGTCTTCAACCCCCCCTACGTTCCCACCCCCGACGTCCCCGCCCTACAAGAAGGAGACGGCGATAAAGAGGCCCCGAGCGACAGGGAAGTAGCTTATGAGCGGGAAAGCCGCCTGCTGGCGCTTAGTTACGCGGGGGGGAGGGATGGGATGGAAGTCACCGACCGGTTATTGGCGGAGATACCGAGGGTGTTGAGTCAGAGGGGGAGCGCGTTCGTGTTGTTGTGTGCGCAGAATAAGCCGGAGGATGTGATGAAGGGGGTGAGGGTGTGGGAGGGCGGGTGGGAGGCGGAGGTGGTGGGGAGGAGTGGGATGAAGGGGGGGTGGGAGAAGTTGGTTGTGGTTAGGATTTGGAGGGTTAGCGGCGGTGAATAAAATCGTGTCAAGTCGACTTTGGGTACGCTGTGATTAGAAACCCTGCATGAGGTGACCTGGAGAGTGGTAGGAAGGACGATTGCATTTTATATCTGCCAGTCCTCTCGCGCGTCAGCTCATCCTTTCTTTTCCCCCTAATAACGCCAGAACAACATTGCCATGCAGCCACTCCCAAAGGCCATACAGAACCCATCCCTCCCCCCCTATAATCCCCCTCCATCCCCATCCTAACCCTTAGAACCCCCTCCCCCTTCCTCCCCCCCTTCCTCCCCCCCTTCCACCACCGCCCCTAAACCCTCCACCCCGTCCCCCACCCCTCCCTCCCCTCGGTCCTCCACGTCCACCCCTCGCACCCGCCTTATCAGCCACCTCCTTGCGCGCCTTGTTCTTCGGCTTCGGCGCGTCGTCGATGAGTAGCGTGTCCAGCGGCAAAGAGTCGGGGAGGATGTAATATCGGATCGTGCTGCCACGGAGGTTGATGGTGTCGAGGGCGACGGGGTCGCGGCCGCGCGCGGTCATCTTCACGGTGCGGAGCGCGGTGTTCATTTGGGGGGAGACGGATGTGATGGTTCCGTGGATGATGGTGCCTGGTGGTGGTGTTAGTCGTGTGTGTCCGGGGAGGGAGGGGGAGGTGGGTGCATGGTTGCGTGGTTGCGTGATGTGGCGTTTCCGGAGTATTAGCGTGTTGGGGGGTATTACCATTCTTAAGCTCAATCGTCACCGTCTCGTTCGCGCACTTCATGAGGAATCTAGACATCGTCAGTACCTCTCTTCACAGGTCCCATCCAAGCTCAAGGCTACACCGAGCTTTCGCAGGAGGAGCTCCGCGATTGGAGGGGGCGCGGCGTACCTAACGAGCTTCATCTTGACAGTGGTCTGTCGGTCGTGACAGAGCTATCGAGATGGTGAGTCGTGGTTGTGTGGGTTTGAGAGAAAGAGGCGCATGCAATTTGTATGTCGTGCCGCCGCCTGGATTGTGCGAGGTTGAGGCTCTGATCGCGATCTCGAACTTTTGGAGCTAGGCTCCGTCGACGCCTTGGATGCGAGGTGTCGACTTTAAGACGCAAGGCTACACGTGACGGTTTCCCCAAAACCCAGCCAGGTTGTAGGAATTATGGGCAAGATGCATGGATTTGATCACAGAGGATGAGGGATATAGATTTATTGCCTGTTGAAGACGAGACTATGTACTGTGTAACTGCGAAACTGACCAAGCTTCCATCACTATCGCGCCCAGGATATCTAATTCCAAACTCCCCAACGCACATCAGAACCTCGGTAACCAACGAAACCAGCATCACACCTCTCCCCAGCTATTCCAGACAACGCCCTATTTATCCTTCTCATTCTCCGACACCCTCTCCCACTCATCCTCCGTACTAACATCACTCTTACTCCTCAGCGGACTCTCCGCCAAATCCCTCTTCACCAACCCCTCCACCTCCTCCCTAACCTCCACCCCACTCCCCCGCTTCACTCCCACCACAGTCTGCGCATCCGTATCACTCTCGCTGCTCTCCCCCCTCGCCTCCGCCTCCTCCCTAGCCTTCTCCTTCTCCGCCGCCTCATGCGCCCGCAGCTCAGCTACAAACCAGTTGATACCCCACCACAGCGATCCGCACAGCACAGAGAGCACCACGAAGTGGATCGAGAAGGTCGCGATTAGGAGCCCGAAGAAGGTAACTTGTAGTGCCGCGAAGGAGACATTCGTGGCGATGAGGAGGGAGGATGTGGGGCCGGGAGTGAAGATGGAGGTCATGAGGTCGGTGAAGAAGGTCGCCATGGCGGCGGGCGCGGTGGATTGGTTGCGGGCGGCGGTTTCGCGGGTTGGGGTTGTATATTAGAGTTTCGCGACTGTGCGTGAGAGGTCTGTTGTACTGTATCTCGTCTGCGCGGTGGTTGTCAGTAACATACTCTATGCGCGCTTCACTTCCATCTCGGGCACGCAGGCAACTCACCTAACTTGCGCTGTCTCTGTCTCAAGAACGCTCAGAAAAACAGGATAGAGGGTATCGCGGGTATCTAAAGCGTAGCAAAGCGACTTTATTATAAGGCGACACGCGTCAGTGGGTTAAGGACAGAGTGTGCAAGTGTCGTCGTCGTTGGAGAGGGAGGAAGAGATATGTTGCGTTGCTTGATTTCCCTTGTTCCCGAATGCGATGATACCGCCTGACTGATACCCCACCCCACCGTAGCAACGCCTGCCTGTCCGCCCGCTCGTGTCGTGCCTACACTCACTCACACCTCGGGGAATAATTGAGTGGCCATCCATGCACCCCCGCCAGATCATTGGGTCGCGATTCACGCTCGGGGTTGGGTTTGGGACATGACGCGCTGGTGGCCAGTACTTTTTGTTGACTTTAGGCACTACAATAAGGACGGGAGTTGAACAGGGATATCTGCTTTTGGGAACTGTACGTGTAAACAAAGAAACACTCATTCATTCATTCAATCCTAGCCTGCCAAAAGAACTTCCTTGCGACGAAAGTGTTTCCCAATCAACAGCTATCGAACCTACAATAACTATCACTAGCAACAAAAAAGTATTGCAATATGATCGATCATCCCCCCCCTTTCGACTCCCAGCAACGAACCAGCGCTCGCCCAATAATTTTCCCCCTTTAATGCAGCAATCTATCTCGCCGCCGCTGTTGCAAACACCTAGATCCGCCCATCCCAATAAAACCATATGTATATATGTGTCTCCAATGCTATTAATCGTCTCTGTCCTCAAAAAAACGCCCCCCTTCCCAAAAGCCCGCTTCTTTGCAAACGTTTCCCTAAAATAGATAAAAACACAAACGCCAGAAGAGGACGATACACCGCCCAATGCCCGCCTTAAAGCCGCATATGCCTCGCCTTGAAAATGGCCACCTTGTCGTCATAGAAGAGGATCTCCCGCAGCCGCAGCGACGTCCTGTTGCCCTCCGTATCCGAATCCACCTCTGATCCGCCGTCAAACTCGTCACTGTCCTCAGAAAGCTCGTATCCAGCGCCTTCCGTCTCGACAGCCTCGGTAGCCGTCCCATCGTCATCATCTGCCTCGCTCTCGGCATCATCATCGTCCGCATCACTTTCAGCATCCTCGTCTTCCTCATCTTCCGTCATCTGCTCCCCAAGCTCGCCGTGCGCCGTCACCGCCTCATCGCCTGAGTGTCTCTCGCCGCTGGGACGGTTCTCCAGGATCTCAAAACACTTGTTCGAGATGCCCAGGTAGCAGAGTTCAATCTCCGGCCGCAAGAATATCATGTCCACGACTTGCATCGCGAGCTCCTTCGGGTCATACGCAGGCGTGACGTGGTCGCCGATGAAAGGGATGTTCAAGGATCGTAACCCTGGGATGTTAGGAAGCCGGCGGAGAAAGAAGTGCTATGGATTCGTTAGCAAGAGTTTCAAGTTATTCAGGTTATAGGCTTACCCAGTCTCTGTAGTCAATGGCGACGCTGAGTTCCTTGAGACTAGTCATATTGCCACCTGTAATATACGACAGAGCTTCATTGGACAGCATCCACGTTCTCCAGCGAGCGTTCTCGCTCGATACGGACGGACCTCTCGGAATCCTATCTGAAGAGTCGATGAGGAGTTTCTTCAAACTCTTTCGATGCCTTCTGAGAGGTCCCTTGTATATAGCATCAATAGTCACCGAGCTACTAGTCTTTTGACGGCGATCTTGGAGAAACAGAACCTCGAGAGTATTCGGGGCGAGAGTATCCTTCAGGAATGAGATCAGTGACGGCGTTGCAATGTCTGTATGTATGTGCTTCAGATTTAACTGGTACTCCATGTGAGGGGTGGCTTTAGATGAGTTTGTGCCGAGCTGGGGCCGGAACTGGCGCCGCAGCATTCTCCAGAGACTCTCATGGTATGCACAATCCAGGATAGTAAGCGACTTGAGCGTCGTCCAGTCGAATGCTTTCTGCAAGACATATATTGAGAGCGGTACGCGTTCCAGCTCAAGAACCTGCAACCGGAGCTTCCCTATGAGCAATTTTCGCTTTGGCGGCCCGGACCCATCAGCAGATTTCTCAGAAGCTGCGTCTTTCTTCGGGGGCCGCCTATTCGCCGAAGCGGGAATACCGAAGGGCTGCGATATGTTAAGCTGAGAGATCTCAACGGCGGGTGATATGATGTTTGATGAAACGCCCAGATCTGCATCCCCGGCATCATTTATCAAAGGTTCCGTGTCGGTTTTTGATGGATCGCTTTCGTCCTCGACATGGTCATGGCCGCCATGATCCGCAGGAAGAAGCTGAGCGCCATCAATAAGTGCGTTTGTTGATGATATATCTTGGTCGACCATATCCATCAATTGGGAGTGATGCTCGATAGCAGCATCTGAGGCAGCCGTGCCCCCCAAATTAAGGGCCTCTATGCCAGTAAGCATATCTGTTTGTCCGCCATCAGGTACTATCGTGGTTTCCGATTTAAGCGCCACTGGAGCCTTCGCGCTTCTGTGGATATCAAACACGCGCCCCATAATAACGCCTAGCACACCACCAAGCCTCAGATCCCCGATTTTGCTTTGGGCGCCAGGCCATGTTTGATCGTGGTCAACTTGGTGGAGGCCAACCGAATCCCATGGCATAACAAATGGGCGTTCACAGGCCTTTCGTGATATTCCAACACGAAGCGCCTGCAAGCGGTCCTTCGACCTCTCAATGAGAACGCTCATCTCATCGAGATAAGAGACCTCGTCGATGTCTAGTACACTCAGAGACTTCAAGGGCGGCAAGACGGAGAGCGTGGGATGCTCAACGGAATTGTGAAACGAAGCCGGCCTAGAGCCCACAAAGTGAGGGTTTAACGGATGCTGAAGGTTGTCTTGAGGAAGTGGAATGCCTATCGACGTCACGATAGAGTTGGGGGGTATAACTGATCCACCAGGGGCAGTAAGGCTCGAGCCACCAGGCGGAGTGGGCTGGTCCAGGGAGTTATCATGCCATCGTACAAGGAACTTCTCCAGTCGACATTCTCCAGGCTTATTATTTCGCTCCAGGGAGGAGAGGGACAAGAAGACATCCCTCAGAACGCCAGTCGGCATGTCCCAGACAAATGTCTCCAGATTAACCATCCGGGCCACTGCCAATGCCACCAGCGTCCCAAGCATCTTTCCGCTCTCTTTCGTTATCATATAGTCCTGCACCCAATCGGATGGCCCATTGCCCAGCGAAAACTTCCTCGTATACATAGAGTAGTTGTTCCCTATCCGTAACCTAGAGCCAGGAGGGGGCGGTGAAGCCGACGCATCAGCATCTGACGGCTTTGGCTCTTGAGCTAAAGATAAAGGCTCGTATAGTCGGTGCGACATCACCAGAGTTGACAGACCATAAGTCAATGCATCAACTCCGGTTCTTGTATCGGATGTCGACGTAGCATCGGGCCATACGATATCGAATCGGGAGTAGATGTGTGGTATCGCAAGGCTATGGAGAGCCGAGTGGGTGAGAGCCAGAGCCGTGAGGTCATTCGTATGAGTGATCTATAAGACGGTACACCGTTAGGACACACAGAATATATCTTTGGATAAGGCGCTACATACCTCACTGACGATCTCCTTGAGCACATCTACAGGGAGATCCAGGAGCTTGAGCGGTCCTTGCCGCCGCGGAACAGAAGGCCACTCGGGGCCTCTCTTCTTCGGGGGTTTCGATACCATCTTCCTAAATCCACTGTCGCCTTTTGGACTCTCTTCAACATGCCCGATGTCTACCATGGCGAGAGGCGGCGCCAATCCCTGTGTGGGAGTAGCGGACGGATCATTGGACGACACTCCAGAGGTTGCAGATTTTGAGTGGGGGGTATGTCCTGTATCAGACTCTGGGGCCACAGAGTCAGGATTGGAGGATGTATGTGCTTGCTCGTCGTTCATAATACAAATATTGACCGATGAGTCGATATCGCGTGTCGGCCTGGTTGGCCTTCCTTGCTCGGCCGGTAGCTGAGATTCCGATGAGGCGGGAGCGATGGAACAAGGTCACGAGGGATATATCGAGATTCAAAATACCGTGTAGTCGGCAGGAGAGGTCAATATTGAGGCTGTAGAGGCTTAGGTCCCCAGTGGCCGTGAGCCGCAAGGCGGTTGTCAATTTTGTCGCCTAGCCAATCACATCACGCACAAACATTTGGAGCCTTTGGAGCCTCAGGCGCTATTATCTAGGCCAACAAATATGATGTGAATACAAACACGGCCATATATGACTGTACTGTTAACGGGTCAGTTGTTCAGCAAAGGTATAGCAATGGTCCATAGGGTTGGCATCCTCTCCCAGAGGCAAACAAGTTGTGGTTTCCACAGTGGAAGTTTTTCAACTTGGAATATTTATGGGTCCTTCTCCAGATATTTAGCAAAACAACTTCCCTAGCTCAACTCCGAGGTCGATCCTTATAAAAATAAACACACCCTTGAGCGTCACTTTATGTCGTCCAAATGCATCCCTACCATGGATCTCCATCCGACCACATGTGGCAGATAGGTGAATCGCATCTCGTGCCCTATCAGTCCGACCGACCCGTCCGACCGACCCGTCCGACCGACCCGGACTCCGAAGCGAGCTTGGCTAAGAATCTCACCTAAAGACGGCTGCACGGCTTCAACCTGGTCCTCTGTTTCTGTCCTGTAGAGGTAGGTGCTGACGGGCTGAAGAGGGGGGGGGAGCTTTATCAAGAAACATCTATGTTGCATCGGGGAGGGACCGCCTGTGCTCGACTGGATCATCTGCCGTCGCCATGAGCAGGATTCGAGACGAAGAGATTGGCCATCACATTGATTTTATTATCGTCACAATTTTGGCTTGTTTCGTTTCTAAATGATCGCTGACGGGGGTAGATATGAGGGGTAGACGATGCCATCCATGTCTGATGGGTAGGGCAAATGTATTTTTGGAAGCAGCTCCACGACAAGCTGTCTGCACGGGCTCTGTGTGGAGAAGAACGAAACGCAACCTGGTGGGACCTGGGGCGGGTTTTAGACGCGCTTCCCGCAATGTCAAGCGGCAAAGATCGAGCTTTGGCGACAAAGCCACTGCCGCTCGAGCCACTGCCGCTCGAAGTGGGGCAATATGTGAGAATTCTATTGTTGGTATGTGTACCGTTGCACGTTACAACGCGCTTGAGACACTTGGGGCCATAAGCTAACTGCTTTACTGGTAGTGAATGTCTCAGGGGATGACAAATTTGGCAGCACAATCTTAACCGCTGGTGCCGCACTACTGCAGAGTGACTGTCTGTCCAATCATCGTTGACTAGTGTTGCTAATTTTGGAATTTTAGGGTTGTTGCTCTTTCCTTCTCGTGCATTCTTGGGATTAACCTCGGAGCTGAAGGCCACCTACTGGGCTGCTATGGATGTTGTTGTTATTATTACATCTGTCAAAACAATGTGGCATTCCATTCCTGGAGATCTCACTAGGTGTTTCAGGAATCCTTGCGGGGAGAGCGGAATGGAACGACTTGGATTGTTGTGGTTTGTTGTGATCACTCGTCGATGTCTCGGCGGGACTCTCTGGTATTCCAGTGCAGAACAATGATCCCACGCCTCACCACGTGCATTGGAGTGTTCTTTATGCCTGCCGTCTGAGGGCTCCCGTGCGTGCGGAGTTGCACAATACAAGAGCCGGCTCGTACTGGTTCTCCATCGCAACGCTGATCATTTGGAGAATTCCAAATTGGTGGGAGACCAGTCGGACTCCGACCTACATAACGCTAACCCCCTCTGGGATAGCCCTGTTGTTCCGGCATGTGAGTGGCAGGAAGTCTCTCCGCCGGAATCGGGATTCGGGTGAATCGAAACATATACCCTTTCTAGCAACAACTGCTGTTGGGGATCTACGGCGTCTGCGTCTTTTTGTCTCCATCTCTCCCTGCCCCATTTCGTGGTGTCGTCTCTCTATCTTTGGCGCGCATGAGTGTCGTTATTGTTAGTCTAAGATAAGTTTACCACGCGCTGAACAGAGTCTAAGCCTCAGTGTAAGCGCCCGCGGCCTCTCTGACAATGGCCGTGGGGATGATTGGGGCATTCTTGGCACAGCCACGAAGAGAGCGGTATTCTGGAATGGTGTTGTACTCGGCGTGTCCAGGTGTGGCGCCCAAGATGTCGGTACGGAACGCGGCGGAGAGGCGGCGGGGGACCAAGTGCATTATGCAGCACTGTACAATGCAACCGAGAGAGTTATGCTCGAGGGTAAACTAGGAGATGCAGAGCAAGGGGTGGGGAGACAGGGGGTGAACAAAGGCCTTGACGTTCCGGGATTTGGTGAATTGCTGCGGTTCTCCTGTTCAAGCCAATCGTAACCGAGAAGCGAGGTGCAAGGGGTGTGGCCCAAGACTCAGGGATTACGATCCTTCGACGACAAGGCAAGTTTGTTTTTGGTTGTGAGGTTTAGGGGTGACCAGAACAGAGGTATTGGAGGAACCAGCCTGGAACATGAGTGGGCATTCGCCCGTTGCCAAGCCTTCCTGGCCAGTGGCACTCTAAATGGATTTCCGGCCCTGGTGAGAGAGATGCCTCGCCTGCCTCTCTGGGTCTCGTGCAAGGAAGGCTCCAAGGCTCTTCAGCATGACGGAAATGCCAGACGAGGCTCGGGTGGAGTATATCCACAATTCAGCATCTGTTAGAATAGAGTGCGGACTTATCCACCGTGATGTGTCATATCATCACCGGCGGCGCTGCTCGGACACACACACGTCGCCAAAACAGCCGCGCAACGTCTACCGGATAAGGAGATTAGACCGCATGTTCCTTGAATCTAACACAAAAGCGCCAACCAGGGGCTTCTTCTCGGTAGCATCTTACAGGGAACGAGGAAGTGGCGATGAAGTGTTGGTGGTGGATAGGGAGAGTCGGCGAGGCGAGGTGACACCAACCCGGCCATACCGACTTTCCTCCTAGTGCGCGCTTCAATAATAAAACCTGGTGGGTCTCGAACGGGAATATGGAAACGGCGACCCTTAATGTAGAGTAGAGTAGAGTAGGTACTTTACTGTACCCACTGTACCTTGTGGGATGCAGAAGAATCACCACCACCCACACTTTTTAGCTCTGTCCTACACTGCTGGCATGCGTCGTGCTGGCTACCCCGGCCCAACCCTTCCAAATCCTTTGTCCACTTCAATCGGCCTAGTACCTGTCACGTACTTCTTGCACCGTTTTTATGCCTCTCTAGACATGCAGATCCCTTCAAGGGCTACTTCGTGGCGACTTCGCTTCTACTTTTTGTGACGTTGTGCTTGTTGATAAAAAATATATGGAGACGGGAAAGGGGGGGGGGGTGAGGAGGGAGGGGGCCAGAGGGTCTTGCTTCGTCTTATCTGACCCTGTCGACCTCCACTCAGAGCTACAATGAACTTGAACTGGCTGGCATTAGACTGGCCTTGCACGACTCCACTACAACTTTCCCATGCCACTTCTCCCGCTGACATCTTTCCCCTCCCATCCACATTTATTCTACTTAAGCCTTGCTAGCTCTGGACCTTCATCGAGGCGGAGGCGTTGTTGATATCCAAGAGCCTTGTAACTCCAGAGTTAAATCGAACCAGGGCACCAAAATAGCATTTCTTATTCTGAGACTCGATCTATCTTGAATCTCTTGGAACCTCTCCTCCCTCTCATCTTTCAACATATACATGGTATCCCGCCGGGTCCACTCTCGACTCTCATTAATACAATCTGCCCCTATCTGGACCGATCTCGCTCTCACCTCGACTTATACTAGAACAATTGGCATCACTGACCACTTGGTCTTCACGTACGTGCAACCATAGTCATTCGTCATCTCTCGTCATCTTCTATACGTTTTCAAACTCTCCTCCATCTTCTCATGGAGGATCCTCAGTTTCCAAGTCAGGAAGACTCACAAACGTCTAGATCTAGACCTCAAAGACGACTATCACTCGCCGAGCCGTCTGCCATAACAATCCTTAACCAAGCACCTTTGTCATCATCCTCAGAATACGATCTCTACGCCGCACCAGTCCCCAGCATTCTCAGCCACTTCCTCGCCACCACTCTTCGCGCCGCTCCCCCTCGCATCACAGAACACCAGCTTGCAAGGCTGGTCATTCATAGACCATACTCAGTCCTCACAAACACCACTTCTACGCCTCGATCCAGCTCAAACCAAGTTATTCCTCCGCCGTCAAGATCCAGCTACACGAGCGAAGAAGATCATTTCTCCCAGAGCAGTATGACGTGAGTTGCCCAAACCCCCAATTACCGAGGCCAATGCGAATGTTTCTAGTACTATGGGTGTTCAATACTATCCGCCATTCGACGCATCACTGAACCGTTCAGCTTACTCCTGGCCAGGTGAGTTTCTCTAGGAATGACTGACACCACTACACAGACTAACCTAGCCCAGTGTTTGACCAAAGCACCGGTTACCAGGACGGATCTGAGCTGCTGGATCCCTTCGCCGAACAGGCCATCGTCTCCAGTGATTCCCGGTCTATTTCGTCGAGCCCCCCTCGAGCCATGTTCACCACCGAACAGCGCGAGCTGAAGCGCCAAAGAGATCAGGCCCGGAGAGATTCGAAGGCACATATTAGGCGGGACGGGTCATCAAGCAACTCATACCACCCGTCTCTCTCAACTACGCCTGATATCCTTCCCAGGACCCTCGCAGGCTATTCCCAAACCGCGACTTCAGCATCCATCTCTTCCGTCAACCTGCCAATACAACAGCCATATATGAGCCCACCCCAAATCCCGAGCACTCTATCACCAGAACTATACCAGGCCCCGTACCCAATGTAGGTAACACCTGTCTATATACGAATTAGACCAGCAATTAACTAACAACAGAATAAGCGACGACTTCCCAGGTGGATACCTCATGCCATACACCACCGCAGCAGGCGAACCATCCATCCCTTCTCTCAGCTCCCGCCCAGTCACCATGGCCGCAATGACTTCAGGCCCAGAAATGCAATTCTACTATGGCAACCAGCAGCAGACGAACGCCCCACAAGAATCCACCGACACTGTGCGCGTGGTGCACTCACGCCCGAAACCACAGTGTTGGGACCACGACTGTAATGGCCGCAAGTTCTCGACCTTCAGCAACCTGCTACGCCACCAACGTGAGAAGTCCGGCATGGGCACGAAACCCACTTGCCACAAGTGCGGCGCGGAATTCACGCGCACGACGGCGCGCAACGGGCACATGGCGCACGAGAAGTGCAAACAACGAACGCAACTCATAGCCGGATAGCCAGCCAGCTGGTTAATACACGCGCCGTGGGGGCGGCGAGACTATACCATCATCTCCGTGTACGTATTTTACGAAAGCTACGAGGCTTAATTGGACAGGTCCTGGAGTGGGAGGGTGGGCTGGCATGCATGTTGGAAACCGAGCGCGGCTTGCCTTGCAGCCTGCGCTACGTGTATATGGATAGAGAGAGTGGAGGCAGTTGTTGGAAACTCAGATTGGCATTTTTGGAATGGGCACACCTCATCTCCCACACTCGCTTTACCATTTAGAATTTAGCTAGCCAACAGTGCTGCAGACCCCGAAATCAAACAAACTGATACCCGGTAAAATCTCGCATCAAACAAAAAATCGTGCACACGGGGGACCAAACAACAGTGAGTTAGTTACAGTGGCGTTGTGCGCACACCACCGCCTTACTTCCAACAACTAGCACCTCAGAGCCCAAACACCAAAGCCCATCCCGTTCGAACCCACCTATACTACTGACTAGCCAAAAGTGCCTGCCTAGTTGTGCATAGTTGGGGCATAGTTGGGGCATAGTTGGGGCATAGTTGGGGCATAGTTGGTGCATGGTTGGTGCATGGTTGGTGCATGGTTGGTGCATGGTTGGTGCATGGTTGGTGCATGGTTGGTGCATGGTGGATGCGACCTCGCTGCAACCTTACGCACTTATAGCCTGCGCTATCTCCAGTCACGTAAGCAAGCATCAGTAAAGCAAACCAAATAAGCAAGTAAAAGGAGAAGTCTGCCAGCCAAAAAAAACCCCCCACTTGAAATACTAAACTGGTGAATAGAATGTCCCAATTAAAGGGTTCCCTTCCCACTGGCGGGATTGAGATTACTGGTATTGGCCTGCCACGCGTTTGCGTGCAACTCACCCCCGCAGACAGGCCGCCTTCAATACCCCAGACTCAAGCATCGCATCCCCGGGGCTCAGGGACGAGTTGTGTCTGGTGATTCCCGTGCCTGTCTAACCAACACCACGCACGCCGGGTAAGGCAAGTTCGCCGCTGACCAGGTAGCACAACCTCTGTGTCTCTGAATAGAAGCCCCCATCGGGATCATCTCCTTGGAATGAGACGGTGAAGACATTCTGTACGCTCCATCACATCATCACGGCGAGTAAACCCGTGCACCGCGACCGGAACCCCCGAACCCTCCCCTACCCCACTATTCACCAGCACACCGAAGACGACAGACAAGGCTCCAGACACTCCAGCTCCAGGACACAAATGCCAAGCACCAGCAATCCCGCGCGCACGCACCAGCTGCAGCCCCAGAGATAAAGGCCCGAAAACAAAACAGCTCCCTTTCCCAGTTTTCCCGTTTAGCCGCGGAATTCTCGCGACAGACGGCGCCGGCCCTCGTGTTAGCGATAATAGATTGCGGATGCGAGGGAGGGGACGGCCAGGACCCCGTATGGCCGCGGGTCCGAACCGCAGTAGACGCGGCTGGGCGGCGCCCCCCCCTCGCTTGGGGGTTATGTACTTACTGTACGTACGGTACCTGTCCTCGCCTGCAACTTCCCGCCCCCCCCTCCTCCCGCCGCTGCCGCCACTCCGCCACGCATCTGGTCAGCATCAGAACTCAAAATACACACGCGCGGCGGCAACAGTCGCTGCGCCTCGTTTTGGGTTTGAAAGGTGTGTCGTGAAACTATATGCAGCGTTCAAGGGCCAGTGTGGATGTGAGGCTCAGCCGCGAGCACGGTTGGGTTGGGGTGATACCGGATTGTATTCTTGTTGTATGTATGTGGGTGCGACGGTGGCGGCCGGGGGCTACGGGAATGAGAGTGTCGCGCACGATCGACGCACGCGCAGCGTCGATCGCTGAGGGTGGGAGGAGGGAGGTCTCGGTGGCACATCTGGCGGCCGGGCGGAGCACGGCGGTATTTGCAGTCAGATTGGAGTCCATGGGGCGCGGTGAGGATCGGTTTTTGCGATTGTGTTCGCTGAGATCCTGTGCTCTACAACACAGCTTGTGTGAAAGTGAACAGGAGACCAGACTGTTGACCATCTTAGGTAAAGAGAGAGTCAGCATTACGACTACTACAACAGCTATTCATCACTGCTACGTTTGACAGAGATGCGTCCGCCTTTGCGCTGTGGCACCTGTACTCCAACATCCTCGAGGTCCGGTCCGCGCCACTCCGCAACCCAGTTGGCTGGTCCCCCCGCAACCTGTCGGCCGACAGCTCTCGTACAACATGACACGGCGAGCAAGCCACGGGCGGGGATGAAGAGCGGCGGACATTAAATTCCTGGCGGGCGTAACCACCCATCATCAGCGCCCGAGATATCGTCACACCTCCAAGAGAAGAGTACTGTACTGTACAGACCACTCGGAAGTACACCGACAGCAGCCCAGAACCATCCCAACTGTTGGGAAACCGGATCGGAATTGGGAGAGGCCGAGCTTTTGGCGCTGAAAGTGAAAGCTGAGAGCCGGTGAAGGCTCTGTCTGCACTGAGAACAGTGGGTAGGTGGGCGGGGGTTATGTGGAACTCTATGAAGCTTATAAACCAGGGAGGACAATTGAATCGATTACTGTATTATATATTCCGAACCGCCACGGGATTATTCACTGGTGACCGTACCCGCCACACAAGTTTGGCTGTGGATCACCGTACCTCCTGAATCCACCAGCAAGTTCTCTGGCATACAATCTCAGCCGCGACCACCATCCCATGCGACCCTGGGCACAAAATGTCACAAAATGTCTCGCAAAGATATTTAGCATCCAAGATCGTCGCCAGGGGAGTGTAGGGGAGTTGGGGGCGCGCCATTTTTCTCCGCCGTGTCTTTCAGAGATGCCGAATCCCGCAATTACTGCCAGCGACGAGCTGAAGCAGCGGGCATCATCAGCAGCACTTTCCATTGGCAGCACGATACCAAAGGCCAAAGGCACATTAGCATTTGACATATGGAGATGTGCAGTCTCTAAACTCCAGTTCCCACACGGGTCTAGTAGATGCTAGTGCTGCCGTCCTTCCCTTTCACCTGCTGAATGGTCGAGAGGGCCGGCAGTTGTGGAAGCGTATTTTATTGTGCTCTGGCAGTTCTGTACTTACTTCCTCCTCTAATTCACCTCCAAGACAGGATCTTCAGGGCAGGAAAGCTTGTCCTGTTTCTCACTTTCTCACTTCTGCTCCTCCCGTCCCCTCCCGCCTTCCCGCCCCCAACCCACATCCACCCCCTATCCCCGACTCATCCGATCACCCGCAATCCATCGCAACCCTCATCCCATCCGATGAACTGCACCCCGCATCCTTCCGTCTAGTCCAGCAGCCACAAAAACGCCCTCGATATCTATCCCTCAGCCCCTATAACCATTCATGAATACGACCGCATGTTTCACAATCAACCCTAATGAACCCTAATCAGCCTGGATCACCTCTCCTCCTTCCTCCTCCTGCAGCCTCCCACCCAGTGCATCCATCATCATACGTCACACCCACCCTCTCAGCCCTATCGGCCAACTCTCCCAATCCAGCCTATCCTCCGGCGCTGTACAACATCATAAGCGCGGCCCCCACGTCTCTGCCCTACGAGTATCTCAAACTGTGCTCCCAGCTATCCGTTCATTTTCAACCAAGGATTCCCCCCCGACATCCACGCGGATGCCAGCGACGTAACCCGCTCCTTCCCTTCAAACCCCGACCCTGCGTCAGCTCCCCATGCACCCGCAGATTTGGCAGAAAGCCTGATCTACGGAGCCCATCTATAGGATGAGAACGTAGCATGGATACCAGGACGAGCTTCCTCCACGGCGGGGGGGGGGGGTTGTTACCTTGGGTGCTACGCAGCTACGCATATGCATATGGTGCCCAACGAAGGCAGTGACCCGAGCCGACCACTTCCAAGGCAGGGAGATAATCCGGGCTTTGAATCCAGCTGCCCATGGGTCCAGCTGTCTATGCAGATACAGATTTACACAACATACTCGATCGGTCGGGGCCGCACGACGGCGACACGTTGCATACATAGGATATGATATGAGGAGGGGAGCTTGCTTCGCCTGTATTATGCCCTGCTGTCAAACCCGCCTTATTCCCTATTCGGGCCTGTATATATAGTACAGTATCATCCGCAGCTCTCCTGATCCCCTGCGTGGCGTCCCTCAACGTTGAGCCGGGCCGATAAGCATTGCATATACCAACGGTACTGTATTGTACAGTAGGGTACCTCTTTCTCGATCCTTCGCATCGCCAGTTTTGGCCCGGCATCGCGTATGCCCGGGTATGAGACACCCCGCCCCCCAACCCCCCCCCTACTCAGCCTCCTTGTTCCTCTGGAGCACCCCAACCTCCCCCTCAGCCCTATTGTCTGCATCCCCATCCCGGATACGCAGAATGTCCTCGATCCTGCGCCTGCGCTCCTCGTCCTCGGCGCTCGCGGAGTCGCCAAAAACGCCGTCCATCTCCTCGAGCGTCTTGCCGTTCGTCTCGCGCACAAAGAAGAATGCCCATATTCCTGACAGCACGCAGAAGATAGCGAAGAAGAGGTATGCACCCCACTCTGTGTTCTGCACCAGCGGTGGCGTGATGAGTCCGATTATGAAGTTGTTACTGCGTGCATGATTAGTGATCTGGCTGGTTTTGAGGGATATTATCCGATGAGGAGAACTTACAACCAGTTGGAGCAGACGGATAATGCAACTCCCTTCGCCCGCAGCGAACTGGGGAAGATCTCTGAGGGCATGGCCCAAGGTACAGGTCCCCAAGTAGCCCCAAACGCGAGCATGTAGAACAATAGGAAAGCAACTGATGTCCAGCCTGCGTTGCGGTGATGCGTCCAGTCTTTGCCAAAGACGCCGACTAGCGCAGCAATGATGATGTGGGAGACTGACATTAGTACGCTTCCCCATACCAGTAGCGGCTTGCGGCCGACGCGGTCCATAGTGTAGAGACTGGACGCGACACCGACGAGCTGGCAGATGTTGAGGACGCCGGACATGATGAGCTGCATATCGTATTCGAGGCCCATAGTTTTGAACAGAGTCGGGCTGTAATAAACCATTGCGTTGACGCCGACGAATTGCTGAAAGAACATGAGGCCCGTACCAACGTGAGTACGCTTGATACACCCCGGTCTGAGGCAGTCGAGCCAGGACACGAGCTCCAACTTGATGCGATTGAGGCGCGTCGGCTCAGCGTGGAGCTTTGGGTGGCGCTCCGCGCTGATTTCTTGGTGGCACATCACCTCGGCCCTGATCTCTGTCCATTCTCTCAGGACGAGGGCATTGTCGGGCGGTAGCTGGCGGAGTTTGGACAGCGCGGCCAATGCCTCCCCATGACGCCCCTTAGATATGAGCCAGCGCGGGGAGAATGGTAGTGCTAGCACTCCACAGCCCAAGACGACGCCGGGAATAATCTGGAGGAGGAACGGGAGGCGCCACGACCATTCGCCGGGTATGAATCTTGTGCCGTAGGTAATCCAAAATGCGACTACAATTCCACCCACGATTGCTAACTCCTCGAGCACGAGTAGGGTTCCTCGAATCTCCGGAGGGCTGATCTCCGAGATGTAGAGCGGCACGACCATGGAAAGCATGCCAATCCCGACTCCACCGATCAATCTCGCGACGACGAGCATCGCATACCCATTCGAAGCAGTCTGCAGTATGCTTCCGATAAGGAAGATCACAACCGCCACCATGATGGAGTATTTCCTCGATATCTTGTCCGCGATCCATCCCTGGTTCATGGCTCCGATAAGAGCGCCAAGTTCGATCATGGCGGTCAACAGGCCCTTCCAGAACCCGGCTCCTCCTCCGGTATCTGAGACGCGTGGGAACTCCGAGAGGAATTGCTCCATGACGAGGATGACGGACACAACGCCCTGGTCGTAGCCGAAGAGGAGGCCGCCCATGGCGGAGAATGAGGCGCATGCGAGGACATATGGGGATCCGAGGATGCCAGCGAAGCCCGATTTACTGTAAGTTACGGCTCCTGTCAGGGGTTGATCGGGGGAAGAGTCTACGGGAGACTTACACATATTGTTCGCGAGGTACGATCTGGGTTTCAACCTGGGATTCGTCCTTGGTGTGTTTTTTTTGAGTAGGGTATCCGTTGGTCGATGGGATATCAACCTCTTCGACGGGCATAAAGCTTTGCGCCATCGTTAACTAGGCCTTGGGCTCTCGTGATACAACAAACGACGTCTGTCATGGGTTCTCTCTCTCCCTTATCTCTTTTGCTTGTCTTATTCCGTATAACTAAAACACTCTGGCTTGGCTTGGGAACGAGAAAGTCTGATGAGGAAGGAACAGAATAGGTGTATACACGAGGAAAGAGCTGTTACTTAGATTGTTATTACCTACCACAAGTTTAGGTGTTGGATTGGTTTGCTTCCCCACACTCTGATTTTCCCACTCTTTACACGTCTTTTGCTCCCCATAGGAGGGCGATCGTAATATGTGGGACTGTCTAGGTTTTTTTGGGAGGAGACACACCAAAACGTCACGCGACTGACGTAAGAAAAAGGGGCAAAATAGACCCATCATAGATTATACTTCTTACTCAGTAGACTTGGCCATTGGCTCCATAGACATTGAAGAAGTGACGCTCAAGGTAATAAGTAAACAAAGAGAGCGACGTGCTTAAGTGCACATAAGCACAGAATGCTGTACTGTACTACAGCAAGTCCCACCTTCCCTTTGGCGAAGAATGTTCAATTCGCGGCAGATAGAAAATTTATATCCGAAAGTCATGTGACTTCGTAATAGTTTCGCGATTTCCTAACTGGGGACTACAAGCACTAGCGTGTTTAGACAACGTGACGCAACATAACCCCGCGAGACAGCGACTGTGCGAAATATGATACCCAGAGAGTTATAATTATCATGAAATTCCTCCCGTGAGGAGGCACCGACCTCAAGTATGGCGCAGATGGGCGTCAAGGCGCGTCAAAGACAGGTGTTCAACTCTGTCTTCGAGAAATACAGCGTCTCTGTCTCTGAGCCCACACCCAAGCCAACGCCCAACACTGGATTCACGGCGCCTGGGCAGCCATTTGGAGGCTTTAGAGGTACGGGGAATCAGCACCTTGGAACCCGTGGTGCAGATTATCAACCTCCATCCGATGCCTGGTCGGACTCGTCACGACATGTCCAGGACCAGGTCACTTGGGACAGATCATGGCACGTAGTGACCAGCTGGCTATCTTTCCAGGATGAACCATTCAGCCCTTATGGGCAAGAGATAAACAGCGCGGAAAAGGCGTCGCCTCCATTGAAATACGGAACAGCTTTACTGGATGTCTTGACGCCGGAAACCCGCTTGCCATATGCGGCGCATCATGAAGACCTCGTGAAATGGTTGTCCCAAAATATGCGGTCTCATTTTTTCCGGACTGTGCAGCCATGGCTTGAGAACGCCGTTGCTGGATATGGCCACGAGGAGCTGTTACAGCGGACGCTGCAGGTCTTGGTGCAAGCTCAAAGTCTGTACCTGGATAAGGTGACTGAAATAGAGAAGACATTGAGCCACCGGAGCTCATCCTTACCGGAATCATTTAAGGGGGGATTCCATAGAGACTTCCAGGCTCTGGTGAGGAAATCAGTGCCGGAGTCAGTCTGGGAGACAGTTGAGTGGTATGTGAACCGGGAGATCCCTATCGCCCTCGCTGTCCCTCGCGTTGTGGACGGCAACCGGATATCTCCGGACAAGATGGAACAAGAGGATGCCAGGACGAAGCTGCTGGCGCTTGCGCAGGCTTTGCATAATGTTGGTTTAGGGGGCGAGAAGTTCCAGATCATGTTCGCCGAGGCCATGAATACCAGCATGTCTACATATGTGTATGGCACTTACCAGCGTGTATGGAAGGATGAGCCATCTCCGCCAAGTCCTGCGGAGGTTGCGAAACGGAGAAAGTCCCAGCACTTCAGGAGCTCACTCGTTGGCCCCTCATCACTTTCCACTGAGGACGAGCCCCTGGTACCAAGAGTGGTGAACCACTCAAAGCCATCTAGATGTGTCACGGATCTTTGTGCATGGACAGAGAATGAGTATGCTCGACTAGCTGTCGAGATATTGAGTCAATTAGATTCTACAGAAGTTGCATATAGCGACTTGGAAAAGTGGAAAGAAATGGCTATTGGACGCCTCGCAAGCCTCCGAACTTCAGAGTTATTCGACATTGTTGTTCATTGGCCCAATGGCGGCGGAGCAATTGACGACCTCAGGACGGCCATTACTACGCCACAGCGGCGCCTGCAGTTAACTGAGGCCTTTACTGTGGAGCTTAAGGAGCGCCTGCTACATCCTGGGAAGTCAACTCTGGAGATTTTAAGGACGTATATTGCTATGATATGCTCGTTCCATGCGCTGGACCATTCAAAGGTTCTCCTTGATCGTGTCGCCTACCCGTTACAAGTTTATTTGTGCTCGCGGGAAGACACCGTGAGGATTATCATTACTGGATTGTTAGCTGATAAGGATGTTGAGAAGGGCAAACCCAGCAGCTCTTATGGAGACAAGCTTGTCGAGCTGGCATATTTGCTCAATAGCGGTGTTGATAGTGCACAGGGCCCCGATGATGATATGGATTGGAATGATATGGAATGGGTTCCAGATCCAGTAGATGCTGGCCCTGGGTATAAACGCCGAAAGAATGTTGACATTATTGGAACATTGATTGGTGTACTCGGCTCCCAAGATGTCTTTATCAAGGAGTTCCAGAGTATCATCGGAGACAATCTCCTCAAGAATGACGGAGATTTTGACCGAGAGGTAGGTCCACACAAATCCGTGCATCTTCTCATCTAACATCCCCCAGATCAAAGTCCTCGAACTCTTCAAAACCCGTTTCGGCGAATCCAGCCTCCAAAGCTGCGAAGTAATGATCAGAGACATCCAAGACTCCCGGCGCCTCAACAGCGCCATCCGCCGCACCCAAAAACTCGACCCCAGCGCCGAAGAAATCACCACCGCAAGCCTGCACACCCTCCGCACCGCCCAAGACGACATGAGCCCCGAGGGCCTCCTCAAGCCCTCCCTCCACGCCAAAATTCTCTCCCGCCTCTTCTGGCCCCAGCTCCAGGACGAGACCTACAAAGTCCCCGACCCTATCGCACACCTCCAGCAGCGTTACGAGGCGGGCTTTGAGTCCCTCAAGAACGCGAGGAAGCTGGCGTGGCTGCATGCCCTGGGACACGCGACGGTCGATATCGAACTCGAAGACCGCACTATCACGGAGGTGGTCCATACCTACCAGGCTGCTGTCATATGGGCCTTCCAAGGTGTGCCGCAGGGCGCGGAACCGGTCTCGAGGAGCTTCGAATACCTCGCCGAACACCTCCAGATGGATGACGCGCTCCTGCGCTCCGCGCTCGCCTTCTGGGTCGGAAAAATGGTCCTCCACTCCCCGCGCCCCGACGAGTTCGCCGTTCTCGAAACCCTAAACCCAGCTGAACGGCAACGCTCCGACGCCGCTGCCGCTGCAGCCGCGGCGGGAGGAAGCGCGGATGATGGACCAGCGCGGGGGGCGCAGGCAGAGGATAAAATGGCTATGTACTGGAAGTTCATACAGGGGATGCTGAAGAATAGCGCAGCGAAGATGCCGTTGGCGCAGATTGGGATGATGTTGAAGATGCTGATTGTGGAGGGGTTTCCGTATAGTAATGAGGAGCTTGCGGAGTACTTGGCTACAAAGGTGGCGGCGGGGGAGCTGGAATTGGCGGGGGGGAAGTATAGGTTGGTTAAGAAGTAGGGGGCGCGTGCGTGGGTATACCCGGATATATTGGTAGGGGGGATAGATGATGGAATGTGTGTTTTTTTTGGGCGTCACGCTGGCAGCTACGAAGGGGATCATTCATAACACGCCTTGCTCACGCGTACATATACACAATATTGCTTGCTTTAATATTTTGCAATCAAACCATTATGAGCTTAGCTTAAACACCCCCCTAATGATGAACCGGCATCGACACATCCGCCTTCGTCGCCAACGCATCCTCCTCCTTCCACAAACTCGTCACCGTCTTCTGCTGCGTATAGAAGTTCAATCCAATCTTTCCATAAAACGTATTCGCCCCTCCCCCCGCAATACTCTTCTTGTTCCCCGTGAACGAGAAGTTCGACACCCCGATCGGCACGGGGATCGGGACGTTGATGCCGACCTGGCCGCACTCGATGTGCTTCTGGAACGCCTGCGCGGTCGCGCCGGACTTGGTGAAGATGGCGACGCCGTTGCCGTATTCGTTGGCGTTGATGAGGTCGATGGCGTTGGTGAGGGTGGGGACTTCGAGGGCGATGAGGACGGGGCCGAAGATCTCCTCGGTGTAGCACTTCATGTGCGGCTTGACGCCGGTGATGATGGTTGGGCCGACCCAGTTGCCTGTTTTTCGTTAGATATGTATGGTGAACTGAGGGAAAGGGGTTGGGGTTACGAACCGTTAGCGAACTTGGGGTCAGCGGGCTTGTAGCCCCTACCATCGAGGAGGATAGTAGCGCCCTCCTCCTCAGCGCTGGCAATCAGACCCTCAATGCGCTCCTTGCTGTGCTTGCTGATAACCGGGCCAAGATCAGAGTCCTTCTCGAACCCACCGTTAAGGACCAGCGACTTAGTGAGGTCAGCAAGCTCAGGAAGCCAGTCCTTGCTCTCAGCAACCATAACCAGGGTGCTGAGCGCCATGCATCTCTGTCCCGCAGCACCGAATGCGGCGCCAACGATGGAGTTGAGAGCGTGGTTCTTGTTGCAGTCCGGCAAGACAGCAGCGTGGTTCTTTGCGCCGAGGTTGGCCTGGACACGCTTCCCGTTCTCGGAGCCTCGGCTGTAGATGTACTCTCCGGCCTTGTTGCTGCCGACAAAGCTGATGGCCTTGATCTCTGGCGCATCGAGGATGAAGTCCACGGCCCTGTGCGAGCCGTGCACGATGTTCAGCACACCATCTGGAAGACCGGCTTCCTTTGCAAGCTCGGCGAGAATCATGGCCGCGCCGGGGTCACGCTCGGATGGCTTGAGGATCAGGCAGTTACCGGTGACAGTGGCGATTGGGATGGACCACAATGGGATCATGGCGGGGAAGTTGAATGGGCAGATGGCCGCGACAACTCCCAACGGCTCGCGGTAATTCCTCGTCTCCATATCCTTGGCCACCTCCAACACCTCACCAGTAAGCTGCGACGTGATACCACACGCGCTCTCAGCGACCTGAAGACCACGGTGCACATCACCCTTAGCATCAGAAACAACCTTCCCCTGCTCAAGCGTGATAGAAGCAGCCAAACGATCCCAGTTCTCGCGAATCAGCTGCACGAACTTAAACATGATCTGCTGTCTCGTCACGATGCTCGTCGCGCGCCATCCCGGGAACGCCGCCTGCGCGCTCGCCACAGCAGCGCGGAGCTCCTCATCAGTGTTTTGCGGGACGCGGGTGACGAGATTGTTGGTGGCGGGGTCGTGGAGGTCGATGAACTCGCTCGTGGTGGAGGCGACGAACTTGTTGTCGATGAAGAAAGGGGTGTCGACGGGGTTCTGGATCTTCTCGTGCGAGGTTGGGTAGGAGGTTGTGGTGGAGGTGAGCTTAACGCCGGCGGAGGAGGCTTGCTGGGTGCGTGAGGTGATGTGCAGGCTGCGGATTGTGGTGGACTTGGAGGCTTGGATTGGGGTTGAGGTTGAGAGGCCGGCGAGGCGGGGGGTGAGGGATGGGCGGGCGCGGGAGGCGAGCGCGGGGACGCCGCGGGCAATGGAGCGACGCATTGTGAATTATCGGGATAGGTGAGAGGTGAAAAATGAGGCTGGAGATGAGGAGAGGGAGAAAGACGTGAGGAGGAGAAAGAGGAGAAGAGAAAGAGACTACACGAGTAGCAGCGGGATAGAGCTTTATTTGCCCACAAACAATGTTCACGATACTAAAGACAAGTGGCCGCCCACAGTTTAATGCAAGCCATTTCTTCGCCGGTACCGCAAAGAACTTCCTAAACGGGGGTAACGATATCAGTTAGACGGGGTGATGGCTGGTTGCTGTGGGGTGATTGTTGGGGAAATGGAGAAATGGAGCCTAATGGACGGGCTCTTTACCGACGGATAACCACGGTAATGGGGGAATTATGGGGTGAATTGGGGATTTGGTGGGATTGCGATGGTGTGATTGGATGAGGCTCGTTGCGATGATAGGCGTCTGTGTAGTGTCAATGCCGGGTTGCAGTACGGCGCCAGAAGTTTACATGCGTTTGTGCTTCTGGTATATGTAAATTCGAAAGGCGGCGTCCCCCAAAATTCGAAGACAATAACAGCGTCGCGCCTAGCTGCCATAGAATCTAACAATTTAAGTAGTAAGGCCTCTCCCATATTCTCCCATGCTATCATTGCTGCCCAAAATGAGTTGATTAAGCGTCTCTGCATTATCAAGCTTTAGTAACGCCCATAGGTTTTCAATAGGGTTCAAATCCGGGCTATATGGCGGCCAATCCATTACTTCAATTCCATGCTCACGAAGCCATGCTTCTATAATTCCTGCTGTATGAATAGGTGCATTGTCATGCATGAAAATAGCTGCTCCTTGCCGTGTTAGTGAGGCCTGTCCTCCATTTACTCGCTCTCGCTCTCCTGCTTTAGATATTGTAGACTGTACTGTCCATGAAGCTCAAGTATTCGAACACGTGTTTCAACACATAATTCAGGGCCTCGAGACATTATAGATTGTATTATTGAAGCTATTCTATAGGAACGCGCACCTACGCGTTCTATAAAGCAGCAGTTGTTTTCGCGTGTTGAGTACGGGCCCGTATGTAAACTTCTGGCGCCGTACTGTATAGCCTAGGCGAAATCCCCGAAACTGAAACTGAGCGAGATCGTCTCCAAATCAAGTGATGGATATTGGAGTGGGAGTGGACTAGGTGAGGGGTAGAACTTACACTGGATTTATAGGACTGAGACCAGGAATGATGCTAGGATGGGGTTGCATGTTTGTTAATTCTTATTACATATTTTTTATTGAGTGGCCCCAACGATCCCAAACGCCATCCCATCCTTCTGTATATACATACAAATGCAAGTAAACTCCCCACATGCCTGTGAACGCCTGTGCCAGTCTCGTGAAGGCACTTTGTGTGTATGTAGCGTGGTTTTCCCCCAAGTGGGCCTTTTCCCTCTTTTGCACTGTGGCTGCTTTTATACGGGTTGCGCGGCCATTGTACTCTCCGTGGCTGGCTGCGGGATATCAACTGGTGCCGTCGGGCTTTGAGCGGCCGACTTCGAAGCCTCCACAGCTGGCTTAGAGTTCTCGACGCCGCGAGTAGACAGCGGTTTCCGCTTGTCCTTCTTCCCAGTGCCCGACTGCCCACTCGCAGCATCTGCTGTGCTATTCTGCTTCTTCTTGCCCTGCTTCACCGGCTTTACCGGTACCACATCCAATCCCAGCGCATGATCCACCTCCTTAGCCCGCTCAACCAGCTCCGGGAACCCAAGCAGCTCACAGATCCCCGTATAACTCTTACTCCCCGTAACACCACGATACACCGGATCTTTCCCCGGCACCAAGTGCCCAAGGAGGTACTTCGTATTCCCCCATCGATTCTCCACCTCTATACTCGTCCTCAGATAAAGCTCCACCACCTCCCTCCACGGCGCCAACCCCCCATCCTCCTTCCTCCTAAAACAACTCGGATTCGTCTCTGCCGACGTCGCTATCATCGCCCCCTCAACCCCAAACGCATTCACCAGCTCCTGCGCATCCTCCGGACACGTTACATCCCCATTCGCCAGACACGCGACCCCCATCTCCCGACATATATCCGCTATCATCGTCAATTGATCCCTAATCGCCTTCTCCCGCGGCCGCATCGGCGTCGTCCGACAATGGATCGTCAGCCCCGTAATCCCCGTCGCGCAGAGCCTGCGCACCAGCGCCTCCGTCTCCTCCCCGGTCCCCAGCAGGCGAATCTTGACGCTAATCCCAATCTCGAACTCCGAGGCGACGTTAGTCACCAGCGCCTCTAGGATCGCGCATAATTTATCCGGCGTGCGAAGCAGCGCCGCGCCCATGCCGCCGCTCGTGCTAAACGGCTTCGGACACCCGGCGTTGACATCGATGCCCGCGACGTCGGCGGCGACGAGTTTCGCAGCCTCCACCGCGCGCTCGGGGTCCGAGGTGCCCATTTGGAAGATGAGTTTCTTGCCCTCGCGCGCGGGGTGGAGGCGGAAGATGACGCTCTCCTTCTGGTTCTTGCGGGGCCCGTGGGAGCCGTTGTTGGAGCGGCGCGTGAAGTCGACGGTGGAGAGGGCACTGTTGAAGGTGCGTGTGGTGCCGATCATGGAGCGGTCGACGGTTTCGGGGCCCCAGACGAGGTCGGCGCCGTAGTGGAGGGCGAGGAGGCGTGAGGGCAGCTCGCCGGAGCGGACCATGGGGGCGAGGACGAGCTTGCAGCGGTAGTCGACCCCGTTTCGGGGGATAGGGACCCTTTTGGGAGCGTTCGTCATGATGGAGGTTGCGAGGCGTAACATAACATAGCAAGGGAGGAGGGTGGAGGAGGGTGGAGGTGGGAAGGAGGGTGGAGGTGGGAAGGAGGGTGGAGGTGGGAAGGAGAGTGGAGGCACCACCAAAAATTAATCGTTATCGCTAGGAGCGGGGGCGGAGGGCGGAGGGAGGAGGACGGAGAGGGGCGGAGACGTAAGTAGGTATTCCCGCTCCGCCCGTTCATGCCATGAACTTCCGCCAGCAACTCCGGAGGTATCACGTGATTTATTGTACCATTCCGCCACCCCTCTTTTCTGTACGGAGTACTCCGTAGCTAGGGCTCAACTCTGGTCGTAAAGTGCCAAGGATTCCGCCACCGCGCGTGCATTCTTAGCACCTCCAACGTTGTTTTGGTCCTCTGGCGGAAATTCTTGGCACCGAAGTTCGGCATAGGAGGCATATTTTGCAGTGCCTCGGGTGCCGCTTGGACACGGACCCAGAGCTAATATTTCCCCTTCCCCCTTCGGCTTCGACCCAGATCCCCTAATTCTTGCTCCTATATATCCGATATTTTCTAAAGTTATTGTTTGTAACGCTTGTAACGCTTGTTACGCTTGTTACGCTTGTTACGCTTGTTTCGCTTGTTTAGACATATGTCATCACTACGAGCCATTCGCCCTACGCTCCCCAAAAGCAGCCCAAGACTATATTCGCTACCCTGGTCGCGGACACCCTTCCACTCCATTCTCCCTGTGATTGCCGTACAGCTGCAGTCTCCCGCTGTAGCTGGAGTAAGACTGGCGAGCCTAAGCCCCATCACCACTGCCCGCCCCTCCTCGACTTTCTCCCGCACCACAACACAATCGTCTCACAACACCACAGTTAAACCGTCACAGTCACGGACAGCACAGATCGCCCGTCACTTCTCGGGTTCGTATTCTTTAAATTCTCCATCTCCCTCCAGCCTGCCTGCTGGACACGATTCTACAAAAATGGCTCCTCAATATACCGTTCGCAAGATTGGTGCTGCCAACACCCTCGAGCACCGCGTTTACATCGAGAAGGATGGCGTGCCCGTCTCACCCTTCCACGATATCCCCCTCTACGCCAACGAGCAGCAGACCATCCTGAACATGGTCGTTGAGATCCCAAGATGGACCAATGGCAAGCTTGAGGTATGTGTAATATCCCTTACGCTTTCTGCGATTTATACACCTGATTTCGACTACCCCGCACCACACCGCCTTCGCATCCAAAACCATGCTGATAACAACCCTCTAGATCTCCAAGGAGGAGCTCCTCAACCCCATCAAGCAGGATATCAAGAAGGGCAAGCTCCGCTTCGTCCGCAACTGCTTCCCCCACAAGGGCTACCTCTGGAACTACGGCGCCTTCCCCCAGGTATGATCCCTCTCCCTCGTACGACGAGAGACACACACACTCACACCCCCACCAGACCTGGGAAGACCCCAACGTCATCCACCCCGAGACCAAGGCCAAGGGCGACAACGACCCTCTCGACGTGTGCGAGATCGGCGAGCTCGTCGGCTACCCCGGCCAGGTCAAGCAGGTCAAGGTCCTCGGCGTCATGGCGCTCCTCGACGAGGAGGAGACTGACTGGAAGGTCATCGTCATCGATGTCAATGACCCGCTGGCACCCAAGCTCAACGACGTCGAGGATGTGGAGCGCCACCTCCCTGGCCTACTGAGGGCTACGAATGAGTGGTTCCGCATCTACAAGATCCCAGATGGAAAGCCTGAGAACCAGTTCGCTTTCACCGGCGAGTGCAAGAACAAGAAGTGCGCACCCCCTCAAATTCCTTGATGTGAGAAGATCGCTCGCTAACAATACAGGTATGCCATGGATGTCGTCCGTGAGTGCGCCGAGGCGTGGGAGAAGCTCATCACCGGCAAGACCCAGCCCGGCGAGGTCTCTCTGTAAGTACCACCCCATTCCCCTCCCACAATGCTAGACGCAGTAGCTAACAAACACCCCGCAGCACCAACGTCGCCGTCAAGAACTCCCCCAGCCGCATCTCTCCCGAGCAGCTGCCGCCCATCCCGCAGAACCAGGAGCTCGCCCCGGCACCAATTGACCCAAGCATCGACAAGTGGTTCTTCATCTCTGGTGCTGCTAACTAGGCGCGCCCTGGTTGGGGATGGTATGGTGGTAGACCGAAGCAATAGATTTCTTTGTGGTCACACCTGCAGCTGGTGTCGTAGATTTAGCTGAATCTAAAACGATGATGTTGAGTCTTGTGATTGTTTCTTAGATTCGTCAAGAGTGCGTGATTTTCAATTCAGTAACAGCACACGGTACACCCAGCATGCAATAAGGGCAAAGCCATCGATCGATTCCACGTCGTGACTGCCACACCAAACTCCCAAAACAAACCTATGCACCCTATCATACACCTTTCTACGCCATAGTCCCCAACCGTCTCGTAACCCCCCCCCTCGCCCTTGCCCACTCATATCCCGCCGTCTGCCCCGCCATCACCAGCGCCCTCCCACCCCCCTCCCCCCCTCCCACAGCGCCCTCACAGTCCCCACCACATCAAACGTCCCCACCACCACATTCCCCGTATAAAACGCATCCACAACCCCCGCATCCCCTCCCTCCTCCGCCCTCCTCATCCTCTCCGCAAGTAACACATCGCGTTCCTCCGCGCCTGCTCCCTCGGGGGCTGATAAATCCTGCATCTCCATCTCCACCCCCATCTCCCCGCCCTGCGTGCCTGTACCCATCTCCAAATCCCCAGCACCCCGCTCCGCACCATCGACCCCGGTGCCGCCTGCAGCTATATAAGCAGTCATCCCATCGCGATTCGCCAGCGCAGCTTTCAGCACCGCTTCTTCAACATGCACAGACAGCATCACAAGCTGCAGTAGCAGTATCAGGATATCCAACCCCACCAACACAGCTTTTGTAGACGGCGCGCGCTGCCCGATGAAATCGACTATTATCCCCCCATGTAGATACCCCCGCGTGAGCTCCGACCCGGACGGGCGCGCGGTGACGAGGTGCAGGAAGGCGCAGAGGGTGTTTGTGGAGAGGAGGGCGGGGATGTAGGGGCGTGGGCCGGGGATGGGGGGGGGCTTGGCGGCGGGGGAGAGGAAGACGAGTTGGGTTATTGAGCGGAGGAGGAAGCGGAAGAGGGAGCAGCTGGGGAGTGGGTTAGCGTGTGCTTGATTGATTGAGGGAGGGAGGAAGTGGGGGTGGACGTACTCGTTGTAATACATGAAGCAGAGCTCGGCGTAGATTAACACGTCTAGATTGACGAGGATGTCGTGGATGAACTCGGCTTTCTTCTTCGTCTGGATGAAGATTCGGCGCCGTCGCCGGGCGGCGGGGCTGTTATCATCGATTCCTGCTACAGCTGGAGGTGGTGTAGCTGCTGGAGTTGTTGCTGGAGTTGCTGCGGCGGCGTCGTTGCTGGGAGGTAGTTGAGGGTCTGCCGGACCCGCGTCGGGAGCGGATGCGGATTCATCGTTCATTGCTCGCGCAAGTCATTGGGTGATATCTTTGTTGTAGTATTTTCGGCAGAGGTCATAGATATCACATGGCTGTTCGTGGTGAGTTGTTACCAGTAATCCTGCCTCGTGGCAGCTGTTGGAAGGTTGAGGTCCAGGTGGTTACCGTTAGGTTAGACTACCACAGATTATTGCCCAGAGCTGCTGCCTCGCGCACAAGGGTGTGGCGGTCAAGGGTGCGTTAAGTGCTCGGGCGCGCTAATTCTCCACGTCGCGTCTCCCCAACTTGACGACTGCGAATTTGATGTAGACGCGCAAGTATACCTGGTAACTCACGATTCAACATTGGAAAACTTCGACGGAATATTGAAGGAATAGGGCTGAAATGGCAGGGTTTTTCGATCTCAAGGCGCGCAAGAAGGAGGCGGAGGCAGAGGCCTTGGGTGACAAGAAGGGCGCTCCCAATGGGAAGGACAATACACGGCTGCAGCCATGGGTTGAGAAATAGTAAGATTTTGCTATTAATATGATGCTTTATTCAAGTTCAAAGCTGACATTACTTCCCTTCAGCCGCCCAAAGAGTCTCGCCGATGTGACAGCTCAAGACCACACCATCACCGTCCTCCAACGCACCCTCCAATCCTCCAACGTCAGTCCCTCCCACCTCCACATTGTCCCCCTCTCTCAATACACCTACTAACCCCCACCAGCTCCCCCACATGCTCTACTACGGACCCCCCGGCACCGGCAAAACCTCCACCATCCTCGCCCTCTCCCGCTCCCTCTACGGCCCCGCCCTCTTCCATTCCCGCGTCCTCGAGCTCAACGCCTCCGACGAGCGCGGCATCAGCATCGTGCGCAAGAAAGTCAAAGACTTCGCACGCATGCAGCTCTCCCGACCCCCCGGCGGCAACTACCAAGAGCAGTATCTCTGCCCCCCCTACAAAATCATCATCCTCGACGAGGCCGACAGCATGACGCAAGACGCGCAGAGCGCGCTGCGCCGGACGATGGAGACGTACAGCAAGATCACGCGTTTCTGCCTGGTGTGTAACTATGTTACGCGGATTATTGATCCCCTGGCGAGTCGGTGCAGTAAGTTCCGCTTTAAGCGGATGGGAGAGGGGCAGGCGGGGACGAGGCTGAGGGAGATTGCGGAGAAGGAGAAGGTGCCGATGGAGGAGGGGGTGGTAGAGGCGCTGATTAAGCACTCGGAGGGGGATTTGAGGAAGGCGATTACGTTTTTGCAGAGTGCGGCGAGGTTGGTGGGGGCGGCGGGGGCGGATGGGGGGGAGGAGGTGGAGGAGGATGCGATGGATGTTGATGGGGTGCAGAAGGTTGTTACGGTTAAATCGATTGAGGATATTGCGGGTGTGATTCCGGATCGGACTATTGACAGTCTGGTGAAGGCTATGCAGCCGTCGTCGAGTGGGCTGACCTACGAGAATATCTCGAAGGTGGTTACGGAGATGGTGGCCGATGGCTGGAGTGCCTCGCAAGTTGTTACACAGGTATGCATCCCCCCTGGCTGTGCATTTAGGAGAGAATATACTGACGGCAGATAAAGCTCTACCAGACGATCATCTACAACGAATCTATCGCCGACATCCACAAGAACAAAATAGTTATGATCTTCTCCGAGATCGACAAGCGCCTCGCGGACGGCGCAGACGAGCATTTATCCATCCTCGACATGGCATTGCGTATAGCCGGGGTGCTGACAAGTAAGGCATAATTTGTTACGCTCGCTTTCGGTTGGGCAAAGCTGGTAATTTATGATCAAGGCCTGAACAAGGGGGGAATTGCATAGCTCTGGAGTTGCGGGGTAAAAACAGAACAGGCGTACGGAAATGATCAACACTTATGAACAAGATCTATGAGCTTTGAGAACATATGAAATTCAGTCTGTAGGTGTAAATAACATCCCTTATTATCAAAATATAACCAAAAACTTCCATATCCTAGGGTTGTAGTTGTACAGATTGCGGGAAATAAATGAAAAATGTTGCCAAACCAAACAGCCTCCAACACACCACCAACCACACCTTTCCTAACCAATTTTCAGCTTCCTTTACACCCTCACCAGCTCACCCAACCTCTTCTCAATCTTCTCCCTCCCCTCAAGCGTCTCCCACACCTCATGCGGCGCCTTATTCACAATATCCCACCCCACCAACTCCCTCGTCAAATGAGTCAAATCCCTCTGCTTCTCCTCCCACACGCTATCCCTCTTCGACTCAATCCCCGAACTCACAATCGCCACCGGCGTATCTTCCTCCTGAACCACCCTCGAAATCGTAACCTCATTCCTCGTCAAGCTATCCGCCACCAGCGACTCCTGCAGCTTCGCCTTGATGGACTTCCCGCCCTGGTACGCGGACCACCCGTACACCCTGTCCTCGCGGCTACGGCCACGGAAGATCGCGCCGGAGAGACGGTCAATACCAAGGGGGGAGAGGATGCCGCGCAGCCAGAGGAAGAAGCCGCGGTGGGGCGAGGCGAGGCGGTGGAGGAGGTCTTCGTGCAGGGGGTCGATGAGTAGGAGGCCCATGACGTCTTTGCCGTGGCGGGCGGAGAAGATGCGCGAGTACACGCTTCCCACGCCTGCGCTGGCTAGAACCCATGGTCCCTCCTCGCCTGCGCGTGCAAGAGCTTCGGATAGAACGTCAGCGGCCATACCGGCGGAGAATGGTGAGGGCGCGTTATCGGACCAGCCGAAACCGGGGCGGTCGGCGTAGCAGTAGCGGGATATCGTGCCGTTGGCAATGGCGTTGTCAGCGAAAGTTTGCAAGGATAGTCCGAATGGGCGTTCTCCGGCTTCGAAGAGCACGGTTGGGACCTTGTTGTCTGACTTGTCGGTCTCGTTGCCTTTGCAGTAGAGATGGATTTGGTATTTGTCACCGTCGACGTAGTAGCGCTCTCCCTGTGGTGCCAGAGAAGAGTCGCGGCTGCGGAGGATGAGAGTTGCGGAAAGGAGAAGAACAGCAAGGCCGACGGCTATGAGAACGATTTCGGATGCCAGGATCTCTACCCACTCGCGGATGGTGCGGCGGGTCTCAGCGCGCCCTGTGAGACGTTCTTCTTCTTCTTCCTTGCCGTATGCCACGACACGGTCTGTTATGACGACCCAGATGCCGATAAGGAGGGCCCATACAACACTAGCAATGCCAACCCAGCCTTCCTCAACACGGAGGCGAGGCACGGCAAGGATCATGATCATGTCGAAGAGAAGGAGAACGGATGTGACAAGAACGGTAATCTGAGCCGCCTTCGACGGAGTCGAGAAGAATAGGAGGACGATGATCAGGTTTGCCAGCGATAGACTTGTAAATGAGAAGTCGAAGAAGCCGGAACCGCGAGAGTGCATGCCCGGCGGACTGACGAAGATGCTGACGAGGAGCAGAACCCACCAGAAGAAGGTGATGAACTGCAATATATGTTAGTATATGTGATAATATCTGGGTCGAGGGCCGTACCAAGAGCAGGATGGAGAAGTAGCGCATGAACCGCACGCTCCAGAGATTGTATGGCGAGACCTGGGGGATAGTGTTAGTAATGTTATACTGAAGCATTGAGCATCTCAGAACTTACAGCAGGGTCATCTGGACTCAAATATCCACCCCGAGTCGAAGGCTGCGGTAATAGACGTGTATGCTCATCAGGCTCGCGCTCGACAATGCGAGGTGCGCCTTCATTGTCTTCATCGTTTCCGCCGCGAGGCGGCTCGGTGCGCTCACCACCAGACCTTGTATTCCAAATAGAACTCATCTTAAATCCAATTGAAGGCTATGGCTTCTTGGAATTGAGTCGCTTCGGATAGATAGGCCTCCAAAGGGAGTTAATATAATACTACAACGAAACTTGTTGATGTGATATTAGTTTCGCTTTATGTCATGAGGTATTACAAACAGCAGCGAATATAAAAGTTGAAGAATGACGGTTTCAAAGATTCAATAGAGAAGCATTATATTCGAAACAAATCAAGATTTTGATTTAAAGCCTAGCCTTTGGCCTTTTGGGAAGCTATTGCGAATCTGTATAACTTCTGACGTCACCATCTCTCAGCGTTCATCAAGTCAGTTTGGGGACTATTGGGGTCTCCCAAATAGGCAGAAAGGGACAGTTTTTAATAAAATAGCTGTGCAATTAAAGCAAAATTATAGTATCTCAGTATATGGCCACGGCACGGCACCTTACCATGCATGATAAGGTTTTGGTGGCTTTTATTAAATCCCATGTAGCAATTCTGAATTCCGATCCATTTCTTGAATTACGTCATATTGAATTTCCATGTGCAAGACGAACGCGTTATCGATATAGTAGTGTTATCGATAAGCCCGATAAACCATTGCTTAGCTCACGTGCCCCGCCAAAAGCAACTCCCAATGTGTGCTTTGGGTGGAATCACTCTACGATGCATCTTATATTGTTATAAAATTATATTTCCGAATGCTCAAAGTAACAAAAGTAGATTATATTGAGCGGCGCAAATGTCTAATTAGATAGGACTCACCTCCATGATCCCGCCATCAGTATGAGCGAACTACAACGGGCCTTCGCAAAGGCGAAATTAGTAGGGCTCCCACCCGTTCTCCCAGAGCCACTCGTCGATCTAGACGAGCAGGAGGAAGAACGAGATGCGTTCCCCGAGCTTTCAACAGAGCGGTCAGATGATGACTCTTCATCTGCGTCCTCTGCTTCTTCGGCGTCCTCCACTGGCACTATAAGACCGACGAGTAGCAGTAGGCTGTTTGCACGTTCAATGGGGTGACATTTGATTCTTTATCCTGCAATAAACAGCAGCTGACCGTAGACAGATCACCAACTAGGTCGCCAGCTCACTTTGCCCCTCTACCCTGGACCTCATACTTTGAGCGAGACCTGAAGCTATCACATATAGACTTCAACCTCAAAGTAACGCACCAGGTTTACCTTACCTCACCACTATCCTCTCCCACCAAACCTGGGCCTCTATTTGTGACCCACCATGGCGCAGGCTCGAGTGGACTTACGTTTGCGACGCTCGCAAAGTCTATCCGGGCTCTCCTCCCAAATGCTGGAATTCTGAGCCTGGATGCTAGAGGCCATGGCTCAACTACTGTTGAGACGCTTTCTGAGACGGATCCGATGGATGGAATACTTGACGTTAGCCTAGAGACATTGACGGACGATCTTATCACTGTCATACAAAAAACAAAAGAGGTCATGAATTGGCCAACCATGCCGCCCATAATTCTCATCGGTCATTCCCTAGGTGGCAGCGTTGTCACATCAGTGGCTGCAAGAGGCACCCTTGGGTCTTCCCTGCTCTGCTATGCCGTTTTGGATATCGTCGAGCGCACGGCAATTGAATCACTAGCCAGCATGGCCGGCTACCTCAAAAGCCGCCCTGCGACATTTCCAAGCCTGGAGGCAGGCATCGCGTGGCACGTCAGAACCGGCAGTTTAAAAAACGTCGAAAGCGCCAGGGTTTCCGTACCTCCGCTACTCACGCTTCTGTACAACAAACCAAAAGATGACGCGAACTCTACAGCCGCTAGACAAATATTCAACTGGCGTGCTGATCTTGCCAGCACGGAACCGTTCTGGAACGACTGGTTCGTAGGCCTCTCTGACCGCTTCCTCTCGTCAAGGGGCGGCAAACTACTTATTCTAGCGGGAACAGAAAGGCTAGACAAGGAGATGATGATTGGGCAAATGCAGGGCAAATACGCCCTGCAGATATTCCCAGATGCGGGCCACTTTCTACACGAGGACCAGCCAGAGAAGACGGCACAGAGTATCGTGGATTTCTACAAGCGGAATGACCGGAGCGCGATGGTGTTGCCGCCGAAGGTGTCAGACATGTTGCAGCAGGGTAAAAAGGTATAGATGTACATAGGACGACTTATGACATTACGAAACCGGGAACGACACAAAATCATGGATTGGGCTTGTACATGGTTCTAGGTGCATATAGGCTTTGTTGATTCTAGACTACCAAGAGACTACAATTCATCCTTCCTCTTCTGCTCCGCTTCTGCTTCCTTCCTCGCCTCCACCTCCGAATCCCACATCCGTTTCTTCGGGTTTGGTTGCACCTGCTCCTCTTGTTGCTGGCCTTCATTACTCTCTGGTTGCGCCGGCTCCTGCGGCTGCTCCTGTCCCTGTGCTCTCGTGTCCTCCGCCATCTCCCCCACAATATCTACAAGCGGCCTGCCTTCGTCATCCTCTTGTGGAGGCTTTGGAGGTTTCGCGTTCCCCCTACCCCCTCTGACAACCTGCGGCGCATCCGTCCCGCTCATCGTAACCTGCGCCACCGTCCCACTCGCCGGCATAATCATCGTGCCCACACTCTGACTCGACACCGACACCGTCGAGCTCGCGCCCCTCAACCCAAGCACAGTAAACACCCCCATCCACGCATTCCAAAACATCTTCAGCGGCAAATACACCAGCCACCACGCCGGTCCGTAAATAAACCGCCGGAAGACCAACCACGAAATAGTCGCCAACAGCACATAAAACGCTGTCTCGAGGTACCACGTATCGCTCTTCTGGCTCTTAAGCAGCATGCCCAGCAGCCCCTTCGTGCTCGCCAACACGCTATCCAAACTCGTATAACTCTCGCCCAGCTGCTCCAGCGCTGCGCCGCTCTCCTTCAGCGTATCGTGCGCGAACTGGCTGCGGGAGAGCTCATTCGTCATCGAGGCGTGGACCTGGCGCAGCGCGGCTGTGACGTCCCCTGCGGACCCGACGAGCTTCTCATCTTGTGTCTGCTCGGCAGCAGGTGTGCGGCGGCGGGAAATAGGTTGGTTGCAGGAGGGCGAAGGGAGGGCGGCTAGGGATTGCAGGAGGAGTTCGCGCTCGGCGCGACGGGAGAGATCGAGGTTGCGTTTTGCAGCTAGTTGGGCCTTGCGGAAGGCGGATTGGGCGCTGGGGATTGTTAGAATGGTTCTTTGGGTTGGGGATATAAGGTGGACTGACTGCTTCAGCTCTTGTTGGGTTCTTGTGGCTCGTTCAAGTAGGCGTAGTTTGTTGGTCTCGGCATCGCTTCCTTTCCTGCCGCCGGGCGAGTCTTTAATCTCTTGCTCTAGAAGCTTGAAATCATTGTTTTGCTCTTTGAGGGTGTCGTGGATCTCGTTGCTCAGCTCGGTCGCGACAGTGTCTAGAGACCCTTGGTTAAGAGGTATTGCGCCTGGTGGGAACTTGAAGGAGGCAAGCCGGGCTATCAGCGTTTGGATGTGGGAGGTTGTTTCTTGGAGGGTGGTAAGGCGTTTTTGTAAAGATTCGAGAGACATTTTGCAGCCTGTAGGTAAGAAAATAGGTTGCTTGTAAAGAGTTGTAGGGAATTGAAGCGGGGATAATGAATCTATTTATGATAAAGCTGGCAAGAGGTGCCGACTGACGACACTGACACATCGCGAAGCGGAATATCCCGTGACCATGGGGTAAATTTCGAAGACCTCCAAAGAGCCACCTGTCTACCACGACAGAAACTCCCAAGCTAAACAACTCCGGATACTTCGCTTTTCTAGGTATGTCAATTGGCTGGCTGCTGGTCCTTGTGCTATTACTGACGGATTACCCAAGTCGCGCGCGCGACTCAGCGAAGATGATCACCAGATACCTCACGGAGATTTCGACGGCGTTCAACCCGTTCTCTCCACGGGCGAAGACTGCAAGACTATTCCTCTCATTCTTGCCCGGAAATGCGCGCGCAACCATGAAGATCAATACGAAGATTCTGCCGAGGACGTCCAGGGAGAAGAGCTTTGTCCAGGTCAAATTCAGTATGTCCACACCTTAGGCGTCAACCACTCCTATGCGCACAGGATAGGAAAACAAAGGCGCATATGCAATAAAACGAGTACTAATATTATGGCAGAGGATGGAAAGGAGATGAAACTCGATTCCGAGCAGCTTGGCATCAAGGGCGTGATGGAGGAGTTGGATAGGCATTCCAGGATATTGGCCAGACAGGAGGAATTGACGGGGCAACTAAGATGGGAGAGGGTCTGATTGCGTGGCTTGCAAGAACTAGATGGCGTTTTGGAAATGCATAGGGCGGGCTGTATGATCTATGTGTATAAACAGAGGATACTGGAATATCGATGTATAACTCCATCCCATGAAACGCATTCGACTTGATTGAACACCACATCTATACAGAGAAGTTATTGACATTATTGTTAATTGTTCATTCAGTTATAGTATCAAGCTATTTTCCTGCCCACGTTACCAATCCCAACGCCCTTGACACTGACCAGAATATCACCACTCTCATCCTCATCCACATCTCTTAAGCCCCAAGCACTTGCTCCGAACTTCCTGAGATCCCTCCCCAAACCAAGTATATCCTCCGTCCCTATAACATCCCGCCCAATCCGTAAGCGCCCAACATCCTCTGATCCCATTGACATTAACGTCAGTATCGTTGCCGCGCCTGCCTTGGCAACACATCCACCTTGTGCAATAGTTTCCAACAGCTGCAATGCAGCCTGCTTCCCAATATCCTCAGGCGTGACACCTCCCTGTGGCGGCGCTGCCACATCCGCACTATACAAAACACCTCCCGAACTCGACTCCGCAACCAGACTCAGACCAAAACCGATGCCCGTTCGCTTCTTTCCCTTTGGATCCGCCTTATCATTGCTGCTCACTAGCGGCGCCTGATCGTACTGTGCCGCAATATGCACATCGCTGACCAGTGGATTTAACACTCCCCTCGCCGCGTGTATCATCCTCGCATTATTGCTCGCCGAAACACCCGTACAATACGACACACCACGAATGCGCTTTATCCTCCCAGGATTCCTGTTCAGATGTAACGTCTTCGGCAGACGCACCTGCGACCCAAAGCGCAGCTCCACGATACCACCGCCTCCAAGGCCTCCTGGCCCCGCGCAGAACGCTGCAACACACGCAGTTCAAGTTTCGCCGACATAATGCCGAACTGTTCGTATAGCGGGAGAATCGCCAGTGCGCACGCTGTCGACGCTGATATCGCCTGCCTCCGTCGAGCTAGTGATCACACCCGGGCCGGTAAATCGTACATTGATTGGCGCCTTGCTGAATGGCGCGAGCATGCATAGCGGCAAGAGGAAGTAGCTCACTCCGCGCGTGTTGGTTGCTGGGAGCGAATACTCGATGACATCTCCATGTGCGCCGAGACCTGCGACTGAGCCAGTGATTGAGGCCAGGGTTGTAGGTAAGTGTCGTACCTGTATACGAGATCTGGAGCGAAGAGCCATTGGTGATAGCTTCGAGGAGACGGATGAAGGAGATTTCGTGGGAGGCAAGACCGGGAGAGACGGCGGATGAGGAGCGGATTTGAGAGATGTGAACTGGGCGACCAGTGAGGGTAGAGAGGACGAGGCGGTGGGTGAGTGCTTTTTGTGACGTGAAGCGTAAATATTCAGTCGGTTGGACTGACATTGTGCTGGCGGCGGCTATGGTGCCATGCAACACGATTGATGAAGAAGTGGCGTTAAAGTTATAGTGAGCTTTTTGGTTTTTGGCGTAGACTCGAGGTTAAACTTTTTCTGTTGGCCAGCGGCAGAATAATGAACTTCGCTTCACCGCCTCGCAATCAGGATCATTATCCAATTACAACAGAGGTCTTGGAATTTACGACAGTACTCCGCATCTCGCTCCGAAAACATATTTGCAACGAGCATTTTGAGGAATGTAGTGGTAGAATCTCCATAATAGAATGAATGCTATTGAGGACTAAAGTCGAGAAGAACAGTTATTCTTTTGACTATGAAAGCCGAAGCTGTTAATTCTGCCATGAGAAACCCCAATTCTTATTTATGCAGTGTAAGAGATTGCACCAGCACAAAGATGCTTAAAATCAGATTATATGAATATCTTATACATACGACCATAGTATAGACTTGAGAGAATTAAGCATCCCGTCCGCTCTTATACATACGATCATAGTATAGACTTGAGAGAACTAAGCATCCCGTCCACTCTTCCACACACAAGCTGCTGATTTATTGCTTATTATAGTACTCTCAATCGTGCTAATAGGCATAGCGTGGATTCGTAGCGCCTTGCCGTCACAAAGCTAGCTTACTAAGCCCATTAAACATGAGCTTCGTGACTTCTATTTTATCACAACTAAGCCAATTGCATAGCAGAATGCAAGAGCTCAAGATGAGACTACTATTTAGAATTGGAATCGATCTTTTGATTAAAATGCGTATAGAGTTGTAG